ATCGCGCAAAGAAAAATGCACATTTCTCTCTAGGATTTCTTGAAAGTCAAATAGTTTGTTTTTTGTGGGATAAATAATTGTGAATGTGTCTTTTTTGTGCGGAGTGAAAGAGAAGCTGCAGGGATTCAGCGTTTGACAATATCCCTAAAAGTGATATTGTCATACCAGCCGGATGGCCGTCTGGTGTTTGTTTAAAAGGGGAGGGAGGAAAAAAACAGTCCAGGCGATTGAATCATATTTTGTTGCCAATACGTCCTTGCGTTCCCACCTCCATCATTACCGCAACATGTTTTATTTTGAGCAGAGCTGTTCTCAGTGACTCACATCTCCGAGCCATGTGCTGCTGAGTTAGGCCGCATATCTCTTAAACATGCACAGAACTGTGGTGGGAATGCACTTGAGACGGCAACTCTGACCTGACTATATCTGTACTATCACTGTTTGGAAAATAAATAGACTCTGTTTATCCTTTTCCTACAATAATGTTTCGTGTTGTGTCTGTTATAGGCAAATGGGATGTTGATGCCTTCCTAAAGCGGGTTGGACTTGGAGCACCTGTGGCCACTCTCCAATTCCTCACTCTTGAGAAATCCTTTTATATTTTTGTAAAGAAGGTGTAATATAATAATGCTTCCTTAATACTTGCTTAATACTTCCTTGTATGATACTACAAGTAGGTCCATTGACTTCCTGTATAAACTGAAGAGACTTGTCTGTTCATATTTTTATTAATTTATTTATTTAGGCAAGGCAAGGTTATTTATAACACAATTCATACACAAGGTAACTCAAAGTGCTGAACAAAATAAGAAAGCATTAAAATAATCACAGTACATTAAAAAGAAAGATAAAAATATCAAATCCCTCAGTTGTATGCACAGCTAAACAGAGCTGTTTTTAACCTGGTTTTAAACATTGTCAGAGAGGAGGCCTGTCTCACATCTTCAGGAAGATTGTTCCAGATTTTAGCAGCATGAATCTGAAAAGCAGTCCCTGTGCTCCTCAGAGTCCGGGCTGGTTCATATGGGACTAACATGTCACTAATATATTTTGGTGCGAGGCCATGGAGAGACTTCTCAACTCTGGGGAAAGAGGAGGATTTGTTTGAATAAAAGTTCCCTAAAATATATTGTCTAAATAGGTCCCTGTAGCATAAAATGTTTTTTCTCTATTTCTACAACCTTTGTGTGTTTATCACCATGTATGACAGAATGTGTTTGTCATTTTCTGCTGAGCTCTCGTATCATGTCGGGGGTTAGCAGGATTTGACCTCACAGGGGACTTCTTATTAGTTTCCAAACATAGAAGGAAGATGGTCCGATATCACAACTTGGTGTGGAAAGAGTTGATTCTAAATTCAGGGACGGAAACACGTCAGCGCATAAAAAGGAAGTAGGAGGTGAAACCGAGACCACAGTACTGCCGGATACCACAGTGGAACTTAAACCAAAATACTGTTCATTACAGTGACATGGCACAGAGAGGGACTGCCCAGTCTGTGGTGAAATGAACTGTCTGTTGTGTACTGTATTTGTTTATCCTTTTTCCAATGGCTCAACTGAATTGGTGTTACATGCCCTATCTACTTCCTGAATGGTAGAAGTAAACACATTCAGAGTAGTTTACTTGTCCTTCACCTAACACCTTTCTAAACTGTTGACTGTTTCTCCGAGGCCTACCTGTCAGGTCTGCAGAGAACGGTCTGGGTAAACTTTTCAACTCCGCTCTTCAGACTTTGGGCCTTTATACTGGTGGGTCAACGTACCCCCCAGGAGGAAATATCGGTTTCTAACCACCAACCCTCCTCTGAGATGGTCCTGTATCAATACCCCAGATGTCTGTAAAAGGCTGGATTTCCATGAGGGACTTTGATGTTAGGAGAATCAATGTTTAGTTGGTGGTTGCATTGACCCTAGTTTGGTGTCTCATCAGTAGGGCAGGCAGCAGTAGGTGATAGAGGTTTTAGTTCCTTTGGTGGTTAAGCCAGCATCGGTAAAGCCTTGTGTGGCCTCCCCATGAACTGTGAGAGATGATTGATCACATTGTCCGGCCTCGTCTTTGTTTGTTCGCCCGTATTAACAGTCAAAGCATCATGGCCACAAACAAAACAACAGTGAACAAATGCACTGTCTGGAATTCTCCGTCGGCTGTTTAGAGTGCTGTCTTGACCTGGTTTTACCCATTTCATTTGCATCCTGATTTTTTTTAGCTTTTGGTAACAATAGTAAATGTTGCCAAGTAGGAGCGTCTTTTTTCCAAATCCACCTACTGAATCCATCAGTGCATCATTGAAATGCCAAGATTTGTGCATCCAAATACACACTGTATTTTTGTCTTTATATCTTGGAGATATCCTGCCAAAACAGCTGGGTTTGCCGCTCAGCATTCGGGAGTTTTATTGTGTTTATTTTTATTCCAAATGTCGAGAGAGTTGAAGTATAATGATTAAGGAAAAACTGACAGCTGTAGTTTCACTGCTGTATATTGCATTCTTTCAAAAATATTTGTCCTCCCCTGATGATATAGAAACAAGTTTAATAATTCTTAATCTATTCAAACTCACATTAATTAAAGTTGAATTTGTATAATCTATTCAATTGCCTAAACGGAACATGCAAGTCTTCACTCTCATTTTCTTCCAGGTGCAAAGCGACCGTATGCAGCACTTTTCACAAGAGAATTTGTGATGTGCATCACACTTGATTGTTTTTCACTGTGACACCCTCATTGTTTGGAAAACATGTATATGAATTAGTATAAACAATCTAGAAAACTGATACTGAATATTCAATATACAAACCTCAGAAACCTTGTGCACTACAGATTACATGTGAATATTGCTTTGAACCATATTGTCTAAGCCACAGGAAAATGGCTCAGGCTGATGATATTTAAATACACTGTTCATGTTCTTTTGACCATTGATCCTTGGAGTAATACGAGACTTGCAATGCATATGCATGAAGTGAACTCTGTACAATCAAAACTATAACAAACTGTACATACTAATGAACAGCACAGAATATATATATATGTCAAAAGTAAATTGTAACCCATCTTTTTTATTATATAACTATTTTTGTGAAATACACAAATGTAGTGTAACTAAATATAGACAGTGGCCCTTCATTTTTCTAAAATAGCTTTCATGGAATCCCCGTATGCAAAGCACCAGGAAACAATAAATGATTGTGGAACATTGGGCATTGCTCTTGTCTACTAACGGTTACACAAATTACAGGTAGGTTCCATCTTTCCGACCCCAACACCTCCCCAGAGGAATAACTCCCAATAGTGACTACAGTTGATTTGCATGGATAAAAACAGGCCCAGCTGTTTCCAGAGATGCACCAGTGAACATGTGCGGCTGCTTCAAGGTAAATTCACTATTTGTGATATAGTTATAGAGTTATTTTTCTATATTAGTCAATTATCTACATAGATCACACATTTTGAGGTGTTGCACATAAAAAGCATTGAAAAGTTGAGCTTGGTGTCTTGATTATAAATATAGCACCAACATAATAAATCAATAAACTTTATATACAACACTTTTCATGAATGCATTGAATGTGAAAGTATCAAAATGAGTAAGATCACATTGTTGTGGTTTCAGTAGCTGTATAGGCAATATTCAGTAAGTCACTCATTCTTTGATGTGCTCTGGAATGAGAAATCTGCACAGTTTCTGACTTGTTTCACTTCTTTCAGGCTTGTGCAGAAGGAGGAGAATGGCCCTTTTTGTATTATGACTCCAGTGAAGACACACAGAGGCTGGCCCATAATGAGGCACACAAGATCACTGCTGCTCTATTTGTGCAAGCCCCCAAAACACTGAGCATGAATCAGACTTATCTCCCACTCACTCGCCTTCATTGAGGTACAATTAATTTATCAAGTATCCAAGCACTGACAATTCATTCATTTTGTCAATTCTCGTGATTACATTTTTATTCATAATACTCTAAGTCAACTTTAGTCAAAACAGATTATTGATAGAAGACAATTGCAATATGGGGAAGTTTCACATCTATTAATAGCTTTGGGTATGTTTTGGTTAAAACAAAAGTGATCCATTACACGCTGTCCTCTGTCATCTGTGAACGTCTGTGGCTTCCGATCACTTTTCCACTACTACTTCACCCGGAACTCGTATGCCCAAAAAGAGAAGAGAAAGGGCGGAACCGGACACTGCCTTATTTGGAGTTTCCACAAAAGCGGGCGACTTGGGTTCCAAGGGTGTACAGAGATCATGCGTTATTTATAAACTAATACACGCTGTTTATTCCTCGGTGTAACCGTGACAAAGAAGTAGAATCAAAATCGAAACAACATTTAAATGTAAAGAAATATCCTGTATAAATCCATGAACTTTATAGTTTATCTTACAACATGTAAAAAGTTCACGGTGTACCTAATAATCCACCACATTGTTTCTCAGTGGCATAGATAAGAGTGCTTTTTCGCAAGGACAAGCGCATACAAAGAAAACAACCCAGATCAACCGCCGCTTTGGTCTCAACTTCAGCCTATTATCTGTCTCTCGGAGCCTTTACCTTCCACTGTAGTTTCCACCAACTAAACTGACGCTCGCGGAGAACCTGGCGCTCGAGCTGCTCTGTCCATATATGGTCATCTACGTCACGCAAATGTTCCAGCCCCCTTTTTAATACGGCCTGACTGGAGTCCCCTATCCAGCTCCAATAGAGCAAGTAGAGCCGCTCTTGTGCAACCAACACCACCTCCTCCTCCTTCATTGATTCACTGACTTCATATTCTTCCCACAAGCAGCCCATAAGCTTCCACTGTGATCACTTTAATAACAACTAGGGCTCGAGCGCACGGGAGGAGGCTTGGCTGTTGCTACTCGTTCAAGACAGCGCGGGACACTTCTGGATGCCGGTTCTGAACGCGCGCCTTTCATCCTCACCTTTACTTTTTTGATCCGGATCCTTGCGCGCTTTGTCCCTACTATAAATGTGGGACTTTATATAACTGCTATGACAGGGAAACTAGCGGAGAAGCTCCCTCTTACAATGAGCAGTTTAATTAACACCATCCCTGACAGCCTGTATCCCGAAGAGGACATCCCGACGTCTATGAATATTTTCACCAGTTCGGAATCTATAAACCACTACGCACAAATGAACTCCGGTAAGCTTTTGTTGTATGTGATTAACTTGTTGTGTGTTGGGGAGAAAAAGTGTGTGAAAAGTGAGACGCGCGCGTAAAAGGCAGGCAACAGTTGTCTGAGCGTCTGGAGCACCTGTTTGCGCAATGCTTTGGCATTACGCACGAAGCAAACGCACAGTGCCAAGACTTATTTTAAAGTTATGCACTATATGACATTGTATAGTTGAGTGAATACCCCGAATGAACGCGGGTTTCAAAGCATTCAGTGATTCGTGTGCGCTTCCTCACGTCCGCGGGAGAGCATCAAAGGCAAAATGTGCCAAACTGGACAAGAGGAGCGTATTCAAATGCAGTGCGTAACTTATTTGATAAATCTAAGCCAATGTTAGAAACCGTTTACTCTAGCTAGTATTATAATAAGAAAACACACCGTTGTAGACTTAAAAATCTGTTGAGGCGCTTGTCTTGTTTTACGTTATCCCAAAACCAAAGAAACACGGCCATAATACTATTAATAATCCTCATCATAAAGGTGTATTTGCACTACGTTCAAATTGAAGTTGATCATTTCATTCATTCACACCATTTGAAGATGTCAGGCCCACGCGGAGCAGTTTCAGGTGGGCGTGTGTGGCATTACCCCCCAGTGAGCACGCGCGGGCCCTTGTCCCCTTTTGGGTTAAAACCATACTTTTTGTTCAACATTCCTATACGCACATAGAGGGTGGTTATTAGTGCTAATTTACAGGATCCGCGCCACTGATTGTTTCATGCCCGTTCTCGAATATTGGCTTAAAATCAATAAAAGCCCACCTTCAAATGTGATGGGTCAATGTCTCACCAAATAAATGCGTGATCATTATCTTCCACGCGGTCAAGGGTTTATCGCACTTCAAAGTCAACAGCCTTTTTTTAAGTCAATGAATAAAAAGGCTCACTTAAAAAAAAACGGAATTTTTGTCAGTAGATTTTACGTGTCACCTGTGTAAAAAGAAAACTGATCATTCTTGATAAAATGATAAAATATTAGTTGATTATAATATTGGATAAAATTGTAAAAACAGCCAAGAGAAATAGCCTTTCTTTATCATCAGGTATTTGTGGACACTATGCAGAGAAAAAGTATTTTTGAAATGTTGATAATAAAGATAAAATCTATTCTGAAATAACAGACATACACAGAGACATATCTTGAAAATAATTTGTAACACACACCTTGGCTGAAGCCTAATGTTGAGATTTTCTTGGAGATGATTTATAGATAAACTATAAACTGTATTATCCAGGCATATTTACTGTCCTTGTTATGTATTTCTCATGTATTGTTCTAATGTAGATAGGAATTTAAAGAAATAAGGTTTCAAATTGATATCGCTGTCTTTGGCCTGAAGAGTCAAACGTAAATCTCTCTGCATTAAACACTTCTGCGTTAGATGGTTTCAAAACCATCCCTCAAATATGCATAGAGTGTGTGCATTTGACTTATAACAAAATTACAAAATGTATATAATGTATAATAGGCTATTGATTTTATTATATATTGCAGACCTTTACATTACAATTTCATTGAGTTTAAAATGCATGCGCGTGATGGATGTGGCGCTCCCCCCTAATCCTCATTGAAATAAAGAAATCAGATCTCTCCATTTAGTTTGGCTGCGCTCCTGAGGGACAATGACTGGATCAAAGGGGGTGTTTAGGTCTTGATTTATGAGAGCTTGTGGGATCTGAGAGACAGACACACCACTGTCTCAGAGGCAACAGTCACTCACTTGACTTCAGGTCTGACAGCACACTCCTTCATGAACTTGTGTGTGGACAAATATATGCAGAAAAACGCTAACTCAAGATGTTATAATTAGGGAAGCCCACAGGGGATTTGAAGTGCTTTTCATCCCTTTTTACACATTTGAATTGTACAATTTGAATTGAAATTTTATATTTTTCTGTTCATTTTTTTTAGACAATATCATGGACCTGGGCATGGGCAGTGAAAAGGGCTCATCTGAAATCCAGTATGGTTCCAGCTTCCAGACGAACCGCAGCGGGCAGACGGTGACCTACCTGGGGAAGTTTGCCTTTGACACCCCTCCGTCGGGCAGCATCGGTGGTTCTGGCTGGTGCTCTGACAATAACATCATCAGCCTGGTGAGCGCGGGCATCCTGGGGGTCTCACCATCGCCTGGCGCGGTCACGACCCAGACCCCTTCCTCTGCGGGCAGCATGGGTGGCCAGGCATCGGACATGGAGCAGGTGTACGGTCCCCCGCTGCCGGCGTACTCCACCTGTAGTGATCTTTACCAGGATCAAGTGCAATTCCACCACAGTCCTGCCACCAGCTCTGCCCTGCCCTACCCCACAAACGACTACCATTCCACCTCCAAAGCCTCTATGGACGGCAGCCTTTTCTCAATGATACCCGACTATAACCTTTTCCATCACCAGGGTGATGTGGGAGTCATGGAACACAAGCCCTTCCAGACCATGGACCCAATTCGAGTCAACCCTCCTCCTATCACCCCTCTCGAGACTATCCGGGCGTTCAAAGACAAACAGCAGATTCACCCGGGTTTCATCGGCGGGCAACAGCACCCTCCCCAGCATCACCCTCCACCCCAGACTCTCACCCTAAAGCCCATACGGCCACGAAAGTACCCCAACCGCCCCAGCAAGACCCCCGTTCACGAGCGACCCCACGCCTGCCCCGCAGAGAACTGTGACAGGCGTTTTTCGCGCTCCGATGAGCTGACACGGCACCTGCGGATCCACACCGGGCACAAGCCTTTCCAGTGCCGGATATGCATGCGCTCCTTCAGCCGCAGCGACCACCTGACCACTCACATCCGCACGCACACAGGGGAAAAGCCCTTTTCCTGTGAATTCTGTGGACGCAAGTTTGCAAGAAGTGACGAGAGAAAGAGACACGCTAAAGTTCACCTCAAACAGAAAGACAAGAAGCCAGTGGATAAAAGCAGTGGTGCGGCTGGCAGTCACAGCTCACCCCCCAGCTCTTGTGGAGGGCCCACAGTGGGAGCATCATGACCGAACAGAACTGTGTGCAAATGCTCCACTAAGACACTTTGGAAACATGATGAGGTCTATTGGTGACTATTCTTTTGTTTTACACCTCTTCCTAATTTCTATTCATCCTTCTGTTTTCGAGATGGATGCTAGTTTGAGTCAGAGAAGAAAGGCTGTCACACCTTTCGAGCAACTCAGAGTCGCAGCTACTGTAACACAGTGAAACTAAATAAGGCTAACGTCGTCCGATCTGCAGCGTATTTGTAAGTTTTACAATGAGCATGCTTTTGTACAAAAAATGGGGGAGGGAATATTTTTAAAGGAAAGCATTATTGTTCATTGTAGGAATAGAACTAGACAAAAAAACGCTTATAGTTCCCTATTGAGTTGTCTGAGATGTATCATGCATTAATTTATTTAAGCTGTTTAAAAGTGCAATTTTGTTTATATTTGTGTACTGTTGTTTAGTGGCACTTGACTGTCTGTTTGTTTCGGTTAAAGTGTGGTGTATTTTTTGATGTTCTATTCTCAAAGAATGTGCCAAAAGCATTGTGGTATTTCAGTCAATTATTACACTTAATGACTTGTGTCAAATACGTAGTCAGTGAGTTTCTTTTTCCCCTTTTGTTTTACTATTGGCTTTAACAATGATGTAGACTGAATGGTTCACATTTCTGTGGAGGACATGCAAACGTTCTTGTCATTTTGTGTCATAAATACTGCTCTGTCTATTTAGCTTCAAGTAAAATTGTCAAAGTCTGATACAATTTGCAGTTATTTATCATAATATGGCAAATATTCATAACACAGCATAAACTATACAGGTCTTTATATCATGGCAACATGGCGCCGGTTGTGTTTTACATACCGAGACATACAAACCAGCTGTTTGTGAGACTGAAAACAAAGGGACTCCTGCGGTTGGTCAGATATACCAACTCTATACAGCATGGAAAATAATGTATTTTAGGAAAAAACCTAAGCATTAAATTGACCATTAAATAGAGCATTAAATAAGACACTATGTTTGCATATTTCAACTGATGTTATTATAATGAAGTTTACAACTATTGCTCTCACTGTCAATTATCAGTGGCATTGGAACCATTAATTGTGCATATGTGTAAATACAGCCGACTGCAGCGACAAATGTTCATGTTACAATAACATTTTACACAAAGGCTTTTAGTTACTTTAGCGGTCGCAGGGCTTAGACACATTTTATATCACCCCAGTGGTGCCAAATACATTTATTTTCTCTTCTAGAAAAACAGCACTTGCAGCATTGGCTTTGAATAGTTTTAAAAAGTACCAACACGTGTCATTTCAATGAAGCAATTTATAGGTTTTTTTCCTTTAGGTTCTGTTTATCTCCATTTCAAATAGCATGTTGTATTTTGTCCTTTCACTGTCTCCATACTGTCTGAGTAAAAACATGTTGCAGGGAAAAACATAAACATCCACATTTACTTATTATACCTAAAACATTAAATAGAAATTGTAGTCATCTCTTGCCATATGATTGGTAATATTTTATTTCTCTTTATGCATAAAGCAAAACAACAGTTCAAATTGAAATATCTGTATTGTAAAATCTATGAAAGATATGGGTATAAATATAAAATAAGGTATTTAATTCAATACAAGCAATGAAGCTTTGTTAGAAAGCGGATTTATTAACTTCAAAAATTGCAATGCAAATGCTTTGTTGTCGTGACCAAAACACTGCAAAGTGAGCTATTGAAATTGAGAACCCGTATTACTGTGTAATGTGTGTATACTATTTGGCCTTGGAGATTCCTTCAACGAAGCACTTGGAATTCCACTTACTGTAATCTACTGAAGATTGAAGGTCAGTTATCGATTCGCTCATTAGAACAAAAATGTGAGCAACAACACATATATGATACGTTATAGATTGTATTTCCAAAATCACAGATATACAAGTTTATCTTTCACATTTAAGTTTTACGCTGATGATGGAATTGTTTGGAGGAAACTGTAGCATTGGTAAGCTGAAAATAAATGCACATAACAAATGTACATCTGTTGTGTTACATTTACTTTAAATACAATGGACATAAACAGTACTGGATTGTTGAATTTATTTGACCAACTGTTTTGCACTTGATGTGAGAATGGATGTTTTTAATTATAGTTTATTGAATGTGGTTACCCTGACAGAAAACTATTTTTATGTTCTTTGTGTTAGAGAAAGGCACAGACTACCGAACTATTTCCATGTCTAAATGAAGCCATATAATTACAATCCTCCTGACTCAAAATGCCATCACTCACAGTCTCTGACTGATGTCACTTTAGTATTATTGTTTCCAATTTCAGTTAATCATTATATTTTATGTGAAAATAAGGGTTTTTCATGAACAAGAACCAGGAATATAAATTCTAAAGTTTTGCGTTCCAAATATTTTATGACATTTCCAGATCACTTATATAATAACACTATTATTTCTTGTGAATAAAATGTTTGTATTATTGTCCGGAGTGGGCGGCTGAAAACTCTGAAATTGGAATCCATCCTTGTTCTTTCTTGGCTCATATCCAACATGAGCAGCCATCTTTGTGCCAAACTGGGTTGCAGGGTTGGCTGATCAGAAACAATATGTGATGAGGAGACCTCCACAGGAGCAACAAATCAGAAATGTGACCTCTGTCTGCCCGCTGCTGAGAGCAGACTCCTGCTAATGTTTGTCTAACTGTTTGATTCAATGTTTTTGGCCTTGGGCAAGGCAATATACATGTACCCTAATAATGCCAGTTCAACATTTGGTTTAAAGACCTTTTTACATATTTTTGTGTAGATACCACATCATTTGTGTCATCCTTCAAAGTGAAGGATGGCTTCAGGGACCTCTTGTCTAAATGGACAGTGTTTGGAATAGTCTTGTTTTTTGTTGTGTTTATATCTTTTACCATTATCGTATATCCTCATGTTTGCATGTGCACGGAAACGTTCCAGAGTGCAACTCCTACACCCAGTGGGTAGTGCTCTTTCTTAAATATGCATGAAAATAGAAGTCATGATTCTGATCGAATGAAATACAACAAGGGCAAGTTGACTCGCACTGGGAGATGTTTTATTTTTCTTCTCACAATTAGTCTTGTTAAAATGTTGTAGATGTCTTGAACTATCTCATTTTTATTACCTTATAATAAGGTCCTTTATGACAACCTGAATATTGAAACGAATTTTATTATAACATTGTGATGGGGAGATCTGCTCCCTTGTACATGGCAATTCAATTTGTTGTATTGCAATTGTTATTTCTATGTTAGTACTTGAATAAAAGTTATCTCTTACCGTTTGATTCTTTTTTCAATATCTAATAGTTACTTTCATCTATAAAAAAATGGTTTTAAAAACATGAACTAATGTTCCTATGTTTTCAGTTTTACAAGCGTCCCTGAAGGAAACGCACTCCACTAAAGCCCCCGACTTCCTGTGCTCTGATCGGCTGTGGCAAGAGGGCATGAAGTCCTCTGAGGAGATTAAAACTACTCTTTGAACATTTTACAAAGGATTAATCGAAATGAGCTGGTATGTATGTTTTGTAGTTTCTGTGGTGTTTATATAAAGCTTTATTGCGAATAGTGGGTGATACATTTAGTTAACACTGGCTATTTCCTGGTAGCAGCACTGATGCTAACATGCTAACAGCTAGTTAGCTAATAAAACAAGCGTCTTTCCTGTTTAAACACTATAGAATACAGAAACTATATCCTAGTGTGTGATTGTTTCTATTCGCTTTGTTTTTGTTCCTGGTGCATCGATTCAGAAATAAAAACATCTGCGCTGTTGTAGCTTTAATTTGTTTTCAAAGTTTAGCCGAACTAGCCATAAAGTAAACTAGAAGAAAGTTGACATTACGCAATACAACGGCCCCATTAAGAACGATGAACTATCCCAGGGTCACAGAGATATGTCACTAATAAAGCTATGCCTATGTGTTCCAAGTCTATGTGATGATTTGCTGTACAGTTCTCAGTGTAGTTGTGATGAAGAGATTCAGTATGGCTGAAATACACTGGAAAGCCTCTGGCAAGTCTGCATTGCTGCCATTTGGAAGATTAGATGACACTTTATAGTAATACTATGTATTGCTCACAAAATCATATATTTTTGTTATATTATAATAATAATTTTTTTACACGTTAATTGGCTGATTTGGGCCAAACAACATTAGAAATACATTTCTAATGATAATAATAATAGTTTGTCAGTTATACTAAATTGTACAGTCAATGTTTAAATTTTGCACATCATAATAACGTGGTCTCATAGCACCATGATGCGTTGTGTGTCATGTGTCATTTTTAGTGCACAATTATCCCGAGCATCACTACTCATTTCAGTCAATAGCTGGCAGTTGGCGCCCAGACCAGCACGCACTGCCAAACACAAGGTCAAGAGTGGGGTGAAGCGCAAGAGAAAGAAGCTCTTTATGGCCTGTGCTGACTGGTGCATTCCTGTAGGGTTTGGACACTTGCTTCTCTGACGTGAAAGCTTTGACTTTGGAGTCATTGACAGAACAATCCCACTTCCCAACATCTTCAACAAGTCTTCTGTGCTTCATGGAAGACCCAGGGTCGTGTGATGCACTGCCCCGCTAATGGCAAATGCACCAAAAATTCAGTGCTGCTTTCAGTGGCATAATGTGTCCCAGATAGAGGGAACTGTTATGTCTTTGTCCATGCCTACGTGCTTACTGGACTGTAGTGACGTGAAGCCTATTACAGAAAAGATCAGATAGCTCTGTAAATGCATTCTAGCCAAAATCTTCACAGTAACAGCCAATGTGGAACATACAACTTTTATGCATCAATTAACATAGGCTAATAACTAATCATGGCATGGTCAAAACAAGGGATCCAAAGAAATGATTCTTTAGACTAATAAATAAATATGACAAGTCTTAATTTCAGTTTCAGTTTAGTTTATTTCAAAGGGCACAATGCATTTTAGCAAAGCACACTATTAAACAGCGTTAAAAAAGCCAGAATTAGCCAATCCAGCAGACATTTCCAGAGAGGTGTAGAGAATAACTGAAGCCAACTACTAGTAGTGAGTAATACCAATTGGTTTTGAAATTACATTTGTCTAGTTTGTGTTTGAATTCTGTTGAAATGTTACATTTTATCAATGATTGATCCAAGAGTGTTAATATTTTAGACAAGATTGAACTATAAGTGCACACAAAAAGAGGCACATAAAACAGCTGTAAATCCTTTTTTGACTTCAAAATTTTCAATAATCTAAAGCAGCCATTCCCAAACTCAGTAACACCGAGGCCCCCTTAAAAATCTGATGGGTCTGCGTGGCCCCCCAAAATAATAACCAAGAAGACAACATTAAGAATAGGCTCTTCTGGTTATTTTATTTTGGGGAAATAGCCTCTGCTACAAACATTGTAATACAAAAATGATTACAGTGGATTATTCAAGTCAAATAATGAACACAAATATTTTAATATTACAAACAAAAAATTATACATTTAACATTAAATAATTATATTATTTTTTTATTTTTTTTATGACCTCCCGCGGCCCCCCTGCAGTACCCTCGCGGCCCACCAGGGGGCCGCGGACCCCACTTTGGGAGACACTGATCTAAAGTATAAATACAAACACCAGTGAAGCACAGTCTTTATAAAACATGCCACTGTTTTATTAGGTTTTGGGTGGCTAATGGGCTAAAGATAAATACATTATGTGCAAATGGCTCATGCACAGAACTTTCCTGGAGGCCGCTGTGTCAGTCGGGTACTGGTTGCTTTGGACTTCAGTTCCAGTCTTCGCGTCAATTCATCCCTTTACATTCCATAATGAGCGGCAGTATGTAGATTTGTGTGTGTATGTAGGGCTGCATGATTTTGGCAAAAGCGCTTTGTGACTCAGTCTGTGAATGGCTGCTATATTTAAATACTTACTACTTAACTCCAATCTTTCTGACAAACCTAACGCAAGCGATTTCATTAAGGTGTGTGGAAGATGAAGCAAACAGAGACGGGATCTCGGCACACCAGAGCTCCTGGAAGTTTATTCAGTTTCCTCCAGGTTTCCGTTGTTTCGGTTTTTTCAGACAGAACAAAGTCAGAACATGGTTTATATAGTCATACGTCACAGATACGTCACACACAGAAAGACATACGTGTCGCATCCAGAGACAATCAGAACATATCAGAGTCATAACATGGATACACAATGGGACCATAATACTCGTGAAATCTTGAAAGGTGCTATAATAAAATTAATCTATTGCTTGTTTGGAGCCTAAAAGGTCATGAATTTGGGATTTTTGTATATTTCACCAAAACAAAGTTCAAGGAATGCCCATGGATAATATCCTTTTAATTTCCTTCTGCAGTCATTATCCAATTATGAGTCACAAAAAATATTTTCTGTATTTAAGGATGTAAGGTAAAAAAACACATTGATAAATCTAAGGCCCTGTTTATACTGAGACGCTGCGCAGACGTTTCCAGGCTATTAACAGAAACGACCAGGCTCCTAATGCAAATTTCTCTGCGTTCACATGAGGTTGAAAAACGATGTAGTTCTACCGCCCGGCCAGTAGTGGGCAGAGAAAATTTACAAAACTCACATGACCCCCAGCCCCATGCCCAGCCCCCCTCTCGGCAGTGTACTCACTTCCTGTGCCAGACCCTCAGAATGCACTAACATCATTCTGCCTTTTAACAGCAGCTGTGAAAATGGAAACTGAACCTAGAGCTTCGCGTGGTCTCGTTTGGACGAACGAAGGAGTAGAATCCTCCTCTGTGCTGTGCTCGAAGCCCACGAAGCTAGTTAGTGTGACCGCCGCCACTGTTGTTTATGTTTGTTCTCCGCTACTGCGCATGTCCAAATTTACGTGCGGGGAGCAGCGCGGAGGTGGGGGTCAGAGCAGAGGGGGATTTCACACCTTTTACCCTCTCGCGGGTGTGAAAGAGAGCCCCCGCTGTGCATCGTTTCTGAGTTGTCCCACTCTGCAGGCTGGATCTGAACAGTTACGTTTTTACCCCCCTGGAACACAGTCTTTGTATGACCGGTTGGTAGAAACCGACATCCAACTATAACGTTTTACTGCCACATTGTCTCTGTGTAAACTCAGCCTAAGTGGAGTTCAAGTAACGTGAGGTCTTGTTCACTGTGAGGGAATGATCAAGCATTAGATTGACAGACTGATCCAGTGTTTCCCACAGGTTTGAAGGCAATGTGTGGTGGTCGTCGGCGGGGGGGGGGGGGGGGGGGGGAGTGTGGTACAGTGGTACAGTGGTAGAGGACAATCTTGAGGTCATGAATCCAGTGAAATTAGTCGCACACCTTTTTACAGTAATAAGTTACAGTAGATCAAAAGTGACATGTTTTGACTATTTTGGAGGTATTTTGGACCAAAATGGCTACTTTACCTCAATATTTCTACAGTAAAAGTGTCTGGTCTTTGGTACAGTGGTAGAAGGCAATGTTGAGGTCATGAATCCAGTGAAATCAGTTGCACACCTTTTTACAGTGAAAAGTTACAGTAGATCAAATGTGACATGTTTTGACCATTTTTAGGCTATTTTGGACCAAAATGGCTACTTTAAATCAATATTTCTACAGTAAAAGTGTCTGGTCTTTGGTACAGTGGTAGAGGACAATCTTGAGGTCATGAATCCAGTGAAATTAGTCGCACACCTTTTTACAGTAAAAAGTTACAGTAGATCAAAAGTGACATGTTTTGACTATTTTGGAGGTATTTTGGACCAAAATGGCTACTTTACCTCAATATTTCTCAATATTTCTACAGTAAAAGTTTCTGGTCTTTGGTACAGTGGCAGAGGGCAATAATAAGGTCATGAGTCAAGTGAAATTAGTCGCACACCTTATTCCAGTAAATAGTTACAATACTTGAAAATTGCACTAGCGGACCAAATTGTGTACTTTATACATGTAAACAATAGAGTGGCTATCCTCCTGAGGACTCACAATCTGCCGGAGGAATCGTAGGGGGCTGGTGCTATGTGTGCCGGGTGGCATCTCTATAAGGTTTTAATCACAAAAACGTGTCTCCCAGACCCCAGCGCGCTTTCTGTTCGATAAAAATGGGTGACTCCGAAAGGACGTTCCGCTGTTACCGTAAGTTCTCAACAAAACGCGCACCGTCTTTTCCCCGATGCGGCCCGCATGTTCATAGAGCTGAAAGATGCGGGCCACTTTACCGCGGTAAATTAATAGACACAGCTGCTTACAGCGATGATCGCTGATGGAGACGGAGACACGCGGTGTGCACGAAGGGGAGGGGCTGTGTGTGTGTAGGTCTCTGTATGTGGGAGAGACGCGTAGCTTGAGTGAGAGTTACGAAGGGCCGCCACATTTTAAACCCCCCTCCCCGCTGTCAAATTGACCGCTGCGGCGGCACTAGACGATGCATGTTTTAAATAGCGTCACAAAAAAAATATATATATAATAATACGAAACGCAATTTGTGGCGGGCGGTCTCTAATCTGTGGCGGTGCGCCACAGATTAGTCTATGTGTGGAAAACACTGCTGATCAGTGCAGCATGTGCGGTGATGCCGTCGCTGTGTCGAACTGTTGTGAAGAGGGATCTTAGTCAAAAGGAAAAGCTTTCAAGTTATCTGTCAACCTTTGTCCCCACTCTTACCTATGAGCTTTGGAAAACTTATTTTGTCAAGCAATCAAGATGCCGAAATGCGTTCACTGGGTTGTCTTGTTCATTTTGATAAAAGTCTACAATCATAATAAGGATTAAAGTTAAGCAGGAGAGTGACTTCAGGTGGGGACGCTGGATTGACCAGGTGCACCGCTACTCCTCCAATCAGCACCTGAGTCACGGGCTTCTGGGAGGTGGGAGGGCCAGTGGTTGTCCAATGACAGGCCAGGGATCTTGAGACAGGAGGGGTTGCCACACACACATAAACACATGAAATACAAAACAGGGAGCAATATACAGGCCCAAGGCCGTAACACTTCATTTTTCTATGTTTACATCACGTGCGGTGAGGTTTGGGATTGCGGACGCAGTGACTTTAAAAGTCAGATTTACAATCGTTATTCTAATAAAATTTGCGAGGAGCAGGAGACACGAGGAGCGGGAGACGAGAGGAACACAAACAAGAATTTAAGTTGCAGAACTCTTGAGCAGTGTTCTAATGGGAGTTTTCGGAGAAGCACTGTTTTGCGAGCTGTGAGCGATCCCAAGCTGGGAAGGAATCTGGTCAATTTTCAACATAAAACATAAACAAATAATAAAATCGCTAGTTTCTCCCACTATTTGAAGTAAACCTGTAAGTCTGTTGGCAGTCTCCCAGTTTATATTACTTCTTGCTTTAATTTAAAGTCCAGTTCAGAAAGAAATCTGAACTCGTTTCATCCATTTTTCCAGCAGAGAGAGGTTCAAGCTGCACTAACTGACTTTGGGATTTTGAAGCCGGGGACTCGCTGGCCTCGCTCTTTCTGCTCCCCTCCCCGCACCCACGAAGCTATCGCCCCCCACACACACACACTGTTGGGACGGAGCTAGCGTCTCGCAATATGGATAATACATGGATATGGATTTGCACGTGGATGGCGTGACCATAGAACGATACAACCGGGAAGCGCGGAGGAACGAGACTTTCTTTTGGATGGCTGTCTCGCTGTGTAAGCAGTAACCGTGACGAAGACACACGAAGTTTCAGGTTAGCTCCTTGGCTTGTTGTGCTAACTCAGCTGTCTGTGCTAACGGATTTGTAGATTTCTCACAAAAGTGGGGGCCAGTGGTCCGCTGTGATTGGTCACAATCTGCGACCCGAAACACATTCTCTTCCTTGTTTCATCAAAACTCGATCTAAAATATAATGTCACGCCAGCACAAACCTGCGCTACTTTTTCTTCAAAAGGACATATATCCCAATGCACTACATGGACATGGATAGCACTTTTGTAATGAATACAAAAATAAAGTCAGTTAGTGCAGCTTTCAGTATGAGGTTCAGGCTCACTATTGCCCCCTTCGGTGAGGCACAGATACTGCCTGCCACAAGGCAAGCTTTTTCCTCATGTCTTTATCTCCGTTCAAAAGACTTAAACTAAATGTAAATAGTGCATACATATGTGCAATACTTTACTAAACACTACGACAAGTTAAACAAATGTTTTCAAAGCAGGATATTAGAAACAAACAACAAAATGCCAACCAGCACGAGCCGAGTACACTCGCACAGTCCACTGTGAGGGAGCAGGCGATCTGGGGTGAGGCCACTGGGGGCGGGTTTCGGCTCAAAAGTGGCCAAAATGACGTGCGCTGACATGCTTACAATACCACCCCAGGCCGATGGGGGTGGACCCAGAAGTAGAATTAGCCAATGCTAACATATAGCATTGGCAGACCTCTCGAAAACGTCTTTACAGGATGGTCCAAAAGTTGGCTCTTGGCCCAAAGCTCCGTTCCACATGTGTGTCAATGCTGAGGGGGGTGGATTTTTTGGACCACTCTAGTTTACTTACTGTGGATTTTTGAAGTCTCTCGTTCAAATGAATGGAGCTGCGCCGGCTGACGCATGCGCAGATGCGTATTTTCACAATTTTCTTGTGGGCGGGACCACTTGCTGCCATTTTGGATAGCTCCAGTAGAGCAAATTTTTTGGCCCATTAGTTAGAACGGCGGAGATAGGCGTTACTCTGTCCGTTAATATATACAGTCTATGGGTGAGGCACGCAGGTGCGCTGCCCACCTTGTCTCTTTGAATAAGAAAAACTGGATTTCAGCGATTGTGACTCCAAAAATGATCAAAACTGGGTTGAACTGTACCAAAAATACATTAAAAGCATAGTACAGTGGAAAACAATTACTAAAATAAAATGCTATAAATATTTCTTATGTCTTTAATCATATTGCCTATAGCCTTAATTGAGTATGGCACTAAACAATCTGTCTCAGTATACCCTGTTATACTTTATATTCTGCTTTGCAAAGCTTCAGTTGAAATAAACTCTTGGATTATGTTATGTTTCAATGGAGCTGTCATGAGAGATGTTCTGGAGCTCCACCGTGAGGCCCACATCACACCCTCTCGTCTCCGTCTCATTAGTCTACACACCTTGGCTTTGGCACAGCTGCTGCCTCACGCTGCCTGACAGCACCACAGTCCATCATGGAGCTCTGATATCAGGCTATTAGCACCACATCAATGACAACTTACAGCCATGCACAAGTTGGTGCTTTTTGTCCTATTGCTGAGTTTTTGTTTGAAAGCATTTTGATATTGAGATAAAAAGGAATGTTCCAAGCGCTGTAGATTGTGCACAATTCAATTTATTTTTGTATAGGCCTCAATCACAGTAGTAGTCGTCTCAGAGGACTTTACAAAGTCCTAAGACTGCTGTCTGTAATAATACCAGCACATTGTTGTTTCGAACTGGCTTTATTTCTGTTCAAAGTAACACAAAATGCAAAACTATATAGTGCAATAGAAGTCAGATGTTCTTGTTTTTTTTTTAAATGTAACTTCATTTTCATGTTTCATACTAATGTGATCATGGTTTGTTGTTTTAGTAGAAATGCAATTCAAAAGCATTTCTGTTGTAACAAGAGCTCTTTTGGTCCAGGTGGTTCAAAGACAATGAATCGATTTCAATTAACTATTTCAATAATCAATAAGTTGCGATTAATCGAACTTGTTACGGCAACATTTTTAATTTCTTAACTTGAATTTGTTCACATCTGGATTACAAGAAGAAAAACCTACTTTCTTATTTTGTCATTTTAGGATTCCGTTCAAGATCGGACAGCCAAAGAAGCAGGTCGTCTCTAAAACGGTAAGTCACTCACAGAGGGTCATGAGCTGACCTGTGTGTCATTGAAGGGGGAGAACTTGCTAACTTCGAGTGACAGTAAGTGGGTGTCCTCCTTTGAGGAAACCACTTCCCTTGTAATAGCTCTGGTGCGACACCAAAGAACTGCTTTTCCAGCTTCCTGCGCCCCCCAAGCCCAACCCCTGGTTAGAGTCAGACATCCATAGTGAGTGTGAGCTGCCTCCATGGTGGCTCTGACCTCTGTTTAAATGTTGGAGCCCACAGAACCACAGGACAGGAAGTCTTCTCCCTCTGTAACCTGACAGTCCAGGACAAACTGTAATAAGCCCAGGAAAAATGCTCTGCGGTACCCGGTGTTTACATCCAGATTCACGTGACCATTTTATGATGTGCTTTTAATATTTTCATTTATTATGTCTGTTTTATAGGATGAGAGAGACTTTGAACGAGAATATGAAAAACTACAAAAGTAAGTATTTAGTGTTATCAGAAGTGGTCTTGAACATTGTGCCAGGGACAATATGACTAGATTTACCATACAACCCTAAAGTTAATATCTACTATGTGTTATTTTTGGATTTAGTGCTAAAATGAATGTTTTTCTTTTTTTTTCTTGAGAATAAACTAATTCATGTGTGTGTCAAGAAAGAGGCGAGTAATTCCGCCTTCGATAGCTGTGTGGCTGAGGTCAGAGGAACTCCCCGAGCGCCTCACAAAATGAGTGGGAGCACATTTTACTCGAGATCGTTTTGAGTAGGAGGGCCCTCTATCAAAAAGGTGTGGTGCCAACAGACCTTATAGATGCGTCACAGACAGCAACAGGCTGGTACAGGCAACTCCAACCCCCAGGAGATCTATAGCACAGTCCTAATACTCACAATAATTTATTTCCAAATATGTCCACAAAATCAAATATTGGTTTTGGTGTATTTTTTTTCTGGCAAACAAATATCTTGTAATATACTATACATAAGCAAAACAATTCAGTAAAACGATTTCCTTCTATTATATGTTGAACCTCAATTGTCAGTGAGTGTGTGGATGTGGCTGAACTGGGGCAGGGGGCAGCATCTGGTCCCCCTGAGCTCTATTAGCACCTTTTTAGGAGCTCGCTCTCCGACCAGCACACCTGACCATGGGAAAAGAGCTCTTTGCTACTCATTTTAAGGTGGGCGGCTATATCTGCCATTCGACTTGACATGCACAGACAAGCAGTAGAGAAACTCATTGTGAATCTACGTATTTGTTTATATGAGAGGCGTTATCCCGGCATCCAGTTGTTTTTTCTCCCCAAACTGACTCAGATTTGTCATTCTGAACAATTATTTATGAATTATTATAGTGCAGATCCTTTCAATTTTTTTAGGGTAAAATAAATACATTTACATTACCGATCTAATGCTGAAATATTTGTAACCGAATGTAGGATGGATCTTAGTTTGTAATAAAGGTCCATCATTGAACTAGTAAATAATTTAAATATGCTGCATTTGAAAGCAAACAAGCATACATATAGCAATTTTCACAAATTGGCTTTACGTATTTGTTCAGTTCATGCTGTACTTGTAAACTACAAATATAACCCCAGCTGCCCTGGGGAAGTCTGGCAGAAGCAAGGCTTCCCATTTACACCACCTGTCCCTCCAACCACAATTACACTCACTCCAGATTCCTAAGACTAGGCATTACGTAGTGTTACTGAGGTTCCTTGTCTTGGAACAGAACAGTTTGCATAAAGCCTTAAGCACTGGGTCATTGGGCCCTGTTTTTTTTTTGGCTTCTCTGATACATTAAGATCAGGGTTTACACACAGTGCATGTTCCGTAAAGGTAGTTTACATTTTCAAGGATATTTGAGCCGATTAATAATTATATTAAAGTGACCTGGTAGCGATTCAGTTACACAATAACTATAAAGCAGCCGAATCCCCAAGTTCACAGTATCGTCAAAAAGCCAGATCTGCAGCTCAGCTGATAGAAGTTGCTTGATCAACCCTCTAATGCTCAGATCGTATGTGTTACAAAGATTAAACGCTGTGTGTTAAACGCTTAAAATGTTATTTACGGTAATGCCATTATAGGCTAGTTTAAGGGCTGTGATCACATTCCTACTGTAAAAACACAAAAGTTACTGTGAAGATTGTTCTGACAGACCTGCTTGAATGCAGTGCAAACAATAAGAGAGAAAGTTACATCATTTTGTAATGAGTGACATTTTTGGAACAACCATTCATCTGGACTGTGCCGATTTGGTCTGAAACTATTAAAGACGGACAAGGAAAAACAAAAGCGTTTAACGAATGAAAACTGGAATCGGAAGGTACTGAAACAAAAAGCGTACAACCATGAAATGAAAGAATGCTCTTAGACACGTCTAAACATAGACTTTTAATACAGCAGATGTATTTGCAGATGATGAAGTCCCTTAAAGCAAAGCTGCAAACAAAACCATTTTTCCACTTCTCTGTCAAATGAGGATGGGTGATATGACGTGCTGTGGCGGTCTCGGGGGAGACTCTAAACCCCTCATCTGCTTTAATTGATATAATGAATGGCATGTGTTTTCTGCCTCCAGACTGGTAATTGCTGTTTTTTTAACTCCCATCAATAGAATATGCGCAGTGAAACGACTGAAGATATAAATGCTTTTGAGTGCAAATGTTGCGACAAGAACAAGTATTCCCGGTTTTGTTAATTGGGTAAAGGTTGTTGTAATAATGTTTTATGTGGAGTCAGTCATATGTGCAATACTCATTTTAAAGGATAATCCATTTTTTCTGTCAGATGGGTTCTGAATTGGGATTTGAATCCTGTTCCACATTGAGTTGTAATGCTCATTTCTCGGCTTTTGACATATTGTTACGGATTTGCTTTTGCCGTCAATTTTTGTGATGGTTTTTGTGTTACAGATGAATGATCATTGTCTTTTTTGTCCCACAGGTTGGAAGATCAAACAAAAAAACTTCACAAAGATATGAAGAAAAGCACAGAGGCTGATTTGGGTATGTTCTGCTGGCAATGTGTATCACAGCTCTGGTTGTACCATTGATCTACAAGTGCTAGCCAGTTTTTTGTTTTTTGGACAAGTTTCATGACAATTGGTGGTGTTCTACACTTTGACACATAATTTGTATGCTTTTTTACCAGCGTTTGAATTATATACATTTCAGTCGCCAGAATGGGATTTATAGTAAATGCACTGTACCTATCCTAGCTTACTTGGTTTTGGAGTTGTGTATTTGGAAGTATCCGTAGACATGGCCTGTGGTGACTGGTGAGGTGTGGGGGCGGAGGAGCCAGGATGGAGTCGGAGGCTTCTTCATTTCCTCTGCCTGGTGCTCTCCAATGTCTGTTGCATCAAAGTGCCAACGCTGTCAGCCCTCGTTACTGAAACATGGTTCATTTGCCGCTCAACAAATGATCTTGAATATTTGCTGGACGCATTGCAATTTTAACTTTAATTAAATCAACACTGAAGGGATAATGGGAATGATTGGCCTTTGCTTGCATTGCTTATAGTTGATTGGCCTGGACTCCAGCACAGGGTCTTTCATCTATTGAGCCACAAGTCATAATTGGGCCGAAACACTAGAATAATCTAATAATCCTTTGTGTCTTTGACCCTATCCTGCTTTTAAACACAAAATGAACTGCATGCTACATTCAGTAAATAAACTGATGGGTTCAATGCATTTTAAGCATTAAAAGGACAGTTTATAAGATTTATAAATAAAATTACATCTATGTCTTTATCCCCAGACACAAGGTAAACATGCATCTGTTGACCTCGACAAATTGTCCTTTTTTCGCCAACATTTATAATCCACCTTTATCCTTAATCACAAAGGCACATTATGTATGCTAACATTTTTCTTGTACATGAGTCTCTCTTCTGGGTTGCCATGTGTCTTTGCTGTAAACCAGCGTGTTTGACTCGCTTCCGTCATCACCGTGTGTGGAATGATTGGAACAATATCTGAGCTCCGAACATTGTAAATCACTTTGGGTGACCTTGGTCTGTAAACTGCGCTATATAAATAAACATTACTTACTTACTTACTTTCTAACCTCCAGCAGCTGAGTATTCAGATCAGATATTATCATTATGGTGCTTACCGCACACCAGTAGTCTAACCCAGTTTTTAAAGCCTAAAAATGTTGTAGTAAATGATGGAGGTTAACAAAATGTTGTTTTAAATGAGGAGAGGAAAACGAGATACTAAGAAGCTCAAGCACTCAATTTGTGAAAGCATTTGTTACATCCATGTATTACTATTAAAATTGCGCCGATATTCTCCGGGTGCTCTGGTTTCCCATACCACTAAAAACACTAGTATGACAGGTATGAAGGAGTGATTTGGAAGTTTGCATGTGGAGGGTCTGGCATGTTCCTCCTTTGTACAGGCATCTCCACTTCTGTCAGTGTTTACTGATCGTAAAAGGGATTTGAGAGACTCCGTCTCAGTGAAATGCTCTTTAAATTAGGACTGCAATTAATGATTTCTTAGCGGATTATTCTTTTGATTAATCAATTAGTTGTTTATATCTTGAAAGTTTGGTGAAAATCTGTCAAAACAGAATTTTACATTTGACCAAAATATAGCTCTTGTTAAACTTGTTAAATAGGATTTAAAATACTTTGTAAACACATTTTCATTTGATTTGGCAGTCATTATAGGATTATCTGAGCCATGAAACCTCTCCTTAGGAGGTTTAAGTCTATGTAAGGTTAAAAAAAGATGTCTTTAGACAGAACTGGACCAAAAGGAATGAAAGCTAATTTACAGATTTGACCAATGTCAACTGATGTTAACATACTACTTAATCTTGTCAATACATGTATCTGATAAACCAATACCATTGTTGTTGTTTTTACGATTCATATTGAGGAAAAGGATATTTTGTGCTTCCTAGCAAAGCCCATTTTCACCAGAGCCTCTAATGCGATGTGTCGGATACTCTTTCGCTCATTTGTTACGACAGAGAGGCTGATGCATCTCAACAATGTGTCTAAAGAGCAGATTATCTGTAATTTGTTCTGTCAGTGTGGGATTGGATCAGATTCTTGGTGCTCTGGCGAATCTTCATCACATCTTTTTTTGTCCCATCGTGTTTGCAGTCTTTTATTCTCTTCCAAATACTCAAAGAACCCATGAAATAATTACCATTTATGTGTTCATTTTACAGCCATGTCCAAAGCAGCTGTGAAGATCTCTGCGGACTTGCTCAGTAACCCTTTGTGTGAACAGGACCAGGCTTTTCTAGAGTCCATGACTGCACTGGACACAGCTATGAAGAGAATGGACTCCTTCAACCTGGAAAAGGTCAGCAATATGTAATTTTGATAATGGTTCTAGAATTATCTGAGGAAATTTACTGAAAAAAACAAAGACTTTTTCCATGTAGAATTGTCAGTATTGCACAGACTGTGGAGTAAAAGCTATCCGTATGTCTTTCCTTCTGCTGTGCATCTGCGACATCATCCGCTATAAGCTCAGACTACTGGTTATCAGCTGTGAAATGGAGGCTTTTGTGACTCACTGTTACAGGCCAATACAACTCGACACACTTAAAATACACACCTTTTACAAATATATCTAACTGCAATTTTCAAGGTGATGTTTTGATGATAATTGGCATGCAATTTCACCATTGTTCCAATAGAAATAATAAATAATGAAAGTAATTTAAAAGGTTCACTATGTGTTTTCTGGTAGAGGGAGTGCCATCTGTCTGTCTGCAAGGAGCCGTTGATTTGCATAGAAGTTACAGGGTATAACCCGAAGCACTTGGCCCCTCAAGGCCAGGTTATGTGTAGTTTCACTATCAAATGGATGTAACTCAATATAAGTAGCTCAGTGATGATGATCCTCTACAGCTAAACAGTGTACCTTTTCACGTGTTGTTTTTCTGTTGCATCACTTGCTCCTAAAATATTTGACCCAGCTGTACTCTGGCTTTTGTCCTTGAAGATAATATTGCTATAAAAAAAGAAACAAATCTGTGAGTTCTATGTAACTTTAGTTACTATATGGGTGTTTCTGTTCTCACAGACCTTTTATTTGGTTGTCAAGCAGCCTGGCACTATGTTACTGGGTGTGCTTTTGTTCTTGATGAGAGTCATTGCTACAGGTAGTTGTGTGAATCATAGTGGCACCCTGTGTGTGGGTCCTCCAGGCATTGCCATGTCAAGGCTTTGCAAGACGCACTACGCTGCAGCCTGCTCTCTCTGATCAGTCTGTGTTTTCTTGACTCATTGCCCTGCTGTTATCTCTTCTGTTTTTACATTTACAGGCTTTAAATATTCCTCTTCCCTTGACCAATTGTTCTAAACTTGTTTTCTTTTCTTTTAACAACAACATATTTTCACTAGACCTGCATAATCTCAAGCAATTTTTTATTAGGTTAGGACATCATGCAAATTATAAACATGCCCCAAATCTGATTCAATAGCTGAATTTAATTTTTTGTAATTTGAATGGTGGTAGAGGCTGTAGTATTAGATTTTTCTTTTACCCATACCCACGAGTGACTAGACGGAGAAGACTGTGGCTTCGTGACCTGGGGCCTGTGCTCAGCTCTTGGTCAGACGCCCGGCTCAGTTCCGCTGCCAGCTCTATGGTTCAGGAGAGACCTTCAAATTCTTTACATTTTGTTGAGCATCTTTTTGGTTTTGCTCCATCTGTCATCTCTCATTAAGTACAATAGCCTCTTACTCACTTGGCATTTTTAATTTGTACTTATTTCACTAGAAAGTTCCTCTTAATAATATTCAGATGAATGTACTTTTTAATATTCAGTGTAGTGTGTGCATTAAAACAACACTATACAATTGCACTTCAAGATCTTCAGATTTTTACAAAATAAGTAAGTAAGTAAGCTTTATTTATATACCGCCTTTCACAGACCAGAGTCACAAAGCGGTTTACAATTGTTATTTTTTGGGCACTTGTCCTCTCACTCCACACAGAGATGGGAGCGGGGTCGCCCGCACAAAGAACACACTAACATAGTCTACCATTTTTATTGTCATTGTCATGTGTATAGTTTATTCTCTCATCCTCTAGCTAAGCTGGCAAAGTTTAATATATTTTGTGTGCCACTTGATCTTGCACCACTGTCCTCGGTTTCTATGAAAGTCTCACTGCTATTTATCAGAGTGGATTCTGTCATGGCTCACACCAGCATTTTTTTTCAGCTTCTATTGTCTTTTATTATTTATTTTTTTACTCATTGCTAAAATTGCCTGTATTTTTGTCCTTTCGATAGGCTTGAGGCGATAGTGATTTTGCTCATTTTTACCTAGTTCTAGGAATATCACCTCAGGTTTGCTAGGTCTGTATAAACAGCATCACATATCTTCTGCTTCAACCTTAAGCTAACTGTTGATTCTGACGGCACTAGCTGTAAAGCTTATTGCTTTAGCAAAACAGACACAAAAGCATCCACCCTTTGCTCTTTTCTGCGTTGAGCCGAGATGTTTCACCGCAGGCCCTGTGAGTGAGAGAGCCAGTAGATAAAACGTGCAGCGATAATGAAGGCAGCAGTGGCCCCGGTCTGTGTGTTTATTTCTGGGGCTGAGGAGGGCGCGCAGCCCCGGCGGCGCACTGCTGCTGAAGTGGAGCCCCAGTGAAGATGGCACCAGCGCGGCAGAGGATGCTCCGTTTGGAGGTGTATTGATTTCCTCTGCGATCTGTGTGTATTTTTGGGAGGCCTGTGTGCCGAGCTGGCCTCTGCCCCGTGACTCACTGATGGAGACTGCTGCTGGAGCGCCGGCCTCAGGCTCTGCGGGCCCCAGAGGAACAGTACTGCCCCCCCCTCTCTGTGGGAAGGGGCAGAGGGTAGAGGGCACCAGCATGCTTAAGCAAATCTGCCGCTGTTATTCTCCCTCCTCGCTGCATGCTCTCACCTCACAAGCGTTGCTAAAGCCAGAGAGGGGAGGGGGGGCTGGAGCGGCTGGTGTGAATATGTAAAGCAAAGGATGTGAATTCCCATGTAGTTATTGTTATTGGTGCTGTGTTTTCCCTCAAACCACAATCAACCATTTTGTACTTGGAAGTCTGCCTGTGTGAAGCAGCGGGCGCTGCTGCATGTTCTTGTAGATGGTTGGGGCATTCTTCACAAAGCACAGCTGCGATCTTGTTTGCTTCTTCATGTGTGATTGACTGTCCTTCCAATAGCTACTGAACATATGATTAGCAGAGCTTTGTGCTGTTTTCATGGAGCTGTCTGTTCAATCTCTGTCTCATATTCTGCTCTTATGAGGTGCCTGCGTAACATTGCATTGCTCAGACATCTTGCATACTCAGTCATTTGAAATCTGCAATGTAAATGATGTTGGAAACTTTGTTAATTTTGTCTTAACTTCTGTCAGAGACTTGGAGCCCATGCTTTAGGCCTGAGGATGATCTTTTCTTCCTCTCCAGCTTTACCTCCTCCCAGCTTCCACTGTCAGCTCATCTAACCAGGCACCGAATGATAAAAATGTGAACTCTTATTGTTAAATGTTTGTTTGTAAAAAAAACTTTCATCTTGTAAGGCAGCCCACCCTTGACAGGATTTGAAATCAGATGGGTTTTACTTTCATGTTTGTCCCTTGACAGTTCAATCCTTTTATATTGCAAGCTTTATGAATATTCAGCTTTTCCTCCTCAGGGTTTGAGTATAATAAGAGTCAACGTCACAAAAGTTTCTTTACAATACCCCCTCTCCCCTCCGGTCGCACTATTTTTCTGGAGTGTTCATTTTGAAAATTACACTATTGTTTGTGCTCCAGTATTTGTTTGCTAATGAGCCAGAGTTGTTGAAGCTCGTTTAACTCCTGTTTTGATGTAACACATTTTGACAATGAATATTAAAATCTGATAAATATTCTCTTTTGGTGGTTCTTTTTTCTGTTGCAGGTCAACCAGATACAGAAGACTGTTATTGACCCTTTAAAGAAGTGAGTAATTGTATTTATTTATAACTAGTAAACATGACGACATCCCACTGACTAATGTAATGGTTTTCCTTTTTAAATGTATACCAAAACACAAACATACGTTTGAGCATACTGTTGAAAACGGTAATGTAGTAATTACACAATTTCAAAATGTATTACTTTTGGGGAGTCCACTTTGGAAATGACTGGTATAAACCCATTGATATTGGTTCTTTTGGACTAAAACTGCTGGACTAAAACTTGCTCCACAAATGCACACATTGAAAAGACACAGTTGCAAACTCATGCAAAGCTGCAGGGGCTGATGGGAGTGGCAGGACGGTCCCACTCAACTTCCGTAGCACTAGTTAAGGTTTTCTTCCTCCTCCGGACTCCTCCCTACTCAGAAACACATGCTATTAAAAGGCATCTGTTTTTATCACTTACTATTTCTTTATTTTACATTTTTCTTTTGTGGGTTTTCTTATTCATTTACTACAAATATTTGGCCACAGCTGAGTGTCATATAAAATTATATATGTAAATTCACATTTGAAAGATTTTTTTAAAGAATGGAATGGTTCTAATTTCCTCTTCCTGGTGGGCGGCAGGCGGACGTGTAGGCAGACTCACAATATGGCAAAGGGCCCAGCTCTTTTGAGCTCAGAGATGTGGATTGAATAAAAGGGGTCTATGCACCATTGGACACGGAGGCCACTTTAGATTACACAGTTGGAATTAATATAAGTTTTAATAGAAGTCTATAACATACTGAAAGACAAGTAGACCTGACCACTTAACATTCCCCTTAAAACCACTGTATTTGTTTATCAGAAGTCGCTTTGGAAAAGTAAGACAAAGACTTTACTTTTGAGCATCCATTAAGATTCCATTAGTCTTTCTCTAATGAAGATATCTCATTGTTTACGCACTGTCTAAGAAATCTCTGTTGGTGATCCTGTGTCACATTGAAAAAGGCTGGAGAAAAGCTAAAAAGAAGACAATTAATGTTAATGGAAGACCTTGAATGGACTGCTGGTCTAGCATGTGGCATTCTGTTTCTATACTCGGTTGTGCACAAGTACAGTAAATAAACTAAAAGGGGCAGCAGCCCCTACCTCTCCACATTTGTTCTTTGTCTCTCAGGCCCAAATGTGAATCTCATCCACTCAGCGGGGCCCCAGAGTGACATTGCTGTGTTTATGTGCTGGAGGGGATTGCGTGGGTTTGAGGCATTTGTTTTCTGGGCCTTCTAACTCCTAACTGCTTTGTTGCTCTTTTGGCCAAGATGGGAGTCAAACCACGTTGGGTGGGGGGAACCAATCACTGGTCCCAGACACAATTTAATTTTCTGAATGATACTCTTCCTGGGAGATGCTGTGACTTTAGCATAATATGTCAATGGTAAATGCATAGGGTAATGGTGTCCCTGTTGTCATGACAAAACTCAACATGCTGGGACAGATCAATTGTTTCATTGTTTTCTGTTCTTAGTCAATGATAATTCAAAGTATTGATCTAAGCTCTGTCCACTGCAGCGCTAGACTGAGGAAGTTTTGCGCAGACTTGTCTGTCAGCTGAGACTGGCCTGTGGACTGGCAGTAGCCCATACACACTTTGGTTCAGATGCTATTTCTATCCTGTCTTCTCACTATAGTGACCTGTCAAAGGCGAGTGTTGGTCCCTGCTGCAGTGCAACCCTCAAACCACATCCAGACAGGAATGATCCACAAATGCCAACTTGACTTGATGGACTGTCTCGACATAAAATGGAAGTCATGTGTTTTGAGCACAGAGCATTCACACATCTGGTGCAGATGAGTGAGTGAATATGGAGCTAAAAGCACAGGTTCACTCTGGAATCTACAGGCAGACAAACTCAATGTCTGACTGTAGTGTTTAACGTGAAGTCACCTGCAAAATGCTCTCAGTCGTCGTTGAAGGTCACTGTTGCTGATCACAGTGGAGCGCTGTCATGTTTAGAGGGTGGTTGCATAATTATTTGGCACTTGTAATATGCTTATACTGGAGAAGATAGTAGTCTTGGGCATCCACCTCTGTCGTAACTGGCCTAAAGAGGTGTTTTATAAATAGTTGTAGCGCGTGGGCTGTGGGGTTGGGCTTTGTGATGTCACTCTACTACAAGACCACTCCTTACTTAACTTCCTGTTGAAAACAATTCCGGCTTGTCTAGGTCTGAGTCTCGGTTCACGTCACTTTGGGCCTCTGCCAAAACTGGTGCACTGACAACCACGCTTGAGGAATTTTACACTCCACACATGGAGGCTACTTTGCATCATGCACAGGGCAGCAGTGGTTTTTTTCATTAACTAAGCTCTATATACTTTTACTTCCTTATATCTTGGTCTTTTTTCAGTAGAATGTACCTTTTTATAGCTTGACACCGTTTATCTACAGCAAACAAACAGAATAAACTGGGACACTACTTTATCACTACACTTAATTCGTAACAGTTTTCAATCTTTTTTCAAAAGTGAAAGACTTATTTATTTCCCTAATAAAAGATGTTTTTGTAATGGGGTCCTCAGTAGTAACACTCCAGGGCAGGGGCTGTTGTGCAGAGAAAGGTAAATGGTGTAGCCCACACAACTAGCAGTTTCACACAGTGAAACACAGTTTCGAGTATCCCTCCCTGAATGATGGTGTGCCTACACAGATGATAAAAAGCTTCACATGAGTCATTCAAGAGATCACTTTCTCAACTCTTCTGTTATAGCCATATGTCACACAGCAATCCACTCACACGGTTAAAAACAAATTTAATTTTCTTCCAAAGGGTGAATCTGTTAATTGTCATTGTGTTCAATAATCTGTCTTAATGCAACAGATTGTTAATGTGATGGATATTTGTGCTTGATAAAAAGAATATAAAACTGTATTGAAAGCGTTTCCTATAACATTCCTACTTTGTTCTGAAAGCTACTTCCAAATGCAACAAGTCCCAGGATGGAGCTTAGACTCCTGTTGCTAAGTTACAGATGAGTGTTTTCCTATTTTTAGTGCTGAAGATGAGGATTCTCATTGAAAGAATATATTTTCATTAGGAATATGGTAATTGTCACAAAATAAATTGTACATTGTCGTTTTAAACTGCAGTAATTGGATAATGGAGTAGAAAATATGTCCTCTGGGGTTTGAGCATACTCTGTCAATACTTTCTAAAAGAGGAAGTGTGTTCAGTTGTAATATTTGTTTTAAAATGCTTATGTATTTAAGTTATTTTATTTTGTATTAAGTAATATTGTGTGAACTCGTTTTTGCAGGTATAGCGGCATTTTTCCAAGTCTGAACATGGCCGTGAAGAGGAGAGAGCAGGCTCTCCAAGACTACAAACGTCTGCAGGCCAAAGTGGAGAAGTACGAGGACAAGGAAAAGACTGGGCCCGTCATGGTCAAGCTGCACCAGGTACAAGAGTAATATGACTGCATCGACCCGCAAGCTCCTCATGCAGCGCAGCGTGTGCAATAGGTGACAGAGACACAAATGCTGACTGGATAGGATCAAAAATAGTTGAGCACATGCACACAGTACATGTGCGCTTCCTCACCCACGCAAGCAACCAGCTCTCAACGAGTGTTTTTCAAGCGCTCTGCAGCACATATACAGTAATGTAATTGAGAAATGTAGTTACACACACACAAGGCCACTTCAAAAGTGCACATTGGCAACAGCGCTGCTGTGTTACTTCTAACTCTTTCTCACATGGTGAGCCTCCCACACACTCCAAGGAAGCACTGTCAGGGGAACAAAGCCCCAGAAGAGGCCCTACATCACGGCCTTTTGAGCCCTGTGCTCTTATCGAAGCCACAGACCAAGTTCAGTACAGCGCAAAACCCAATCACCTTGTTTCCATAGAGTGGTATTTTCTCCATTCTCAGAAATACAAGAAATTCTACCACATTCATTGTGTATTCTATAACTGTGTGCCTACTGTACTGTAGGCTTCCCACAAATACATTCACACAGCTCTGTGGTGCTGAGACCACTCACAGCCAAGTCTGCCCACATCACCCACTCCTCCTCAATTTGGTCGTTATAAAAGCCTTCTTTACATTGCTTTTCAGTGGGAAAATGAGAATGCCTTTTGATAATTAAAACTTTTTATTTTATTTGAGTTTTATGAATCTACATGAATGGTGGTGACATCTTGTGCTGACTTTTGACTCCTTTCCACAGGCCAGAGAGGAACTCAGACCAGTTCGAGAAGATTTTGAAGCCAAAAATAAGCAGCTGTTGGACGAGATGCCCAAGTTTTACCACAGTCGTATTGACTACTTTCAGCCCAGTTTTGAGGCGCTTATCCGAGCTCAGGTGAGCGATTTCCACACAGGTCTCTTGTTCATCTTATATTAAAGTGTTTCACTATGGGTCAGTGTTTGTTATTCTGAGCGTGCTCCACACAGTCCTAATGTTATTAGTGCGGCCCACAACACTGAGCTGGAGCAGCTGGGTGTCCCTCAGTGCTCCTTCCCCCCTGGGTCTGCTGGGCCTCGTCATTTCCTCTTTCTTGGGACGACCGCGGGCACACTCCTAATTATACAATTACATTATCCAGACCTAATAACAATTCTGGCATTCTATAATGCACTTTGAACTGAAAGTAAAAGTATTGAATCTGAAGATGTAAGTTTTATTTATAGACCAAACTGTCTATTAACCACTTATAAATGGGACATTATTAACATTATTGTTAAGGTCTTTTTCATAGTCTGTGTCATCACTTTGCTTTCTGGTACCTATATTTTTTATGCTATTGTGTTTAGTTTGCAGTACTTCATTTGTGTCCATCTTGAGTAGTGTTCTGGCTGCAGTCAGGCTCATGAATGAGCACACACATGTTTACACACAGCCACACGTGGGAGGCCTGTGTCCATGCTCCACTCCCATCGCTCTGCGCCTTAGACTCCAGCACAGAGCTGCTTTTGTTGGGAGCGTTTAGGATCTACAGGGATGGCCGCACTGTGTTCATTTGTACATATGTTATCAGTTAAAGCATTTCCATGATTTGAACTGCATTTCTTTAGCCTCAGAACAAATAATACAGAAAACATGGTCAAGCTGTATTTTAAAGCCCTGACACTAGTGTAACATTGTTCTATTATTCATCATATAGTGTGAAGAGGTCAGAAGTCGTTTCAGTGGTGTAAATATTCATGCTGAGACTGGGAGGGTATGTGTAAATGAAAGCCCAGTTTGGCCCATGTGCTCCCAAAGAGTAGGTGGGCAAAGGGAGCAGCGTTTATCTCTGGTGGTGACCAGACTAATTATAAAGCAGAACGTCTTTGGTGAGGTTGTCACCCAGACTCTCAGACACTGATCTGGTCTACATTATCATCACTGCTTATAGGGACATTTCCGATGACTCTTTCAACAAGCTACTTTTAGGAAAAAATATCCGCTTTACCCCCACAAACAGTGGTAACCCAATACTTACTCCCCACTTTTGTGGTTTTGGTGGTAAATATTGGTCTAAACACAGAGCATTCAAGCAGAACTCAGATCTTTGCTTCTGTCTCTGCTGCTTGCAGTATTTTCCCAGGATAAGATAAAAGAACTCTTCCCATATTAATTGTACATTTGTCAGATGGAGCAGCTCTCAGAACCTGTTGCATCTGTAGCAAAGACCTGCTTACGGTCCATGTGGACCAGAACCTCCAGACATAAGAACCGTTTCTTCCCTTCTACAGTTGGACTTATGAACAAAACTCACTAGATAATGTATTACAAAAATGATCTCGGCCCCACAGGGGTCGATCTTGGGACCTCTTCTGTTCAATCTCTACATGCTGCCGTTAGGTCAGTTAATACGCAGAAACGAAGTTTCCTATCATAACTATGCAGACAACACTCAGATCTATGTCTCACTGACTGCAGGAGAACATGGACCAGTGGACTCACTCCTTCACTGTATCCAACAGATCAGTGAGTGGATGCAAAACAACTTCCTTCAGCTAAACGCAGACAAAACTGAAAGGATTGTTTTTGGTCCCCAGAAACAAAGAGAGAGCGTCATCTGTCACCTACAGTTTCTCTCTGAAACCCTCAAACAAAGTCAGAAATCTAGGAGTAATACTGGACTCAAACTTAAATTTTAATAGCCACATTAAATCAGTAACATCAGCAGCTTTTTACCATCTAAAAAACATTGCCAGGATCAAAAACATAGTGTCTAAAGCAGACTTGGAGATTCTTATCCATGCATTTGTCTCCAGTAGGTTAGACTACTGCAATGGCCTGCTCACAGGTCTGTCCAAACAGGCTGTAAAACAGCTGCAGTACATTCAAAATGCAGCAGCTCGAGTCCTGACTAGAACCAGGAAGTACGACCACATTAGTCCAGTCCTCAGGTCCCTGCACTGGCTTCCTGTGGCTCAGAGAATAGACTTTAAAACAGCTCTGCTTGTGTACAAGTCTCTCCATGGCCTCGCACCAAAATATATTAGTGACATGTTAGTCCCATACGAACCAGCCCGGACTCTGAGGAGCACAGGGACTGGACTCCTGTTAGTGCCCAGAGTCAGAACTAAACATGGGGAGGCTGCTTTTCAGATTCATGCTGCTAAAATCTGGAACAGTCTTCCTGAAGATGTGAGACAGGCCTCCTCTCTGACAATGTTTAAAACCAGGTTAAAGACAGTTCTGTTTAGCTGTGCATACAACTGAGGGATTTTATATTTTTATCTTTCTTTTTAATGTTCTGTGATTATTTATGATTTTAATGCTTTATTTTGTTCAGCACTTTGTATAGCACAATTCATACACAAGGCAATTCAAATAAACTTGCCTTGCCATTACAATCATCACTTTAACCTTCTGTCACTTAATAATATACTTCTGGACACCAATCTATAATCTACAGTTAACTGTCTAGTGTATGTATTTATTAGAACGTAATTAACATTTACATAGAATATGCCATTATACCTTTTTTACTGACTTGGCTGCACCACATACCAAAGAATATGCCTAGTTTGTGACTTCTCCTTACTTACAATGGCAATAAAATGATTCTGATTCTGAAATAATTGATTGCAAAGTTGAGGGTCACCTGCAACATCAATCTCTGATGAATAAATAAATATTTAACTGTATCGTGTGGGTTTCAACGGGGTTGCATTTCCCAGTACCTCTCTGCCTACTCTTCTGCAGTCTTGTAATGTGATTAAAGTCTATTAATCATCAAAGGGTCTCTCAGGGGAGCCTGACTCAAGACCTAAGGGGAAGAAGGAGAGGTGGGAAGTGTCAAGAAAGCTTTCAGTGAACACTCGCTATCTTGTGTTCAGATTGGAACAGAAAAGCAGGGTCACTACCCATAGCAGCGCTGGGTTTTGAGGGCTTTATCACTGTTGTTTGATATCTCTGGGTTTTGTTCTTTTCCTGAATTACTTCTCATTAGGAAGGTTGAAGAGTCCACCAACTTTTATACACTTAAGTGTATCCAGATTTAAGTTGTCTTGTCATGTTCGGAAGATCGGCATCTGATGACAGAACTTTGACCACCTAACCAGTTTATAAAAAATGCATTATGTAAGCTACTGTTATTTTAGTTTTTTGTGTCATTGCCAGTGACTTGAGTTGTACTATGAATGATTGAGGAGTGGCTCTGGCTAAAATTCTGTCAATTAGACTTTAACGTGGTGTACTTGTTCTTCACAGGTGGTCTATTTCACTGAAATGTACAACATCTTCAGTGACTTGACTGAGCAGATCGATCAGGCGGGTTTGACGGATGAGCAGAGAGAGAAGGAGACGGAGGCCAAGCTCAACGAGTTGCGAGCATTATCCATCGTAGCCGACGACTGAGGAACGTCCGGCCCTTCACGTTAACGTGTGGCCTTCACTACTTGAGTTTATATTTAGAAATGTTCCAACTTATTTGTTTGATGGCTCTGCATCAATCTAATTTAAGATTGAAAATAATAAGCCAATACATTTTAGATCAGCCATGAAACTGCATAACTGTCTTCAGAAGGAAATACACTTTAAATTGAAGTCAAAGCAGACACAATTTCTGTGTTTGCTAATGAGTGTTTTATTAATCTTAAAATGTGCCTAACGTGATCTCCGGAGTGAAGGGGCATGCTGTCTCGACTGTAACGACTTTATTCATCTCCAAGGCTGGAGCGCCATCTAGTTGCGGATACAAGCACTGCCTTAACCTGTTATTTTCTATCTGCCGGTAACCATATCGTTTTGATTTCGACCACATCAACAACGGTACCTCAGCCGAATACAAAAACTACAGTATGCAAGTTGATAAGGGAACCATTTTATATATTTAAGATCATGTCTGTTTTATCAATGAATATCTACTATTGAAGATGTTAGTAATTTTAGTTGTTTATTTATATACATTTGTGTTAACAAGTCATGTTTACAATTGTATTTTCACAATAAAAAAACTGATTACAATAGTCTTACCTCAGTACAGTTTGACCTAATCAGTTTATGTATATTGCATTTCTCAATTTGAAAATATTGGAACAAAACCATTTATTTTGTCAAACACTCATTACATGACTTTCTATTTGCATTTTTTGCAAATTGTTTTCAATTCATACACATTTGAAATCTGGAACATTTGAAGCCAACCCCCTACTTCCAGTCATGGATGAGTTTTTGCTCAGCTGGGTCAACATTCTTTAACTTTTGACTCCAGTCTTATTGTACATGGCTGAAAGTTGCTCTTGAAAAACTCTGCGAATGTCGGTGCGTCTGCTTTTAAGTGTTGGCGTGAGGAGGCCATTGGCGATGCTGAACATTTCTTGGTGCAAATAGAGGTCCTTCACCTTGAATAAAAGACACTCGGGTCATTCCTTTGCAGATATAAACAAAAGATGGACCAAACGAAGCAAACCTGCTCAAAAGACTTCAAACCTGCTTCTTTTCCAACAGCTTTCATGTCTTCCAGTACTGCATTCTTAACATCCTAAATATTGAAATGTATGATTCAGGAAAACATGAATGAAATGTGTGTGTAATAATTCTACGTACTGGGTTTTGACACAGCTCTTGGTACGATCCCACAAAGCCTTGTTCTTTAGCCCAGTCCACAAACACCTCTGGGTCGGGCACAGCTATTCCTATGAGGTAGGACTAACAGAAAAGAACAAATAAGTGGTTCATAAATGATAGAAAGTAGATACAAAATGTGCCTTACTTCCAAGCTGTCTCCATGCACAAAAACCTGAAGGATGGGCACACAGCGCATGTAGACATTTTCTATCTTTTCTGGAGCAATATATTCCCCTTGAGACAACTTGAATATGTGCTTTTTCCTATCAATGATGCGTAGCGTTCCGTTCTTAAACAGACGAAGATATCAAAAAGAGGAATTATGGCTCAAAAATATCCATTCAAATTGAACTTACAGGAAGCCACTGGCCCACGTCTCCAGTGTGAAGCCAGCCATCACTGTCCAATGCCTCAGCTGTCCTTTCGGGGTCCTTCAAGTAGCCTTTGAACACACTCGGCCCTCTTGTGCAAATCTAGGAAATTAAAATCAATTTGGGTTGAGAAACTGACAATATCAAGATAATGATCATCTCAGTTTTCCCACATTTATTGCCAGCCACTGTCACCAATGTCCTAAGCCTCAAAATATCGGATGGTCTATTCCATTTAAATCTATTAATCTTTCCCCTTTTCACAAGGAGCAAGACGTGCATTAGAGAGTATATATAGGTTTCATTCAGACAATTCATATATTAAATACTCATTAGTGACTCATGTCCAATTCGTTTTTGCCAATCATATCTACCTCTACCGCTGTCTGGGTTAGCTGCTATGGTTCTTATGTTATGTAGTATTCTGTCACATCTCTTAAATGCATACAAGCTGGGGAACTCGACTCTTTGGCTGAGTGAAGCTAGTTTCACAAAGATCCATTTCTGATGTTTGAAAGTTATGGAACTCCAGCTTTAAGTTTGTTAAATGTTTTGGATTCAATTTGTGGAACTTTCACCATCAATTAATTTATTATCAATAAAATGTCATTCAGAGGCCATCAATATTTGGCCTCTTAATTGAAACAATCCTAATTTTCATCACGTAAAAGTCCATCAATAGTGAATGTAGATTTGTTTTTAAACCTCACCTCCCCTTCTCCATTCTTTGCTAAATAGTTCATTTCAGGAATATCCACCACTTTAACCATGGAACCAGGCAACGGTGCACCAACATGACCTTCAAACACAGACATTTGGATAAGGTTTTGCGCTGTGTCATAATGGATCCTATATGTAACAGCGTGTACCTGCTCTCCAGTCCCCGGGCATGGAGAAAGTGCAGCCAGCCGTGCACTCAGTCTGACCGTAGCCTTCGAATATGAGGCAGCCCAGCGTGGCCCGCAGGAACGACAGCACAGTGGGAGAGATCGGGGCCGACGCCGTGAGGGCAAAGCGGAGATTACCACCAAGACTCGCCTGAAGGAAGCAAAACATAAAACTTAGTCCGCAGAAAGAACTTAAGTTTGTTTATAGTGTGGGTGTCATTAACAATGTAAATAACACACAGTAAGCAGTTTATATTCCCAATATAGGTTATTAACTAATCAAATAACCCATTATTTAGATATTAAATGCACAAAATAATCATTACAGCTAGTTACTCAATGCAAGTACATCAACGGTGTCAAACCATGGCGATTGCCAAAAACTGCAAAAGGTGAACAATTGTATAGCTTTAACTATAAGATTTGTGTGTTTTTCTTGCACATTTAAAGTTGAAAAACATTCTATATGAAGAAAACTAAGATCGATTTGCGGTTTACAAACCTGGATCTTCTTGAAGACGAGTTTGTCCCAAATACTGTTATTGCGAACAATTCCACTGCTGAGTTCTGCCAGCTTCCTTCGAACAGCATAATTCAACAAAGCTCGTCGCAAAGGAGAAGTCACAGAGCCAAGGATCTAAAGAAAAAGTGCCCGTATATATAAATGTTTACACCGAGATTCCATTTTTAAAATACAATTTGAGACAGACCTTGTCATAGATCCGATTAAGCAGGCGAGGCACAACAGGAAAAAAAGTTGGTTTGAGTGTTTTGATGTCGTCCATAAGCAGAGAGATGTCTCCCTGGTAGAATCCAACTCGAGCCCCATGGCAGAACATGGACACCTGAAATCGCATGTCATATTTACATGTATTAGTCCCAAAGGCCTTCACAAATAAACAGCATTACATATGTATTGTGGAATCAACTATCACCAAGCATTAGTATATTATACTGTAAGCTCACTTTCTTTCACTCATGATAAAATGTTGAAAAGAACTAGATCTACCTGGATCATCCTTTCAAACATATGAGCGAGGGGTAGATATGAGATTGACACATCATCTTGTCGAATCACAAAATAACCCTGTGAGACGAGAGCGTAAAATGAGCAAAGCACCAGGGACACAGAGTTCTGCACAACTTCAATCTTTAGGCAATTAGTAGAACAACCTTGCAGCGACACAGGCAATCACATAACTAATTAATCATACCATTAGGCACAGTGGGTAGCAGGGGAAAAAGAAGATGCAAATTGTTGTGAACACATTGTTGTGAGCAGTCTGAAAAAAAGCTGTTCTCAATTAGTCCAGAAGTGTAGACACAGACCTCCAGGATCTTAATGACAGAGGAAGTGTTGGAGGCGATGTTGCCGTGGGTGAGCATTGCTCCCTTAGGTTTTCCTGGAAAAGAAAAATAAACAGGACATTACAGGAGTGCCACACAGCTTGTTAGTGGGCAAAGGAGGACACTTGTCTGATGATATGGAGTGAGTATGCAGATGCGAATAAACTGTACCTGTGGTGCCGCTGGTGAAGCAAACCACTGCCAGATCATCAGGCTGGGGCGGCTGGAGCAGCAATAAAATATAACAATGTAATTATAACAAGCTTCCTCCGCTGTTAATCATATCTTTATACAGCAAAGCATCAATAAAACTGTCAGCACCCCAGCTGCAGTGCAATAAGCTATTTACTGTTTGATGAAGAAGCCAGGACTCACCACAGGATCTTGGAGGTTCTCTCTCCCCAGATCCTGACAGAAAGAAGGGGTAATTTAAAAACAGACAATAAAAAGGCAAACAGTTACTTCAAACCACCTTACTATGAGCTGTGTGTATTTGACCACTTCCACATTGCACGTCTTGGCTCGCTCCAAAAACTCATCACTGAAATCATTGAAAAGGACAAGGCAAGAAAGTTTGGGAGTCACGCCTTTCTCCTTGTTTTCCAACAGGGATGCAGCCTTTTCCTCACGGTCACAAATCACCAATGAAATCTCAGCTGGAAAAAACACATTTGTTTATGCATGTTTGTGATTCTAGACCGTTAACATTTGACTTGAAGTCTTGATGGTGTGTGAAAAACAGTGGCATAAGTAAAGTCCAGGGTCAACGTCAAGTGTTGTATCAGTATTGTACAGATGTTTAAGAGATGTTCATTATTTATTTTCCCTTTGACAGGAGTTGTGTTCGGCTTTGATCTTAGTGCACAGTGCGATTGTAAAACAGACCTACCCAGATTGAGAATGTGCACCATTGCCTCCAGCCCCAGCGTTTCATACAACGGCACCACTGCCATTGAATAAGTGTAACAGGCCAGTTCAGAGATTGTCCACTACTTCCAGTAGAGGGTGACAAAGACAAACAAAACACATACGTATTGGTCAGACGTCATCATCTATCATCATTAGAAATGAAACAAACTAAAAATATATGTATTTTATTGTCCTCTTACATTACTATATTGACAAAATGCTTTAAGTCTTGTTTCCTTAAAGTGACTGCAATAAAATTCAATACATAAACCAGTACATTTTCATAAATAATATACATATGAGTGATGTAAAAGTAAAAATAATGTTAACAAATCAGATCTTTTGGAAAACCTTGTGACAGTAAGTCACTATTGAGGTTGAGCGAGAGTTGTTCTCTTTTTCAAATTGTGAGATTATATCAAGGCCAAAAATGCAATCTTGTCAAAACCAGTGATATTTTTTAGAGCTACGCACTCCTTTGATGGATTTTTATTTTATAGTTTAATTTTTAGAGGTTTGAAAGTGAGGTACCCGGCCTTAAGCTCTTTATCATACTTCTGTAGTGTAAAATTAGTCAAACTGCTATTTCAGTTGTATTCAGCCCTAGTGCATTCCTGAATGGTGCAGCATGAACAAGGCTTCATACTCTCTGATCCACCAGCATCGGTAAGGCTGGTTATAGCAGCGAGTCCATACCTCTGGTCTGTTTTGTGCAAATATCCCCACAAACTGACTGGAGTTGGGCTGGCACCCCTTGGCCAAAAGCCCAGAGCCTAGAAACTGTGCCCGCTCTGCCACCTGCCAGAGACAGAAACAGGGTCAGAAGCAAATCTCATCAACAAATACAACAGGTAAATCATGACGCGTGAACCTCAGAGTAAGAGATCCACTCGTACGGTTGTCCGGGGCTTCTGTAGCCGATACACGGGCCACTGCCTGAAAAAGAAACGCACTCTTGTACAACATAGTTCAGGACCTGTTGAATGGTGCGCCAATCTATACATCAGCTCATTCATAAGACTGTACTAGTTTCTCTTTTCAAGGCTGTTTTACAGCAGAAAGGAATGTAACATTGAGTCGTAACCAGTGGGGGAGGGTCCCGGCTCAAAAGTGGCCAAAATGACGTGCGCTGACATGCTGCAATACCACCCCGGGCTGATGGGGGTGGACCCGGAAGAAGAATTGGCCAATGCTGACATATAGCATTGGCAGACCTCTCAAAAACGTCTTTACAGGATGGTCCAAAAGTTGGCGCTTGGCCCAAGATGCATATCGATATGTATTTGCCAAGTATCGATAATAATTTTGAAAAAAAAAAAACCTTATTTTTTTTTTTTATTGGTATCAATACTTATGCAATACGCATCTCCGTTCCATTTATCATGAAATAAAATGTATTTTCTCTTTTATTTATGCCATAAATTGGCATACTGTATATTTCTAACCATTATATCAATAATCGGCATATCGTGATAAAATCGTTATCGTGATAATATCGTTACCGTGAGCTTTGTATTGTGTATCGTATCGTATCGTGAGGTACACTTAGGTTCCCACCCCTAATCGTAAGCAGATTTATGTCAGAGCATGAAATGTAATGCAAATGTTATTATTACCCGAGATTCTGAGTCCTCTTTGAAACATGTCGTAAAACGTCTTTGTGTCCTCAAAGTAGAAGTCAATCAATGTGTCATCCTTGAGAAGAGCAGATCTTCTGCAGCTGGGATCACCCTGAGAAAAAGAAAACATTACATTCAGATTTTTGGATTTATCCACTTTTAAGGGATATTTCCTTTACGTTTTGACACATAAGTGTGACACTATGATATGTGCCAAAAACAAAAACTTATGCACAAAACACATGCATGATAATAGTATGGCATAAGAATCATTCTGTACGCGTTAGTGAATCTGAGAAAACATTTTCAACATTTCTTTCCCTTAGAGTTGTATTGGCACCTACCCTCCAACTCAAATAGAATTCTACAACATGAAAACAACCCATTGCTACAAACCAATCATATAAAATCTCCTCAAAACACTGGCTTAACGGTGACAAAAGAAAGTCGTACTTGAACCGGAGGAAATAATAATCAGAGAGGGATTAGTTGAGTAGGAATGGCAACACAGAAGCTACTAAAGTATTTATGTGGTTCTTTCCTTTTGCTTTAACCTTGAATCACAGAGCATCATTACTCACATTGACGGCCACAGACTGGGCATGTAGATCCACTATTGGACGCATGGGTCGTGGGCGGGTCATTAACCAGTAAACCACGACTGAGGCCAAAGCTCCCAAACCCAGCAGAGACTGTGGACACAGGGTCACCAGCGGCAGGAGGCTCTGAGAACTCTGCGGTTCACAAACTTTGAGTCCCAAGTTTGAACGAAGTGCTACCAACCACTCATGGACAGGCATTTCTGAAAGTTTAAAAACATATAGGACATTAGAACACACAATCCTTCTCTCTTATTTATATCTTTAATAGATATATTATTAAAGTATGCTACTAAAGAACATATTTTGTGAAATACTAGTGTAGAAGACCAGTCTGAGCTTTTTAGATTGTAAATCCTTGGTTGCATGATTTTACACTTTTTTATACAACTTTACTACTTCAAACACAAAATGATTTGTTTTTTTCTCAAAGAACTCAACAAAGAGAGTCAATGAAGTGAAAGCAAAATTATAAAGCTTTGCGCATCCCGAATTTCTCCTACGGGGAATCAATAAAGTATCTATATTATCTATCTATCTATCTATCTAGTTGAAAGTGTTTCCCATTTGTCTTTACAAAACAACTTAAGCTTAAACAAAACAACAAGGCAGTCTGCAAGAGTGTTGTCCTTGTTCGATCTGGGAGTTTTGGGAGAAAGCTGAGCCTTGGTGGATTTGCAGTTGCAAAATGAATACATGTGTCATGAATTCATGTGTCATTTTGCCTTCACTTCACGGTTGTCTGTTGCTGTGGCATTTAATTTTTTTGCAACGGTTATCCCTCTCTAAGCTCGGGTCCTCTTCCAGAGGCCTGGGAGCTTGAGGGTTCTGCGCAGTATCTTTGCTGTTCCTAGCACTGCACATTTCTGGACCGAGATGTCCGAGGTTGTTCCGGGGATCCGCTGTAACCACTCTTCTAGCTTCGGGGTCACTGCCCCGAGTGCACCCTATTTCTAAGGGAGCACCCAGCCACTCTGAGGAGGAAGCTCATTTCAACCGCTTGTATCCGCGGATTCAGCAATCTTTTCGGTCATTGCCCAAAGCTCATCACCATAGCTGAGGGAGGGAACGAAGATTGACCGGTAAATCGAGAGCTTTGGCTTTCGGCTCAGCTCCCTCTTCACCAAAACGGCCCGATACAACGGCCGCATCCCGGCAAGGCACCTTGAGCACCATGACCTTGGATTTGGAGGTGCTGATTCCCATCCCAGCCGCTTCACACTCTTCTGCAAACCATTCCAACCAGTAACTGCATGTTGCAGGTTGGAGCCAACAGGACAACATTGTCCGCAAAAAGCAGAGACAAAATCTTGTGGTCTCCGAACCGGGCCCCCTTCGGCCCCTGGCTGCGCCTTGAAAATCTGTCCATAAACACAGTGAACAGAACCGGTGACAATGGGCAGCCCTGGCGGAGGCCAACATTCACCGGGAACAGGTCTGACGTACTGCCGGCAATGTGAACGCAGCTCTGGCTCCGGTCATACAGGGACCGAACGGCCCTCAGAAGGACACCCCTGGGAACACAGTCTAACGCCTTCAATCAATCAATCATTTTTATTTATAGAGCCCTTTAAAACACTCAAGGCGACCAAGTACTTCAAAATAAAATTACATAAAATCCATTAAAACATTTATGCATTAAAACAATTAAAAAGCATTAAAAAAGTGTCATCGTGCTAATGAGTGTTACATTTTTTTGTAACATTTAGTGTTAAAAGCCTTTTCCAAATTCACAAAGCACATGGGGACAGGTTGGGCGAACTCCCATGAACCCTCAAGTATCCGATGAAGAGTTAAGAGCTTGTCCAGTGTTCTACGGGCAGGGAAAAAAATTGGTCAAAATCTCTTCTCCAGTACCTTGGAGTAAACCATACCAGGGAGGCTGAGGAGTGTGATCCCACAATAATTCTTCTTGTAGAGAGGGACTACCACCCCGGTCTGCCAAAGGAGTCGCCACGCGATTCTGCAGAGATGTGTCAGCTAAGACAGTCCTACAACATCCAGAGACTTTAGATAGTCAGGACGGATCCAACCCCGAAGCCTTGCAACCAAGGAGGCTCACAACCGACACCTCGTGTCTTTTTACATACATAAATGAATATTTACAACTCTCCACAGAGTAGCAAACACAGGACATAATTGTGCAAAAAGTTTCCTTTTGTAAAGAAGGCTTCATTCAACTTCTCTGGAGAACAGTGCAGAGGGGCCACAGTGGGGGTGGGAGGAGAGGGGTGCATCACTCTATACTTCTTCCAAAATGTGTTTACGACCATTTAATGACAAAATATTTTGCGTGATTTTTGGCCGTGAGGCATGATATTGAAATAATTTACTTTGACATGTCTGGAATTAGACTGAAATATTGTAAGTAGAATATATATTGATAAAATATCTCATAATTCTTCACTTCTACATTCAATAGAGTTCTCTTTTCCAACATCTAACAATGTGTGCTGGAATGATAACCGATCAGTTATAAAGAATGTAATTTCACCCGAGAAACTCATTTTGGGATAATCGTTCGGGTTCCAAAGGCTGCTCTGAGCAAGACATAACAGTGCATGGATTCATTGTAGCGTACTTGAGAAGCATTTAGACACAGTGTGCAGAGAGAGAGATGTAAAGTTTCTGATATTAGCATGGATGGAGATAAAAACTATTTCTAGTCAGAATCTCCCAATCTGAGTTGGATGTCAACAAATCAATTTTATCTTAAGAATCCGTAAGTTCACAATCCATCAAGCTGGCCTCATGGTGTAGTGTAATACACTACGATTAGATATGTAGATCATTCACAAACCAACACTGTTTGTAGAGCCGTTTCAAGAAAAACAAATGCTTCATGTGGCGTGGCCATAAAATGTAGATATTTTCTGTCAAAATTCAATTCAATTTATTCTTGTATAGCCCAAAATCCCAACTGCAGTTATCTCAGAGGACTTTGCACAACCGTTGAATTTACCAACACAGATCAGAGAATCAAACATAAGAAATAAAACAGAAAACACTGGTATTGGACCATCAAGGGCAGAGGACCAATGTCCATAAGTGTTGATAAAGTAAATATTGTTGAATTACTTTCACTTCCCCATTGTCTGTTACTTGTGAACTTTCAGTAAAAAAAATATCAAAACTAAATATTTTATTTGGTGGTCATAAACATGAAGCTGAAGCGCAAATTCAGACTGAAAGACCGTGCCACAGCTCTCACCCGTCCAGGGCCAGCCAATCACACAGCTCTGCCAGCCCCGAGCCTCTGCCAATCACACAGCCCTCATCTTCAGAAGCAAATCATCTCCCCTCTGCAAGTGTCACTGCCGGGGTCAATGCGCCAAAAACAAATAAATCTTTTTCATGCATTAATGTTTCTGTCTTGGTCTCTTCATGAACTGACAAAATGTGCAAACGTTCAAGGTGTATTACTACTTTCAAGAGGCACTGTATGTCTGTAAAATCAATTATTCCCTGTTTTTTGCTACACTCCCACCTCTGCCAAAAATCTATGTGCAAAGCATAGTGAACGTGCCTCTATTGGTACTATGGGGGCACAGACCTCAATAGTTACAATGAAGCCAGAGAAAGGAGATCTTCTATTCAACCCAAATCCATCACCCGCTGAACCATTACAGCTTTTGTGCATCAATAGTTATGGTCCATCATTTGTCATCTACTTGCACAGGAATCTCCAAATCCCCTCTAAAAGCACCCCTCAACCTCTCACCCACTTTCTGCCTGGAGCCCAATAATAAAGTGATGTCAACCCCCTCCCCTTCGCCACATCCAGGTCACTGCTGCCACTATGTCATTTTGAAAACCTTATAAAAAACGTCAGTGCTGTGCTTTTGTTATCTTCTGTTCAGCTCGTTGCAAGGAACGTTTCCAGTCATTTGATCCTCGTCTTTCCTTTCCCATTCATTATCGCCATAGGGACAGGAGCACAGACTTAGAGGCATAGAGCATCAGGATTCCTGTGAGCATAAAGGCCTAGACCTGCCTGATCATTCTGCTGCAGACAAGCTGGGACAAGGCTAACATCTCAACCATGTCTTTTTATTGCTTAACGCAGAAGCAATGTCATTCACGCTGCACACAGAAACCAAAAACTGGTTTCAGTAACGGTCTGGCACACACACTGAGCTGCTCACAAAACAGCAGTCAAAACAACAGCAACACGGCTAGAAAGTTTGACGTTGGTTTTAAATGCTGGGACAGAACCAAAAGGCAGTACAGTAGCCAGCAGCATCTCTGTGGTGATGGGAGCAGCTCCGGGGAATGCTCCGCTGTGACCCACAAAGCAACAGGAGGCTTGAGCAGGAAGGGGAGCACACTCGGATCATTATTGTGTGTTGAATGGTCGAGGCACGTGAGGCAAACTGGGAAACAAAAGTGACTGAATCAAACACTTTGCAAATGAAGCGTGAGGAACATAGAGGGAAAAAGCTGGCGGGACAAACTTTTAAAGCATTGTTGGAGTCCAAATCAAACCAGAACTCTGCACAAAGACACATGGATGCATTTTACTGCAGTCTACTGTTGCACTGATTCAAGTTCAGGATGAAAGGATCTTTAGAGCAGTCCCACCCACCACCAGAATCTATAATGAGTCTTTTCTGCATAGGTAAACATATATAAATTGTCCTACAGCCCTACTGCAGATGCACTTCTCCGTGTGAACAAAGTCTACCAGAGTCTGAAGCATAGACGTCATCATTCTACAGTCTATGGTCTGGAGACATGATGGTGAAGAGGAACCCAACCCCCAGACCAAACACACAAGAATGCATGAAATGTTCCATTGAGGAGAGCTGCAAAAGGGGAAAGTGGTAATTATCCGGTCTGAATGACAACAAGTGGTTATAGTAAGTGCACCCACGTGACATAGAAGAGTCCGCAAAACACAAAAGAAAAAGAAAAGCGTTAACGTAATTGGGATTAGCAGTCCAATTACTGTGAATATGATAACTCATTGTGAAACATCAGGATAAATATTTGCACTAACAGACGACATAATCTAACAAACAGATGCAAACTAGAGAATTACTTAAGTATTCCCAAAGATGCATTTCCCCGCAACACACGATGTGGCATCACGGAGGTCAAATGTAAATAACACTATGCAAGCACATTTTAGTGACTTTAGATGGACTGAATCTTCACCTTCAGTTTGCACACAATTATCACTCTTCCAATACCAAAAAAAGTCACAAAAGAAAAGAAAAGCATGCAACATTTCAAGCATGATACAGTTGAATGATTTACCTTGTTTTTAGACCGCAGGACACAATATGTGTCATACCAGGGTAGTTTTGGAGCAACTTCACGCCAGGCTGCAGTGATCTCAGTGGAGCAGAGCTGCGGCACTTCCGGACAGAGCTTTCAAAATAAAACAACACTTTTTCCCACTCTGTGGTTTCCACCTGTTGTAGAAACTCCTCCTACTTATGGACTCGCTAGGAACTCTTAATAAACCAGCAGTGCTCTTTAGAAAACATTTAAATTGCAGTAGGACTTTGTTCTAATAACGTTTATCACCTGAACAACTGTATTTTCTTTCCAAATTTGCTGAATTGCTTTGTGAGCTCCTGAATCCAGGACCGCATTTCTATACAGCGACCTGGCTTCCCACAAACATTTCCATTCATTAATTTTCTTTTATTTATTTATTTATTTTAGTCTAGGGCTCCACCTTTTGTCTGTTTCACATCAAATGTCTGTAAAACAGGTTTGATCGTTGAATACTTTTATTGCTGTAAAACATGCTTCATCAGTAACCGGACTGGCATCTCCACAAACCTGACAAGTATTTGTGCAAGAGGAGAGCTTTCGCTTGCCTGTTACCATGGAAATGTTCTTTTTTTATTGCTGAAACACATCCTTCTCTATGAAGGGTATTTGGTTTTCACATAAAAAGTACATGGAATCAGGAGAGGTACCATCTCCAGAAAACTATTCTGTCCCCTTTAACACAAATAGAGTAAGGTAAACAGTTTGTTAATACTGTATTAGCAGTTTATTTAAAATAAGATGAGTATTTCAAAACAATGTAACAGATGGCTGAGAGTTGAAATCAGAATTCATCCCAGCTCGAGCAGCTCTGCTCCCCTGAGTCCTCAAGGTAATGACTAGATGAAGGGCTGTCCAAGGGGAGATTTACCTAAAATGTGGAATAACAAAACAAGGAGTCATTCATTTTTTTCATCATTCATTACAGAATGCAAGTCTTACTTTTGGAACAAATGGTGCGGTTAATGTTTGCCTGCAGAGTGCATCCCAATCGAATCCCTCAAACCATCTATGAAACAGCACAATGTTTAATGTACACATCGTTACAGGCAGTGGATGATGTCCTCCTCCTACTTGTGCCTGTGAATGTCCTTGGCCCCATTTCTCTGGCTGCTCAGTCTCTCAGAGGGGATGTTCCTGTTGATGGAAAATCAAAAATGAAATAAACATTTGTTGGTGTGATTTTGTGAACATTCCTTTGACACAATTTCTAGTCTTTGAGCACATGCTCAGAAAATTTAACTGTTATTGTTTTGTTAATGTTGTGAATAAATGTACCGGCACAGTCTCTTAATGAGACTTGTGGAACTTCGGCTGAATGTTTTGGGGAAGTCAAGGTGATCAATGCCCCGGATGGTTTCTGTGAGAATCATCAATGGTTCAAAGCCACAGAAAGGGAGACTGCAGACAAAAAGAAAGTATTATGAATCATCCTCACTCCTGAAGAAATGAGGAGGAAAAATGAGGCCGAGCTGAACGACCCACCGACCACTGAGCAGTTCAAACACAAAAATCCCCAGAGACCACATATCGGCTGAAACGCTGTGTCCTTGGTTTAATATAATTTCAGGAGCCAAATAACCAGGCGTGCCACAGAAAGTCCATGCTTTCTTACATGTGTCAACTTTCCTGGGGCAGGCAGATCCAATCTAAAAAACAAATTAAAAAGGTAACATCAGTGCAAAATATGAGTGAGTTTGGTGATTTTCTAGCATCTTTATTTTGTTCTTGTAATGCCATGGCTGAACACTGTATGGTATACCCCATTCAAGACTACACTACAAGCTTGATAAGAGAAAATACCAGTTTGGCGTATCCATGTTCATCCAGAACAACATTATCTGGTTTGACATCTCTGTAAATGACACCTCGACAGTGAAGAAAGGTCAAAGCTTCAATAACACAAGCCGTGTAAAATACGGTGCTGCTTTCATCCAAAGCACCGCTGAAACACACAAACACGTTCAACAAAGCATTAGAAAAAGAAAACTATTTAATATTTACATCCTTCCATCAGACTTATTTCATTGGACACCAAGGATTTGTAGGAGAGAATTTAACGGCATACTATTTCTGGATTTCTGCAATGCCACTCCCAGGTCAGAGGAAAAGGAGGAAGGCTGTTCAGAAAACCAATTGTCTTTTCAAATAAAATTAGCTATTTGAAATGAACTAGCAAATGGAGAAAGGTTGTAGAAGGATGAATGATGACATCAATAATGCACTGTTTCTCAGGGAGTGTCACACTTCTCAGTCAACTGGACCTTGTTCACTTCAGAAGCAAATGCAACAGTCCATATGATCTGTTTCAAAGGGGGATATTTAACAGAGCAACTGTTTAACAATTTTAGCGATGCTAACAAAGTGGAACAAAGCAGAAAGGATGTGTCAGAGGAACCCCCTGGAGCACAGGTGTAAAACCAGTGGGCAGGAGCGCACCAGACTCCACCCATTTCCATAAATCCTCAGGTTAAAACTGGACTCTCCTGAGGAAATGGGCAGAGTCTGGTGTGCTCCTGCTCAGGTTGGAACTAAAACCTGTGGCCACACTGGTCCTTTGAGGACCGGTTTGACACCCCTGTCCTAGACCAAGATGCGATATCCACCACGGATGAGTTGGAAGCCAAAAAGTGTTGGCTACTCCTATCTGAGAAAGAGCGAAGGTTCTTCTCAGTCACAAAATAATGTTGCAAATAGAAAAAGTTGGTTTTGGTTTTCATTTAGATTGTGTCCCATTTAAATATTCCAGTCACATGTCTTTTTTTGCACTCTCTTTTACACACCTTCCCCACGTGCTTCTGTTTGTCTGAGTGCCTTGCTCTTAATCATTAAATTGTGGCCATTCGCTCACAGTAATCCTATTCAGAAATGTTATATTGTGACATCCCAACTTCAGCTATGAACGGTTTGTCTTGAAATGTTATTATCCAGCATTAAACTGATCATGAGAGGCATATGGATAAACAGTTCTCACTTTTCCTTCAGAAGAGTGAGGAGATCACCACCAAAGCCCACTTCTGTCAGCATGTACACACAGTCTGCGTTCTGGAAAGTCTTGAAAAGCCTGCAACAAACACATGTCTCTTATCCGTAACATCCATGACATGTAATCAGAGAAAACCAAACACTCAAACACACTCCCATGGGACGTGTTGTGCTTAAGAGCTGGCACCTGACTATGAATGGACAATGAGCCTTCATCAAGATGTCTCTCTGCCTCAGGACATGCTCTCGTCGACCACTGCTGAGGATTAGCTGCTTTTTGAGTACCCTCATTGCAAAACATCTCTTGTCACTCGTCTGCACCTGTCCAAAGGGGATTTTTGTGTGATATAATTAAAAAACATAGAATTTCCAACAGCTATAGAGCTAAGAGACGTGAAATGATTAATTATAAGTTGTATCTCACCAGATCTACGTGACCAAAATCCCCCATCGCCAGTGTCTGTATCACTTGGAAATCGTTTAGACCCAAGGATGAGGCTGCATCAGAGCCGTCAGGTCTGTGTCAGTGGGAAAGTTTTAGATTGTCATTTTTTCTTTGCTGATGACAACTTCAATCTAGAGTAAAAACGCACTCAAATGTGTGATGTTGGCTTTGACAGTAATCATCTTGACTGTCTACCAGTTCACCTGCAATGTCTTTGAAGGTCCTGTCAAAGAAAGAAATATAAATTGCTTGTGAATAGATATTATGAAAAACAAATGGTTTGGATTGGTTTTGACTCATCACTGTTGTGGATGAAATGGAACTATTTAATGGAAATGTTAAATACAGATTTTCACCTGACATAGTGAAAATTCAGCTCTTTTTTTTAAGGGACTGTTTCTATTACTTTGACCCAGACAAACTTTATTGATCCACAATGCCTTGGACAATAAGTCATTTATTATATCTCCTAATGAGGTCATTTTAAATCGACTTACTCTCTGTCTATCAGCAAACATGTTACATCTCCATCTGCAATCACAGTCGTTGTATGAAGTACCTCTCTGCTATAACAAAAACAATAATGAAGGAAAAACACAATGACACTTTATTTTATTTATTTTCTGTGCTTGTTTTTTTACCCCCAAAGAGCCTGTTCCCCAAACCACTGTCCCTCTGAAAGTATAGACATGACTATTTCGTCTTTGTCACTGTCTTGCTCCTGTGTCACTTTCACCTGTGAAATCACAAAGAAACTAGGTCAGTGAGAAAGAGCCTGGTGGAGACTTCGGCGCTGACATTTTGTTTGCTCCTTGAAAATACTGGTTTAAAACACTCACTGCAGCTCAGATCAACCAGGCTTGAATTAGGGCAGCACAATTTGCGTATTCAAGAAACATTTGGATTATTTAGGATTTGTAACTAATATTGTAAACATTTTAATATTTGCAATTATGGCCTGTCCTCCTGACATGCCACGGCTCTGAATTAACAGGGTACAACAAAGCATCTACATAATTGAAAATATTTGTCTCTGCTTTTTAAGTATAAGAATCTGCAAGGAAGGCCTAGGGCTGAGAATGTGTTGGTGCATAGTGTGCATATTTTAATACTTTTATAAAACCCAAAAAACTTTACTGCAGAGACTAGAGAGAAACATGTGTCTTATCAACTATCAAAAAACGATAAAAGTCAGTGTGAAAAGTAAGAGCAGGCCATCCATCCATTTTCTTCCCCTTAATCCATTTCTGCGTCGGGGGGTGGCAGGCAGAGCTATACCCAGTACACAGAGCACCAGCCTGTCCCTCCTGCAGGTGGTGAGTCTACAGGAACCTTGATTATTCATCAGGGGCTTCAGGCAACGCGGGGTTAAGTGTCTTGCCCAAGGACACAACGACAGCAGTCATCAGTGAGAGTCGTGAAGTAGGTCTTGTGGCGGACTCGAACCCACGACCTTCACGCGCAAAGGCTAATGCTCCACCAACTGAGCCACTGTCGCCCAAAAGCCGGCCTCATAGTTTATTTGTTGAAGACTTGAAATGGGCCTTAGAAGCGCTTTAAAAAGATGACTTACTTACTTAATTAGAAAGACACCATACTTGAACAGTGCCCACTGTCGATGAGAACGCGTACCTGTCCTGCCGCGATGATATAAAATGCATCTCCTTTTGTTCCTTGTCTGATGATGTCCTCGCCATCTGCAAAACGCATCTGGGAAAATGTAGCAGAAAACAGGCAGATGAAAGGCCTTTTCATCAACTGTCCGATGTTTGCGAAGGTTTATTATTGTATTTTATTATAAATCACTAATATTATGAAAGTTATAAAGTAATGAAAGGGCAAAAATAACTGTTCTGGCAGGGAGTCCACCAGCAACTCTTTTTCATGGGCATTTACTTCAATGATTTTGGGGTATTTTTTGAAATGGAGGAAAGCAGGTCAGTGAAATACTGAGTAGAAAAGATGAGAGGCACCACTCCCAGTCAGAAAGTGTTCTAAAAAAGAGCAATAAAAAATATTGTGCAGCCAGATCAAGGAGTCTCATCATCCAGCCATTGAGCTCACACCAGCATTATCCTCTCATTCAAATATGTTTGTAAAGTTGTTGTCCCTAACTTAAGAGAGAAAAGTCACGCCTCTGTGGGATATTCCTGGCAGAGCAACAGACAGACATGATACCAAAGACAGCACCTATGACTTAACACACCTCTTCCATAAGATCTGACAGTTTCATGATGACATTCTCCGGCAATGTCTGCAGGAAGGGCACGCTGCAGACAAAACATAAAAAGGACACTCAAGGCAGCATTTCAGAAGAATGATCTGCAATCCCACCTGATTCTTGTTTAATCAGTAAACAAATCACACCATCATTGTGGGAGACTTGTTCTAATGCAGTGCACGCTGGTATGGCTGTGATGGTGTTGTGTAAAACAATATGAAACAGCTTGTGCTGGTTGTGTTGGATCACATGTGTTAGAGTTTACCAATGCAGGAGCTCCTCTGGACCTGACAGGCTGTGGAGAGCCCTCTGCATCAGCGTGGCCTGGAAGCTCTTGCGGTCGATAACCCACAGTTTGCTGTCCATTTGTGCTACAAGGATCAAAGAGAAGGTGACACAGGAGGCGCTGAGGGCAGTGGAGCTCAGGTGGAGACATTGGCAGGATGTACTGAAGTATTGAACAGTCTTGTAGTGACATAATCCGTAATGGACTAAGTTGAAAGGGCAAGACTAAAGGCCCATCATTGTTCTATGACATAAGAGCAGCTTTAATAGAGACTTCAACAGATTTCAGAATGATATCCTAATCCCTAATTAACACTATTCTTCACAATGGAGAGTGTTGTACATTAGTAATGACCCACTCCCTTTTTTCTCTCTAAAGCTTCCGCAGCCGGAAATGACTGTCCTGCACGTAGTTTAATTAAACCCACCTTTGTTTCTCCTTTTTCTTATTAGAAAGAGTCAAATGTGAAGCCTTTCAAAATGCATAATATTTTAGTATAGTACTAAAGAAATGCGCAAAATGACACCAAGAAATTATTCACATGCAGTAGAAATTAAATATGTGAAAGTTTATTTCATACCTGTTTCTGGCTCAATTCAACAGTATTGAATATTAAAAGGGTACCTTATCATACTTTTCTACAATTAATGTCAAACAGTAAGAAATCAGAAGTAAGAGTCCAGGATCAATGTTAGCCATCAGGGGTCATCGGTTTAAGGTTAAGAATACTTGATTCTCTGTATACAGTGTTTGCATGGATCTATTATAAAAAGAGTGTATGTAACTTTTGGTTTCCACTGCACTGTAAAGAATAAGGATTCAGCTCTACTCAAGGCTTTTTAAATCATCCACTAGTTTATTAGAGAAATAAATCATCCACCAACACCCCAAGTGTTTTTGTTAAATGAATATTGAGTCCTCTGTGTGAGCCTCAGATGTGTAAATTAAACAAAATCTTACCTGACACAGAGTAGTTGTGTGTGCAGTTGTACAAAAGTGCCAGTTCTCCAAACACCTCTTCTGGGAATATCGTGTGGAGCTTTACTCCTTCCTTTCTCACATCCAGCCTTCCCTCTATGTTAGCACAACATTACATGGGTTATTACTGTGACGAGAAATGAGGCTTACGGACAAGTACCGAGAGATGTTTAAGCATTTGTACACTTTTCTTTGGATAAGGACATTTAGAAACAATCTTGCAGGTTTTTTCCTTTGTTCAATTATGTTGTTTTCTGATGTTTTTGTTTTTTATAATGCTAATGTTTTTTTTTACCAGCACTTTGTTTTTAACCATGTTTGTGCAGTGTCCTTGGGTGTTTTGAAAGGCGCTTTTAAATAAACTGTTTTTAAAATTATTTTCCTCATTTTAAATGTCTCACATTTTATCTTTTGGAACACAGAACTTTGCTCTATTTGAGTCAGATACTTAATAATGAATGGCCATGGGAAAGAACTGTGTGTGTTCCAACCTCACCGTCTTTTGACACTTGTCATTAAGTGAAGCCGTCAAATGTGTTACCTTCTAAAACATAGGCCAGGGATCCAATGGATTCCTCTTGGAAGACGTAAGAGCCTTGTTGGATGGTGATTGGATACATGCAGGCAATGATCGCAATTATTTTCCTATCACAAAGGTGCTTCAACAAGTCACTCTTCAGAAAGGCAGATTTCAGCATTTTTTGAGACCTGGTGACATGGAGGTTAAACATGCAAGATCCAGGGAAAGAGCAAAATATGAATAAATGCTTACTCTGTGGTTGCCTCAAAGGTCCTCTGAGAACACAAGGCAATAGAGATTGGGTCCAAAGAGAAGGGTTGAGAAATAACTGTTTTCCTTTTGAATCCATGTTTATCGTCCTCTTCTGCTATCGAATCTGTTGAATTAAATACAGCATGTACAGTACTAAGCACATATGTATATAAACAACGGCAGATAAATGTTCCAAGAAAGTCTTTTTTGTCCACATATAGGCCGCACCTGAATATAAGCCAGACATTTTGGTGTTGTAATGTAATACCTAACCAACAGCTGATGAAGGAAAACATGGTGTTTTAACACACTATGAACGATCAAAGCAATCTGTTAAATTCAAACTATTTTGACAATAACATTCCTAATGAAACTAGAACCCCTGCACTTTGTGTGTCTCTCTCTCTCTGATGCTCAAATATGTGCTATGTCCTCAGCTCTGTAGATCTGTAGCTGCGTCAATTTCCTTCCCTGCACCCAAAAGGGAGCTCTGTCAGAATAATAAAGCATACATTGGCTGCATCATAATATAGGCCGCAGAGTTATGATTAAAAAAATATATATATATTAAACTATAGTATAGCACTGCAACACCTGTGGAAGGTCCTGGAAGTGGAACAGTGGTCCTGTAGCGATCCAATTCCTCCTGAAGTCTGCGGATCAGCTCGTCCTTGGTGTCAAGCTCCAGCTCCAGCTCATCTATGAGCGTATCCCTTTGTCGAAGCTCTTCAATCTTCAACTGTAGCGCAAACTGAAGGTCGCGCAGCGTGCCCATTGCCTGCAAGATTACAATTATAGGCAGGTTTTCATTGTAGTCAACAGTTGGAAGTGGATGGCCAATTGAAATTTGTTGCAAGATGTATTTGTGCTTTCAATATACTGTATGTATTATTTCACAGAATATATTATAGCCCACTACCCCTCAGTAAACTGGGTCAAACTCAACAATACAGCATGTGAAACAAATTATCTTGACTTTGTCAACTATACATTTAATACAGCTAAATTGGTGCCTATACAGCCAAATCATGTTACTTCTGCCATAAGTTTGATTGTTCACATTATCGCATCATGAATACAAACGCTCTTACCTCTGTTTGTTCTGTGTAAATGTTGGTCTTTACTGGTCCGATGTGTCCGGTGTGATCATGGAGCGGACAGTTCGGCAGGTGCCGATCATGTGGAGGATGCTCCAAGGATCTGGGTTGTGCAGCGACAGCCAATCAGCAACACCGAGCAGTGTGTTAGCGCGAGCGTGTGTATGTGTGTGACTGTGCGCGCGTGGAAATAGGAAAAAGCTGGATCTCAACTGGGTCAGGGGGTCTATGGGGTATTTACACTCCGGTTGCGCTTACTATCTTGCAATGTGTTACAGCTGGCGGCAGCATGCAGCCTTTATCGGCCCTATAGATCTGTGATCTTTAGAAGCATAGCCTTGTGTGTCTGTATTCTACATATATTAGCCCAGAACCTTTTGTTCAATACGTTATGACTTTAATATATACAGTCTATGGTTATGACCAATGGTCATTTCAACATAATAAGTTACAAATTAATAGGTCCACGTTGACTGGTTTTGAAGTTACGGCGTTTTAAAGCTTTTTGTGTGACATTTTATTCGGACGCTTGCTGTTATTATTGGTTTGCCCTCATCCCCGGTGTTTATTGATTCCCTTATTTCTTGTTAATAAAATCAAGAAAGAGGCCCCTTCTCAGTTTATTTTGATTGAAATCGTTCCCTGCCTTAACTTAAAAGGTTGAAACCGTTGACAACATGTGTTGATGGTTTAATTCTAGACCTATTATGGTATTTGTTATGATGGCCACATGTATATTCCAACCATACGGTGGCCCACGCGCCCCAGAGCACACTTCCTTACGTAGAAGAAGATGGTGCTCAGCATAGTGCCGTTTTTAGCCAGTAGCCAAAAGCTAAAGTGATTTTACAGGAGTTCAGAAGCGTAGAAGTTTATACATTCTAGTGTGTTTGTTTTAATCGACCAAAATGATTCTTACCGTAAAACCGCTTCAAGGGAAAGAGTGCAGCGTGCAGGTAAAAGCAGAACTTGGTTGGTTTCTTACGGCTATGCTAAGCTAAAGCTAATCTTAAAGCTAACGAGATGAGGGTTTTTTCGCTATATTTATACCTACATATGTATAAACTATGCTGTACCTATCTAAACAACGAGATAATATTTGTTTTTGCCCAACAAATTATTCATTGGGCATTTGACAACAATGTGTTCATCATTCCTATGCATCTTCACACTTCTTGATTTTACTACAAACTATATTCTTAATCATGTTACTTTATGGATTACTAGGCAATGTACTGTATATGTACGTGTAATTATAATTCATTCATGCTCTGTTTTTAGGTGACCGAAGATGAAAAAGTGTCCACAGTAAAAGAACTTGTATCAGAACGTCTCAATATCCCTGCTAATCAACAAAGACTACTTTTCAAAGGAAAAGCACTTGCAGGTTTACACATGTTAATCATAACTCCTCCTGGCTGTTGAAATTCTTGGACTAAGACATTGAACAATGTTGATGTTTTGATGTTGTCTAGATGAACACAGGCTGTGTGATTATTCCATTGGCCCAGAGGCCAAATTGAATCTAGTGATTCGTCCAGCGGGAGAGAGGCCTGCAGCGTCCTCTCCGACCAGCAGCAATAGCAGCTCACTCGGAGGGGTCTGGCACACTGTCTCTATGGTGTTGGCTAAGCACTTTAGTCCGGCTGATGCAGCTAAGGTTCATGAACAACTTATCAAGGTAATTATTATTTATGTGGTTGAATTACAAATGTAGATTATTTACACTATGTCTAATAATCTGCACAATTCTGCTAAAAATCTTCCAAAGGACTATGAACGCTCACTCCGACAACTCAGTCTTGATGACATTGAGCGCTTGGCTGGAAGACTGCTACACCCAGACGTCGACAGTATGGACACATCATATATGGACTGATATTTCTTGTTTTGGTGATTGTTTTCTATGGTCATGTTCAGTGTTTTGAGATGCAGTACCCACGGCCCAGTACAAGATGCAACAGGTCTAATGTGTATCAGTGGCAAGTCTATTCCTCATTGCACATCTCAACAATACAAGAACATGATCCATGTTTTTTATTATTGCACAATGTCCTTATTCCAAACATACTATAGGCTTTTTTTCAATTTTGTTTCCATGTTAATACTTAAGCTCCCGAGGAAAACATAAACTCATGTTTATTTATTAGTGATTGTCATGAATTCTCAGTGTGAGTTCCGTTTGAACCCCTATGGGTATGTGTATATTTTATTCATTATCTGATGATCGGTGGATGATTTATAAGGTGGTTTATACACAATAAAACAATTTCAAAAATTTGTCAGTGTTTTTTTTTCATTCATGATGCATTGTAGAAAAGGGCGGGACGCGTCTGGACGCGTCAGAGGCCGTGTCCAATCACGAGACTTTTTATTTCTTCGTGCCTGTGTCGGGCCAATCGGGGCACCGGAAAGTGTTCCGCGCACTGATACTGTAGCTGTGCTCGTTCTTTGAGGAATATTAATGACAAAATGCATATTCTTTAAGGACTATTTTGTGCATCTCTACATAAAACGAATCTTCTTTTGAACAATTTCTTGGGTAAGGCGCTGTGCTTCTGCAGCTTTATTTTCATAACACAAGGCTGCCCTCGAATAGAGATTTTTCATTTTCTATCTTCACTTGATAGCTTTAGCCGGCTAATGTCAACCGAGGATAACATAATCACTTCCTCCTTTAATTTTACAAATCAACCAAGTTTTCTGATTGCGATAATACATGCACAATCAATGCCATGCCCAGTCACTGAGAAATGTAGTGTGGTGCTCCTTCCCCCTTCGACCGCAACACTATTTTCGGTTGTCTGTTTTGTGTCAATTGTGAATTTCGTCAAATGTACAGTGCATCGTTGTCTGTGAAACGTGTTGCTTGCTTTATCCTTAGCGCGGTCTTGTGAGGATGGAGAAGCTGATTCCCACCATCAATCGCCTGCAGGAGGTCTTTCTGACAGTGGGGGCTGAGGTCGTACAGCTGCCGCAAATAGTCGTGGTGGGAAGTCAGGTAAACTCTGCTATTCTTATAAACGTCCACAAAGGGCTCAAGTGAAGACGTGTTTGTGTGTGCTACAGAGCAGTGGGAAAAGCTCTGTGCTAGAGAGCCTGGTTGGAAGAGACTTTTTGCCTCGGGGATCAGGGATAGTCACAAGACGACCCCTGGTGTTGCAACTGATTAATGTTCCTCCCATGACCGAGCGACTCAACATAGAAAATGGTAATGTTTACTCACCTGTCTCTTCGTGCAAATGTTGATAACTTTTCATTTATCACATGTGCAGAGTGCCCTTTCACTAACTAAATCCCTTCTCCATTTTAACATTTTCTTATAATTTTTCTTCTGCTTTATTGCCTTTCCAGGACATGAGGCTAAACAAATTTCAAACCTCTATCCAGGTCTATCTACAATATTTTTCTCACTTTATGTGTCTATTCTAATATCTCTGTACACTATTCTCCTGGTTAATTCTATTATAAATATATATTCTTATGTCAACCCTTTTGCTGTATTCTGTATAATTTCTTTATGAAGGTAGGCTGGATTTGTATTGTGTAAATTTAAGTACATTTAATCAAAGCTTGGGTACCTACTTTAAGTAAGGCATCTTTATACAGGGTTAGACCAGGGTCACATAATCTACATTATTATTATTCTTAAATTCACAAAATGTTTTATGAACGCAGAATATTGTTACAAAATTGAGTCATCTGTGCTACTGAAACATTCATGCATGTGAAAACAAAGAAACTAGTGTGAGAAGAACATGTTTACTTGATTAAAATGCTGTATCTACAAATTGCTTGATGAATAAATCAATACTATCTTATCTTGTGTAGGTGTCAAAGCAGAGGAATGGGGAACCTTCCTTCATTGTAAGAACCAGGTAATTACAGTATATAACATTATTGGGGTGTAACAAGTTAGTTGATTAATTGTGACGAATCCATTTTTTTAATCGTTGTCAACTCATTTAGTAATAGATCAATTATCTTTTGAACCTTACATGGACATAAAAAAGAGGTTTTTTATGACTTTTATAATTCTATAATGACTGCTGAATTAAATGAAAATGTGTTTACAATGTATTTTTGATCAAACCACCCAAAGTCATATCTACTTGTTTATATTTCCTTTCGGGATCTAAACAACGATCGATTTACATTTATTAAAATTATAGTTAATTACAGACCTAAACATGATCGCTGTAGTTTGTAATATAATAGAAGAATGATGTATCCTCTTTTCTTAAAACAGGTTTTCACAGACTTCAATGAAATCCGACAGGAAATTGAGACAGAGACGCACCGCACTTCAGGAGATAACAAGGTTAGAAAAACATTAACTTTGACAAGAAGGCATTTTAAATTCATTCATTCTTCTTTTTCAGGGCATTAGTCCAGAGCCTATTTATTTGAAGATTTTTTCTTCCAAAGTTCTCAATCTTACGCTTGTGGACCTACCTGGAATAACTAAAGTAAGATTGAACTCCCAGGTATGAAATAAATACTTTGATTACTATGAACTTATCATCTACAGGTTCCAGTGGGAGATCAGCCTGAAGACATTGAGACACAAGTGCAAGAAATGATCATGTCATTCATCTCCAATCCAAACTCTCTCATCCTTGCTGTATCCCCTGCAAACTCAGACTTGGCCACATCTGATGCTTTGAAATTGGCTCGAGAGGTCGATCCAGATGGTGAGATGATTTAGAGCAGGAGACTCTAACCTTTTGAGATCAAAGAGCAACTTTTACTAAACAGAAATGAAAGAGCAATAAATACTGTAAATTACAGTCTCATTCAGAATATACCATGATTTGTAGAATCAGAATCCTTTTTATTGCTATGTGAGTAACAGGAAGTCACAAATTAGGAAATTGCTTTGGTTCTCCAAATGAGTGCACAAAAGGTAAAAAATATTTATAGTCAAAATAAATAAATAATGACCCAAGATGTATTTATTCATCTTAATGTGTTACATTTATGAATCCTTTGGGGAGCTACCCAAACTGTGCCTTTGACTTTCTATAATATTGTTATTTAAGGACCATTCATGCTGTCACAAGTAAACAACAAAAGTAACTATCCATTTGGATCTACTGACAGCATATGAGCCATTCAAAGTGATTAAAAATGTATGTACTTATTATGGTCCGCAATGGAAAAGACATTGCAGAATATTGACCGGAACATGTAGAATGTTATGGCGATGTTTTTGAAATGTTTCACTTAATATGAAGGTAGCAGTAAAATGTTGTGTTGTGTCCGTGTCCTGCTGTCAGGGCGGCGCACTCTGCTGGTGGTGAGTAAGCTGGACCTGATGGATGCTGGGACCGACGCCCTCGAGGTTCTTTTGGGGCGAGTCATTCCAGTCAGACTTGGCATTATTGGCGTTGTTAATAGGTATTGCCTTTCCATCCCACATGTTCGCTTGTATCATCTAAACTGTCAAATTTAAGAAATATTCTGTTTATTGGCTGTTTCCAGGAGTCAGCACGACATCAATACTCAAAAGAGCTTAGAAGATTCACTGAAAGATGAGCATGCCTTTCTGCAGCGGCACTATCCCTCACTTGCCTCTCGAGCTGGATCACGTTATTTAGCCAAAACTCTAAGCAGGTTACTCATGCACCATATTCGGGACTGTTTGCCTGATCTGAAGACCCGGGTGAATGCGCTCAGTGCTCAGTACCAGGCCCAGCTCAACAGCTATGGTCAGCCTGTGGAAGACCACAGCGCTACGTTGCTGCAGATTGTCACAAAGTTTGCCAGTGATTACTGCAACACTATTGAGGGGACAGCGACACACATCCAGACCTCAGAGCTGTGAGTCTCCTCCTTAAGTTTGACAAAGACAATAAAATCTCTCTTTTTGCTCTTGTTTAAATCTCAGCGCATGCATACCTAATGTTAAATACCTTTGGGCATCAGAATTTAAAACAAGATTAATTTATGCTTATGTGTAATGAGGTAATATTGACCTTTTTATGGTTGGTTGAATTTAATGTTGACACAATCGACATGGCTCATGCACTTCACAAACAAACATCGTCATAACACTTCATCACGTCCTTTCCACAGCTGCGGGGGAGCTCGAATGTGCTACATTTTCCATGAAACTTTTGGACGCACTTTACAGTCCATCGACCCTCTCGGTGGGCTCACAGATTTGGATATCCTCACTGCAATCCGCAATGCCACTGTAAGTTTGATTTGTTTCATTTCAGAATGCAAGCCAAGCTCTCTTAGTTTGGAGGAAAACTAAGTAAAGAGGATTTGTGTGTGCTTTTGCCTCGTAGGGTCCCCGGCCAGCCCTCTTTGTGCCTGAGGTGTCTTTTGAATTATTGGTGAAGCGGCAAATTAAGCGGCTGGAGGAGCCCAGTTTGCGCTGCGTAGAACTTGTCCACGAGGAACTACAGCGAATCATACAACACTGCACTTCTTTTAGCACACAGGTTTACCTCAAGACGAGAACACATACTTTCATTCTGTCTAAAAAGCCCAGTGTTGAAAGCTTGTCTCTTCTTTTACAAGGAACTTTTGCGGTTTCCAAAACTGCACGATTCTATAGTTGAAGTTGTGACTGGTTTACTTAGAAAACGCCTGCCCATAACCAATGAAATGGTAATTCTGTGGTTTCTCATCATGCACCACACTATTATTTAAGTAAATTTTTTTTTTAGGTCCACAATTTGGTCTCTATTGAGCTTGCTTACATCAATACAAAGCATCCAGACTTTTCAGATGCCGCGCAGGTCTCTGCATCTGTTAACAGCCAGCAGGTACATGCATTCATTTTGGAAGATTGAAGCAGTGTCATTATTTTAAACTAAATGTGATGGTTTTAAATTGTGTGGACCTTCATTGACTTTACACTGCTGTTCTCAGACAGATGCTCTTGATGGTGGAAAGCGCTGGAAAAATGATAAAATAGGGGAAGAGAAAGCCAATGCTGGTAGTTTTGGCAGTCCGAGTAGAGGCCAGGCTGTTAACCTTCTTGACACAGTAAGTGGTGCAATTAGCAACTTTGACTTAAGAATTTAATTGACCGTAATGTTTCATCTCTTCTTTGTCAGGCCGTACCCCGAAAGCTGAGTGCGCGGGAACAGAGAGACTGTGAGGTTATTCAGCGCCTCATTAAGTCTTACTTCCTCATTGTTCGCAAAAGCATTCAAGACAGGTCAGACAGGATCTTGTCCGAAAGATCTTTTTTTCGAAAGGTTTATTTGTTAAGTCGTCTCCTCATTATTGATGCTGACTTAGCCTGGGCTTTTTGTCCGCAGTGTGCCCAAGACGGTGATGCACTTCCTGGTGAACTTTGTGAAAGAGCATCTGCAGAGTGAGCTGGTGGGTCAGCTGTACAAGCAGCCGCTGCTGCTGGAGCTGCTCATTGAGTCACAGGACACAGCGCAGCAGCGGACTGAGGTTGCTCAGATGCTCCAGGTAAAATGGGCTTATCTGTGTGTTCTCACTGTAGAATTTTGCCTCTTTCTTAAGGCCAACTTCTAACCTGTCTCCTGCCTTTGTTTTTTTTCTAGGCTCTCAAGAAAGCTAATAATATAATCTCAGAGATAAGAGAGACTCATTTGTGGTAGCTTCATTCTTCATTTCCGTTTGCTCTGATGGAGTCACAGTGTGCAACTGTATGTGACGTTGTTCCATGGACCAATAACTACTGTATGTGTTTACTTCCTCTGTCGGCTGCTGTCACACAGCAGCTATGGACTGTTACACTGTGATGTGTTGTGTAGAGACAGATAATAATTTAAATCTAAGCCAAATGTTATAAGTTAAAGCCATGAAGAACATGCTCTCACTGGTATGATTGCATGTCAATAATTCTTGTGTAATTAATACCATAGACAATTTATATAGAATACGTTTGAAGACACAGGGCTTTGAATCTGAGGTTCTGAACATAACATGTGATGTGATGATGATTCAGTTACTTCAATGTAACTCAATCATTGTAAGCTGCAATGCAACACTGAGGACACAGTCATTATGTTCAGAATAAGAACGCTCTGTTCTGCAGCTCTTATGCTAATTAGCAAGAACTTTACAGGGCCTTTGTGACAATGCATATCATATTTATGCTTTTATACCACAGCACTGCCGCTTCTATGTTTCCATTTTCCATTTTAACAGCCATTTTCCAGGAGGGAGACACAGATAATGACTATCGTACTTCCTGTTGTAAATGTATGGAATGAATGCTCCTAATTAGAATTGACAACTGGTTGTTGCTTACGTCCCCATTTGATGAGAAGGACCCGCCCTAATCAAAACAGGCAGTGTCATTTTTTCTGGTAAAACTGCATGCTGCCTGTTTTCTATAATTGAAACTCACTCTATTGTGAAAAATGTATTATTTTTCAATAATTATCTCTTGCACATTCAGGGAGCAAACCACAGTCATTTTGTCCAAGTATGGTTTGTGCATATTTATAGATATTTTGTACTAAATGATATGATAATGTAATACTGCCTACTTTTTGTTCTTGCCTGCCAATGTATGTGTTCCTGGTGTACTCTGGGGGAAGGGAACCTGTCTAAATTAAACCTGTCTAAATACGTTTGGTTTCAGAGATTTCATGTTTATTTTATCGACCTGTTTTGTCCTCCTTAAATTTTCTTTGTCTTTTGCAGTTCCACACCGTTATCTGCAATTAGACACGTACAACTTCTTTGTATTGATTTTCTGTGGCTGAAAAAGTCTTGGTTAGATGAGTCTATCACAACAGGACGTGTGAAAAGGGTAAATATGAACGGATATGTGCACGGAGAAATCCAACACTTATTGTCTTTATGAATGATGGCTGATGTACAGTCTGCTTGATAACATTGAATGGAGATTGGAATGAGTGTTGTGTGTCATAAATAATAGATGATTCTATCACGGTAGCTGCCTCAGGAAGTATTACCTCCTCATTCAGTACAAACAAATTATGCTCTCTGTATTTTATGTTAAAAAACCAATCAGTCTACATCAGAATTGGTAAGTGGGGAAATAAAAAATGAAGTACCCTGAAACAAACAATTATTTCAGATGATTGCTTAAAATTGCCTGCGCTTTGTTCCCTACTGTAGCCAGTTATTGTGATCTTCCTCTTATAACACACCCTAGCTCTCCACCAACAGAGACCAGACTCGGCCATACCACTAAAGACCAAAAGAGAGGTAGCATCCATTTGCCATCCACACAAATATTGTCCACTGGCTTCTATTTGAATGACTGTGTAACAATCAAAGCATTCAATTTGACTTTCTGTCTTTTTTATTATACAATCCACCTTTTTGCTCACCAGTGAGGAATCAGCCTAATCCACGATGCTGTACAGCCCACCTTGCTTTGCTGCTGCTCTTGAGTCAGTCAGTGGAGCAGGCTGAACAAAGCCATGGGAGAGAGAGGGGGCTTCTGGGAAGAAATGTCTCTCACTGACTCTGTCGCCTGGACAACCGGGTGAGACAAGAGGGAGGGAGCGCCAGAAAGAACCCATAAGCATAAAGGCAAGAGAAAGCGGATATTATTAGCTGGGGCTTTCACGGGGTTCCTGCATAGTATGTGCGTGGGTATTCCGAGGGTATGTGTCTTTTATTGTTGTTTCTTGATATATATGAATGAGTTATTGATTCAAACAGTAAAGCAGAATTTTTAAATGTTTTTTTAATCTTTTTCTACCAGAGCAGAGGACATGTAACTGCAAAGCACAACTTTGTAATTAATTGGACCTGAAGGCCTGATTACTTCACCTGTAATCATCTTTTGTCTCAGGTAAGTCGCTCACTAACATGATGTCTTTGTTTAGTTTAGTCATTTTCGTGTATGTGATTTAATCTAGAAGTGTACACTACCTGCACTTGGGGCACATGTCTCCATAGAGTTACTTTCAAAGAGATAACTTCTGTGCTTCATTATGCTGGGCTTTGTTTCAAGATCAGTGTAAGCCTTGTTTTGAATTCTAAGCTGGGAAGAATGCTTGGCACAATCACCACAATACCTGTCTGTCAGTTTTCTGTGTTCTCCATACAGTGGCATAAATCAAATAAATGCATTGTTGGGTGTGAATGGAGAAGAATGGTGCAAGACAATTCTAAAAACAGTCATTACATTCCTGATCACTCATGCACGTACAACATATTCAGTAGTGTGATCGATCGATGCTTCTTTAAATGAGGCTTGTGGACTTAACGTTGGATGAAACGCAGAAAGAACATAAAGTGCATTGTACTGTGTTATTTTTAGCTACTGTCAGTCATCAAGGTTATAAATCTGTCACCTCTATATGTCCAGATGAAGACATGTAGGGGGTAAAAAGGTAGATTTAGATGAGTGAAAGGCAGTGCAAGAGAAGACAAGGCTGAAGGGGGGGATGGAGAGCAGTAAAGGTGAAGGCTTTTGAGTATCCCATGCTCCTTATATCCACAATTCACTCCTTCACATTAGAACAGGTGACTCCTAAAAAAGGACATGTCTTTGATGTCTGCTCTGTGGACTTCATTGTTAACCTTGCTCTTTTCCTTTCTCCACAGCTGGTTGGTCTGTGACAAATGAGGCGGCGCAAATAGAGCCCTGTACACTTCATCAAATTCTGCAGCTGATGACCCAGCAGGTACACACTAATTATTTGGTCACGCACAGACAAGGTGCCCATCTTTTAGCACCACAAATATTGGCAGGATGAAATATGTTCCTGCAGCAAATAGCCTACTATGTCTGAATCACTTTTGTATTAGTATTGCAAGTCTTACTCAATGACTTTTGCCCAAGATTTCTATATTTATTGGGTTTTAGGAAGGGACATGTGTTTATTATAGATAGATTTGCTGTCCGCGTCTGTGCTGCCTTTTACATTATTAAACTGTAACTCCTTTCTGAAGAACTAACCATATTGAAAAATTCATCAGCCTGTGAATACCTGAGTTATACCTGTGTAGCTCTCTGTGATGTGCAGCCGTTCACCAGCCATAATTGTTCATTAGATGTGATGTTGGTGGATGCGGCGCAGCACCAGGCTCAGTAAGACAGAGTGGAGTAGGTCCCCAGGCCATGCATCACTGTAGTTATCTGCTGCCACTTCAGGACCACGTTGTTCCTGCAGACACTTTGCCCAGACTCCACTCAAACACATCAGTCTTTAGCAAGTTCCTCAAGCTGTCCACGCCCAGCTTCACTAATCAGAGCCTTTTCATGCACGGACAGACAGGAAAGCACAGGCGATTGCAGACATTACTTTCATTCTGTCTTTGCTCTGAATATTAAGCGACACATGAAGGATTTCAGCTTCTCACAGTTGAAGAGCTGTGGTGTGTGTCCTTCTGCTTCACACTTCAAAAAAAGCAGGTGAAGATGAATGTACCATATTTATCCCATTACTATTTTAAGTTTCAGCTTCAGGTGCTGTGTCAAAAGCAGGCATTAGCACGTAATGATTTTTATAATGGTGGAAACCATATTTCGTGAAAGCAATAAAGTTTCATTCAGAATACTAAAACATTATTTAAATGTACACAACTGTATCATATAAAGCAGAAAATTACTAAATTATTGCCTGTTCAAAACGAATAGTGTGCACCTCTCAGAGGCATGTCCTTGAGCGAATGTCTGTGCAAACAATATTAGAGAAATGCAAATACCCCGGGACCACAGCGATCGAACAGTTTGAGACAGACGTGCAGAGACTTCCAGAGATCATCTTATTAAGTCTTAACCTGAAAGATAAACTCACAATCAAACAACATTTATCTGCATGTTTTCAATCTTTGAATGTCTGCCAAACCCTTCTGTGCAGGAGATGTATTTCTTTAGCTTTTTCTCTCATTAATTATTGAGGAACGTTTGAATTACAGCCTTCATATAAAAGACTGCTGCAGCTGAACTGTGAGGGGAGATGTACAGCACTTAATCAGAAAACTGTGCCCTGCTGCAATGAAGAAATGACACAAGGACATTATGAGAAACAGTCAAGCATTGACTTCTGGACTGTTTTATTAAGGGAAAGGCCTTTACTATGCCGATAAACCTACTAAATATTTGCATATTGCTGTAAAAATGGCAAGCCCATTTGCTATATTACAGCTAAAATAATGCAGTTTCATAAATATGTTGTCACAATGTTAAAGTCAGTTCCAGTCAATGAGGACAAGTACTCGACCTGCCAAATACAATAGAATAGTGAAGTATAGTCATACATGCATAGTGAAATCACGCTTCATCTGTATTGAGCCATGTGTTGGGGGTGTATGGTATCGTGACTAAAGCCAATCATTTTTTATTTACGTTTTCAGAGGTTTTAAGCTCATACATCAACCTTTTAGATAATTTTAGCATCAAACTCTCTAGGGACCTCAGTTTTCTATCATTCCAAAGAAGATTAATTATTTTTAACACGTCAAAATCAATCTTTTGTCCCATATTTCTTGATGGATTTGCTTTTCATTTTCAGATGATAGCTTACTTACACGCATTATCAAGATGCCCCACGTTACTCGGCTGAACTCAAAGCAGTGTTCTGGAAAGCATAGATAAATTGTTGCAGTTAGAGAGGTTGTTGCTGCTTGAATGCAAACCGTGGCCATTATCTGGTGCGTGGAGGCCTGAATGGGGAGCACCTATTGACACCATTAGTCAAAGTCCTGTCTATCGCTGCAGATAAGCTTCAGTTATTCTGTTCTCCTGAAATCCTTCTCACTCCTTGTCAGCAATTAGACGTGAGATGATTTAATTTGCAATCTGCGGAACAATGTGCACAATGTTGATTACATACAAAAGGCTGCACTAGCACACTCCGTTTTGTCTTTTTACTCAAAGCGCCACTGGCAGGGAGAATTAAATTTCAGCTTTTAACCATTGTGTCCCTTGGGTTCCTGTAATTGGCAACATAAAACAAGACTAAGCTTTCCCTTTTCACTTATAAGCTATAGTCTAGGAGCAAAAAGGTTTAATAATAATAATAATGTTTTCACTATTATCCCTATGTCTCCAGAGAGTTACTCGTGGGTGCTTGTGGCCGACAGCTGTTTCTTAATTTTTTACCTTGGCAGCTGCTTTCTAGGGAATTCAATTTATCCTTTGCTTGATGTCAAATGGCAGCAGTTTTGACATATTTCTTCTGTTCACTTGGCTGTGACAGAGCTGCGTATGTGACTGATGATCAATGCTGTGTGTGACAGATGCCATGATGGACGTAGCTGGCGATGACCCGCTGCTCTTTGGGCCTGGTTGGGGAGGTCAAGAGGACGAAGACGAGGGGGAACTGGAAGAAGAGGCTGACCAAGCAAAAGACTGCGGGTACACCGACGCCTGTGGACTTTGGAGGGCAATAGGGTGGCTCTACACTACGCCCTGTGCCAGCGCAGCACTTATTGGTATTGTCATCTTTATACCTTGTGCCCTTTTTGCCCACATGCTCCTCTACTGCCCTCCTCTGGACATTGATTTGTCCTACAGTGCCTTCGAAGTTCACAGCCACTTCTCTGCTGAGCGGTTTGATGCCCTTACAATTGCTGTTAAGACCCAGATGGGGTCCTGGGACAGGCGCAGGCGGGACCTAGATAACAGCGAATCTGCAGTCCTCAGGGAGCTGCTGCTACGTAAGCTGCTGAGACAGGGAGAGCTCAACAGGACAGATAATGAAAGAAAAGCGTCCACACAATCCCCTGCTGGCCCCTTAGAAGGACTTGATCAGAAAAGTGCAGCCATAGATGACAGGATTGTTGCAGAGCTTAGTCAACCCCCTGAGAAGCACAACACTAAAGTGGAAAGAAATTCAACATTAACAAGGAAAGCTAGGTTTGCACCCAATTACTACATGCAGAGTCAAGCACTTTGGAGGATCGAGTTGGTATTTGTCGCCCAGGGAAAAGGGGAGCCGAACATTTTCACCCCCGAACGACTAGAGACCATTCACAGAGTGGAGCGGCTTCTCATGCAGCAGCCGCAGTTTCACCAGTTTTGTTGGAAGCCTTTGGAAATGCTCAGGGACTTGCCTTTGGGACCTTCTTACTGCTCGCCTCCCAGCTCACTCCTGTCCTACCTCTATCCCAGTGAGAGAGGGGGAAAGATCTACTATGATGGCATGGGACCAGATCTAGCAGACATTCAAGGTGAGAATGAGAATGTAGCGAACAAGTTTGCAGATTTCCACTAACAACGTTGGCCTTTTGCACAGGTTCTCTGAGTCTGGCCATTACACACCCACAGTTTTATTGGTATGTGGATGAGAGCCTGTCCCCGGAGCACCTGTCCTCCGCCCTGCTGCGAAGTGAAATCCATTTTGGAGCTCCGTTGCCCGCATTCTTCTCTCTGCAGGACAGAGCCGAAGAGCAGAGGGCGAGATTCAAAAGCTTTATAGTGCAGTACGCTGATATCCTGGCCAAACAATCCACCAGGTCTAGGATTTTTTTTTAAATGTATAAGTAGGTCCTGATGGACATTTCTCATCAGGATGCCTTGTCTCAGCCAGGTGAAGGTGCTGTACGGAGGGACGGAACTGTTTGACAACGAAGTCAGACACACGTTTCACAATGACATGATGCTAGCTGTGGTCAGTGGAGTCTGCATCACAGTGCTGGTCTATATCCTCACATCTTTCTCTGGTAATGATCAAATATACACCAAAAACACACACAGATTGTTTATTGTATTGCACAGATGGCCAAATGTCACATCAAGCTTTTCAGACCTATAAAGCGACGTGTTTAAATGTCCTGTTTCTTTTTCCATTTCCAGTTTTTCTGACTTTTTTTGGCCTGGCCAGTATAGGACTAAGCTGCCTCGTGGCTCTTTTCCTCTATCACGTGGTCTTTGGTGTGAGATACTTGGGAATTCTCAATGGTGTCGCTGCCTTTGTTATTATTGGCATTGGTGAGTATGTAAAACATCCATCCATCCATCCATCCATCCCTCTTCTTCCCCTTAATCCATTTCTGGGTTGGGGGGGTGGCGCCAGTTAGAGCTGCAGTACACATAGCACCAGCCCCTCACTGACCCTCCTGCAGGTGGTGAGTCCACAGGAGCCTTGATCTTTCAGCGGGGGCTTCAGGCAAAGTGGGATTAAGTGTCTTGCCCAAGGACACAACGACAGCAGACATCAGTGGGAGTCATGAAGAAGGTCTTATAGTGGGCTCGAACCCACAACCTTCAGGCCCAAAGGCCTATGCCCTCTATAGCTGAGCCACTCCAGATGTTTTCTTAGATGATTGTTTATCTATCTAGTGTCTCCCCTCCATATTTCTCTTTTTTGTACTCTTTTAGTGGCCAACATCATGCATATAATTTTAACATTGTTACCACTTCTAGACACCTTTTTATGAGAAAATAATTGGACCACAGTTGATCTTGACTCTTACAATAGATACCAGGAAAGATTTTTCCTCTGCCGTACACCACAAACTATAGTCCAGAGCAGACTCCAACCATTTTCTCAAGTGAGTTCAGTCTTAACCTGAAGATTTGAGGAAATGGGCTCTGCTCCTGCTGGGTCTGATGACCTGCAGCCAAAGGCTGCTTTTGGTCCGGTTTGAACACCTCTGCTATAGGCTCTTTGGAATGCTGTGAATGAATGAACCTATTTGATGACTTTTAGCCCAAAATATATTTAAGTCAACAAAAAGTATATCAAAATTTTGAGGATTTTTTTTATTTTATTTGAATTGTTTTCTATTGCTTTGCTTTGCATTAAGTTTAAATCTTTCAGATTCACTCAGATGCATGACCACAAAATAGTTTTAGTTTAGTTAGTACCGCTTTAAGTCGACCAATCGATTGATCCAAAATGTCTAGTGAATCCATCATTCCTGTGGTTGACTCCTGATGTGTTACTCTGTGGTCTGCTTAGGGGTAGATGATGTGTTTGTCTTCATCAACACATTCAGACAAGCGGCTCACCTGCTCCACCCTCGGCAGCGAATGATCTACACGATTAAAACAGCGGGCCGGGCCACTTTCCTCACCTCCTTCACCACTGCAGCTGCTTATGCCGCAAATACTTTCTCCCAGGTATTGCTAATAGGATGTGAGCAAGGATATAAGTGACTTTGCAGCCATGAGGCGAAGTGTCTCTGTCAGCACACATTTCCCTACGATAAGCACAAAATTGAATGTTTCGAAGCCTTTCATGCTCTTCTTTTCTTTACTCCCAGATACCAGCGGTGCATGACTTCGGCCTATTCATGGCTCTCATTGTGAGCTGCTGCTGGCTGTGGGTGTCTGCCCTGATGCCCGCCTCCTTATGTATTTGGACTCAGTGTGTGGAACCTCACAGATTCACTTGGTCACACTGGTGAGCTCTTATTTCATTGCTTCTGTGTGAAAAGCCTCACCACAAAAGACTGAGAGAGAAGTAATCACTCTGCTGTCGTTCTTCCTAAACTATCTCCCATCTCTAAAGCTGGAGACTGTTTGCGGAGCTGTCAGCGAGCCACAGCCCTTTGTCGGACGAGGATGATGATGTGGCGCTTCTGTCGGTAGAGATGGAGACAGGTTAGATTATTATCAAACCACCAGGAGGAGATTGATGGGGGCAGAATGGGGAGCAGAGTTTGAACATCACCAAACTCTACCATTTGTCATTTGCCAGGGCCCTCTGACATGGACAGTGACACAGCCATTCTGTCGCTGTCAGTGGAGATAGCGGCGCCTCCTGCGGGACAGAAGCACGTGGGCGTCGTGAGCAGAAACCTGCAGTGGGCCCTCAAACACTTTGTAGCAGAGCCAGTGGTAGAGCACCGGAAAATTGTTTTGGGTAAGCTTAAACTACACTCCTACTACTGCATCCCTGCTCTATTTGCATCTTAGTGTTTGTCAGCCAAATTAAACAATATAACCACTGGGAACACTGGGAAATGTGAATGATTAACTTTAGGATTAATCACTTTTCATTCAATTAGCAAAACATTTTCACAGGTCCCTAAATCTCATTACCAAAGGAAATGTTGACTGACTTTGGAGTTTGATCTTTCCATTACATTGTTCCCACTGATAATTAGAGCGTTACCAGAGGCCTCAGCATCCATGTGCTGGTATTGCACGTGTCAAACACGTGGGCCAAGATGTATCGAGACAAATGTTATGTTCCTCAAAATGACTTTTTGGTCAACTTGTGTCATGTTATACTTTATTGTAAAACACATTTTCTCAAGGAAATTATCATTTTAATTTATTAAACGAAATAGTCTGGCCAAAAATGTACTTATTTATCAGTCAACAAAAACAGTATTTCCAGTTTTGGTCCAACACAAACATGACTGAACTCCTTTTGTCGAACTCCATGTATAATGTACCGTCAAAGAATGTCCAAACTGTGTGTTAAATGTGTTACATTTAAAGTAGTCCTTGGGTCAAAAGACCTCTAAATTTAAGATATAGATACAAAAAATAACCATGGGTGCAAATATGAACTTGATACATGTTTCATAACAGGGCTATTGTGAAGCTTTAGCTCTTGACTGCTGCTTCATGTGTAAGCCCACTGGCCTCCTCAGCTGTGACTGTCGACATGTAGTTTGAAGTGATGTACTAATAAATCATATTTAGTAAAATGTTAGGGAAATGTAATAATATAATTCTCCTGACAAATGTTAAATCTGTTGAAGACATTCTGTATTCATGCTTTTGTTTCTGGAGAACGTTGAAGATGTTTTTTTATTTTTTCTAATTTCACCTAGAGATGTCTTCAGGTGTCTCTTGTCACTTTCCCTCTTAGCTTCTCTGTGTCCTGTTTGTGAGAGTAGCATTGTGTTTCTTGTCTCGCAGGTGTATTTCTGCTGGTCCTGCTCATGTCGGCCGGCTGCTGTGGTCTCCTCAGGCCAGCCTCGCATGCCCCTCAGCTCTTCCGTCGTGACACAAACCTCCAGACTCTGCTGGAGCTCCGGAGCAACCTGAGTGGTCAGGGAATATCCTGCCCTATGTGCTCAGGTAACCTCGAAAAATACTGCACTTTAGATCCCAGATACCAGCTTTAGAGACAGGGACTGCAGATGGAAATTAGCCTTTGACTATATCTGGCATGTTTACATTCATGTTTTTAATGTGTCTGTTCATTGACATGCACTGTCCCATTCAAATAAATAAATAAATAGACTACTAGATTACTTAGGAAAAGGTTGCATTCCTGTGACATCACACCAATCCAAAGAGCCTTTACTTTAGCATTGTGGTGGAGGTCTAATTATTTTCTCATAAAGATGTCTAGAAGAGGTGACAATATGAAATAATTTTGATGTTGGCCTGTAGAAAGCTAACATTTTCCTTTTTTAACATTTCTTTCAAAAATTGCTTCTTTCCCATGGGGTTGTAATCAACACCTGCCCTCCAACTGAAATAGAATTCTTTAACATAAACACAGACTTTTAAATGAAAATTAACCCAATGATATTAAAGCCGGTTAATTTTACAGGTGTTTTTATGGAAAAGCCACATCCCCTTAACAGCCACGCCTCATCATCAGCATCCTGGTTCTCCACCTATCAGCAGCCTGCAGGAATAACCACCTCCAGTGCTCAAAGAAGCTCATCCAAATCAATTGCTAGCCAAGCCGGTAAATCGTTATACCATCTTATCTTGAATTCTACTTTTCCCCGTCTAAGTTTGTCCCACCTGCCATGTTTAAGGCTCCCTGTTGACAGTGCACATATCTAAACTGGAGCTTGGTGCCTCAACAACACTGTACCGCTTTTCTCTGAATGCCACTGTACCCTCGCCGTGGAAGCAGTGCAGCTCCGAGCACGGAGAGGTTTCATCCTTTCAGGTTAGTCGGTGATGAAGCGGTTGAGTTTTGTCCTTTAAAATGACCTGATCACACTGTTCTTTAAAGGCGTATAATCTTCCTCATGGGAATTACACCAAACGCCTGACGGTGTGTGTCTCCAGTGCCTACCACCCCTACCCCAGTTGGATGATCACAACTGGATCTTGTGACCCACGGCACGGCTGGAAACGCGATTTTGTCTTTTATGAGGCATCTTTTTTGCAGCAGCAGAGCAGGTGATATTAGAAAACTCATTGAGAACAGTGTGGAAATGTAATGGAATCTAATAGTAACTTTGATTTAACCTAACTTCTCTCTTTCTTTAACTTTAACAAAATGTTTGTTCTTTCTTCAAGGCGACTGTACTTTGCTCAGCGCAGACTCCGACCTCACCCCAGCAGAGTGTGCGTTCTCCAGCCTGGCTGTAACATAAGCTCTGGGGCTGATGGTCCGACACAAGGAAGTTTTTATGCTCCTGTTCCAAAAGGTGGGTTACTTACTGATGTGTCCTCAATAATATTACACCCGACTCAATCAACGCATTTCCTTTTTACAATGTACAGATACAAATTCACCTACCAAAGCCAACCCATCCAAAACATTTGGATTCAACCCATGCAGTGGAGGAGTGTGTGGCCGGCCTGCTGTGCGTCCTCTTGTTGACACTGGAGCAATGGTATTTGTTGTGTTTGGTATTCTGGGAATCAACCGTTCTGAACCGAGGGACAACCATGTTATTGGAGATTTGGTGAGTCTTATCTGCAGTAACCACATGTCCCTTTCCTATTTAAAGTTACATGACATGTTTGTTGTTTATTCATGTCCAAAGGGCAGCATCATATTGGATCCAGAGTTTGATATATTCCAAGAGATGGGACATCTTTGCAAAATCTGTAAAGCCATTAGTGCAAACAAACAGCTTGTGAAGCCAGGGGGAGCTCAGTGCCTGCCTTCGGGTAATAAATAATCAATCCGCCAAATTATTTTTGTGCTTTCCCTCTGCTACATTATATTTACAATTAACAATCAACTCATACTCTCATCATTTCACTTACAATATAGCTTTTCTCTGACGCCCAATAATATTACCAAACTGCATGCATGATTTTTACAGAAACAATTTGTGTTTATCATTTGCATTGTAGGTAATAAACTGTCCTCCATTTTGCCACTCCTTCACTCTGAGTGTCACTCTCTGCCTGAGCCGAACCTCCTCCCTGGCCAACTCTCCCATGGAGCGGTGGGGATGCATGGGGGCAAGGTTCGCTGGCTGTCCATGGCTTTTGAGTCTGTAAGTTTCTCATTATTTGCCTCAAGGAGCAAAGATTTGATTTCCCCTCACACGTCCTAAGTCTCTCTTTGTCCAATTTAAGACCACATTTAAGGGGAAATCCTCCTTCCAGACTTATTCAGACTTTCTACAGTGGGAAAACTTCATACAAGAACAGTTATCGTCACTGCCACAGTCTTCTGCACTGCAAAAGGGTTTCCAGACCTGTGAGCATTGGAAACAGATCTTCATGGAAATTATAGGTATGCCATATATTAAGTTCAATGATAAATTATACATTTTTGAAGTTAGTCTAAGTGTACGAAGGGAAAGAATAGTACCATGTGGAACATATTTAGGTGTTAAAACCATGGATCTATAATAATAACTGGATAAGGTAAGCTGTCCCACCCATGGGCACAGGGGGCGCCCGTGGTACTGCAGACTAAATTCACTCGGGCTACCCAGAAAAAGTCCCATAGAACTCAATGTAAATTAAAACAGCTCGACCTCAGCTGACAGAGAACCTACAGCTTTCATAAAGAACGTGTAAAACGCGCTGTTCTTCAGTATTGTTATTGATATAATTCATGATGAACGTTGTTTTTAAATTGCAGCCATTAAGTTGACCTGTTTACCAAAAAAACTATTGTTTACTTATTTTGCTTCTGTTTACCTGATTTGTTGACAGAGTATTTAAAGCAGAGGTGTCCAAACCGGTCAGGAAAGGGCTGCTGTGGCTGCAAGTTTTCTATCAGACCCAGCAGGAGCAAAGCAGACTCCTCCCATTTCCTCATGTAAGCTCAGTCTTATCCGAAGATTTGAGGAAATGGGCGGAGTCTGCTTTGCTCCTGCTGGGTCTGATAGAAAACCTGCAGCCACAGCGGTCCTTTCTGGACCGGTTTGGACACCCCTGGTTTAAAGTATCACTCGCTGACGATAGCAACTCTTGATGATAAATTTAAAAAAAAAAGTACATTTCAGGTTAAGTTTCATTATTTCTCAAAAGTCCCCTTTACAGGCCTCTGTGATTAGGCTACTACAAGAATAAAACACTTTTCTTTTGTGTGCAGGAGTGGAGAGTGCCCTCTGGAGTTTATTGCTTTCTTTGGCCATATGTGTGGCAGCTGTGTCTGTATTCACTGCTCATCTACTGCTTCTGCTGCCTGTTCTGGTTACTATTTTAGGTACATTTATAGCATTTGAGATGAGATGTAGCCAAGAAAACTATTCAATAGAATGCTGTTATTTTTAACTGATTGTGTTCTTGGCAGGAGTGGTGTGCCTGGTGATGGCAGTGATGTACTGGCTTGGCTGGGAGATGGGAGCCGTGGAAGCCATCTCTCTGTCCATCCTCGTGGGTTCTTCTGTTGATTACTGCCTGCACCTGGTCGAGGGATACCTGCTGGCTGCTGAGAGCCTGCCAGCTGATTGTACATTGGTAAGGCTCTTCTGATTGCTTGTTCTGTTTCTATGTTCCCCCTGCATATGTTACTATAATAAGTGTTATCAGCTCAATTGTTGTATTTTCTTCTTCAGGAGCCTCTGATGAAGAGGCAGAGACGCACAGTGGAGGCAGTGAACCATGTGGGCGTGGCCATTGTGTCGAGTGCCGTCACCACAGTGATCTCAACTATACCTCTCTTCTTCTGTGTCATTGTGCCTTTTGCCAAGTTTGGCCAAATAGTGGCCATTAACACGGCAGTCTCTATTCTGTTCACTCTCACGGTGACTGTGGCCATGTTAGCATTCATGGCCCCTGCCAGCTTCAGCCGGCCACGGAGCGCTGTGGTGAAGGCGAGTCTGGCAGTGGCAGCGACAGCTGCCCTGATGGCAGGTGTGTTCTGGGTCGCAGGACAGCTGGGAGCATTATCCTGGAGTACCATCAGCACATAAGTCATGTGGATCTCCTCTGAACTCTAAGCACTATTCTTCATTAACTGGAGAAACATGAATCCCGAACAGCACAATGATGTCAGATGTATTACAAAAACTTTGAAAGTATGCCTGATGAATGTAAACTGGAGGCAAAATCTGCAGGGTATTTAAGTAGTTTATATTAGTTCATTTGGGACAGTGCATGTTAATACACAGGCATGCTCTCACAACAGCACTCCTTCATACACGGTGTACAGTGGGTGTCCCAAAGCCATAATGGACTTACAGCACCTGGTCTATCCGGTCTGTGCTCACCAGGCCCAGTCTTATCTTCTGACACAGGACCTTCTCAGGCTGGTCTGTTATTTTGTTCATAGTTATGAACTGACCTGGTCACTGCTATTTTGATTTACTCCATCCTCTTGGTACTGATTTAATCATGTTTGGGAAACGGTCTGAGCCACATTTTTCATCAGTTGGAGTTATTAGGTTTGAAGAGCTGCTGACTGTGCCGTCACCTGCTGTTGTACACATTGGTTGAGTGTTGAACTCTGACGTCTCTTGGATTAGTGTTTTGGGTTTCTCATGAGTCACTGATATTCTGTGAAACCAGCAAATGTGTGCGATTGTTTTCTCAACTGTGTGGGTGTGAATCTTCAATAACAAAAAGCGCAGCTGATTAATGATGTACCTTTTTGTTACAAGCCGTGTGAAGTTTTGTTGATTTAAAGCTATAAACATTTCTATGCTCACTTTTGATCACTCGAGAACTCGTTTTTTGGATAAGTTGTTAAAAGGTCTAAATTTTTCTATCTGCACCTACTGAAGCCACTTGTCAGCCTCCACTTTGCCTTCTCCCTCGACCACACTAAAAGGGCACTCAGCATAACTCACTCTTCTTAACAGTATTTTAAAGTACCACTCAACCAAAGTCAAGTCGCTGCACTCTGCCCTACACAGCGATTTAGGGCATTAAGTCTAACACCGTAATGGATGAGGAGACTGACAAAGCAGCTTCAGGATAATTTTTGTATTGTAATTCAATTGTAAATGTCCAATAAAGCAGATGCAAAAGGCATCTGGGATCATTCCTTATGAAACTTGTTTTAATTGAAATGAACATGGGGAAACTTTCCGTTCTGCTCAACTGGATATTGCACTAAACTGTTAATGGTTACGAGATCAAGTCTAAACTGTTGGACGTAGTTTAATTTTGTCAGATCAGCCTTTACATACAGTTTAAAGACAATATAATCTCATTACACAATATTACTGATATTTTAGAGTTTGGCATTTTCTTACAGGCTTGTGTAAGTATAGTTATCTGACTGTTGGAATAAACTGTTAAGGGCTGTCCATACTCCTACTCTTGTCTGAATAACAGTTTAAATTCATTTGTTCTCGTATAATAAACTATAGCTACTCTACACAAAAGTAAGAAATAAACAGAGCAATGTTCAGTGAGTAACATTGTGTATTCAACAAAGACCAATGGCTATACATTTAGAAGGCAATATAGGGCTAATTTCAACAGTACTTTTCATTTACATTATGTAATTACTCAACAATAAATACCGAGGCTCATTTGGTTCTTGAGAAATACTTCATTGTACCAAGAAAAGGCATTTTCTCTGGAGAGAAATTATTTTACATCAAAATCGTAAATCAACATTGAAACAAATAAGTCATACCTATATTGCCCCATGTAACAGGGCACATGTTCAAGTATGTCTGAGGAAATGAATGGAACAATTAAAAAAACAAAAGATAAAAAGCATTTAAAAAGAAGTGAACTGACATTGCATTTCACAAAAATCCATATGCTCTTAGTTTTGGAACAATTCACCGTAAAGTGCTAACTGGTTCAAGCTGAAAAGCACATGTTCCCTTTGAAGTTCACACACATTACTTTTTACATGGAAGTACAGGAGAAGTCAGTCATGAGGCAGCAATTATCAACTAGAAGACATGGACCACATTTCATGTATTAGTCCTTTAATAATTAAAATTGCTTCCTTATATTCCTTGTTAACGATAACAATAAGAATCTTGCCACTGGCTGCCAGAACAATGCACAGATGCTGGTGTGCTCACTGTACAGCTTTCTCAGTTCCTTACATGCATTTGACAAACATACAGTATCAAAATTCTTCAAGTCCTTAAATCCTCATATGGATAGGAAACCTTGAACCCAGGGGATGAGAGAGTGAGAAGGAGAGGAGTAAGATTCCTGTTCCTCTCCTGTGGTGGGCTGGCCCGACAAAAGCAGGGATCTGTCCAGCTGATGCCTGCCTTCCAACAGGTCCTGAGAATCCACGCTTATACGCTCTGCCTCAATACGAGACAAGCTTTAAAAATAACGTAGGGGTCAATAATATTCCCCTGCTGTCCGCCTAAGCAGACATACACACTCTCATCCCAATCCTAACCATAAAAAGGTAAAAACAATGTGAACTGCAGAATGGCTTTACTCCTCACAGTCTGTGGGGGGAGCTAGAGCCCCTAGGAGCTGAGGTGCGTTTGGTGGTCTTGCGGCTGTTTTGTCGTGTCTGGTTCATCTTTGTGGCCGAAGGTCTCCGAGCGGCAGGCTGGTGCCTCCCTGGGGGGCCCCTCCGTTTGCCCCTTTGCTCTGCACGGCCCCTTCCGGCCCCCGCTGGTCACTTACGAGAGTGCAGTGTGTCCTGAAACTTGGTGCTGGTGTAACGCACGTGGAAACCCTTTTTGTTGATGGTGTCATCTGAGCGAAACTTGATCACAATGGAGTCACCGGCCGAATAGATCTCCTCTGGAGGCTGCCACAAGCACAGAACATGGAACTGTCACTGAGGCACACTCTGTTACAACTAACAAGCATCTCGGCAAGTGACAAGAGTATAAGCAGTCATACAAGATAATGAGCTTTTCTCTTCTATGGCTGAAACTGCTACTAAGCAATCAGACCTATTTACTTTTTAAAAGAACATTGAGAATGCAGCTGCTGCCTGAGGATTCCTGAGGGATATTTTGCCCCCTTAGTTCTAATGCACATGAATAGGCCTCAGTGAAATAAGTGATCTTTTCACTGATGTGTATACAATTATTTTAAGCACAACTTTAATACCTCCTACACCTCATTGTTATAGATCACATTCAGAATAGCTGAAGATAATATTGAAATGTGTTCTGTCAACCTCAAGCAGAGCGGCCAGAACTGTTCTCACATATCCATATAACAGCTTAATTACAAATTAAAAATATAATCTATAGAACCATGAACAGTTACGCTAAATTTGAAATAGATTAAATATATTACTGGTTGCGTAAATCCCACTGAGTGTTTGTGTGACTATTGTTTCCGGAGCAGATAGCACAACACAAGTTGTATTTAATTACTACAATAATATCAATTTATATTTGTAATACACTAGAGAGTGTGGAATGTTTTGAATGTGTTTAAAAAGGGAGAAGCCTACCCCTGAGCCACAGTAACGTCCCAGGCGTGGAGACTTTGTGTCTCCCCCGTCAAACAGCTCCATGTAGTCGTATCCACAGTCAGCCTCCTCCTCGATCTCGAAGGTCTGGAAGATGAGCTCCACGCCGTAGCCTTTCTCAGCCGAGATGACCCACTGACAGTCAGACGCTCCTGGGTAATTGTTGTCCCCAAACTGGGCGTGGGAGAAGAGATCCTTGGTCTTCACCTCAGCCTTTAGCCGACCACCACACTCTGAAGAAAAAATAGGACTATCGTTGTACTATGTGATACTAATTAACACCAAAACCCAATAGTTATTCTAGACTAGGCCCGGACTAAGAACTAGACCAGATGAGAGCAAGAAAGAAGATGCTATAATAAACACCTGCTGTGTGCGAGGCCTCAAACCCTTTCTTCTGCACAGAGTTATCGGAGAAGAATCGTACAAACAGTTTGTTGCTGCTGGAGGTAATCGGGGGAGGCTTCTTGGTGCCACAGAAACGCCCCAGACTGGAAGCTTTTGCATCTTGGCCGTCGTATATCTCAATGTGATCATAAGCACACTCCAGATGTGCCTCCATGTCAATCTCATTAAAGGCCTGAGAGGCACAGGACAAAACATTCAGTATGTTACAAACAACATCTACAGAAAATATCATAGTGAATGTCGAGTCAAGTCCATATATAGTGGAACATTGGCCCAATTACAATAATGTAAATTCCATTGTAGAATTAAACAATTTGAAATTAAACAAAGTACATTTTGCAGAGCTTTAATTTTTGGGTATTTACAGCCACATGAAGTGGTTTTGTTTATTTGAATGCGACAGTGTGTACTCATGAACAGCAGTGCTTTAAAAACATCAGATTGTCTTGGACTGTAGCCTTGGACTAATGTCCATCCATTGTGTAGGAATAGGAATGTGTCCAAGTATACAGTAGGAATTACAACTGTTCTGATGCTCTCACTTTTGAAGGGCTCAAGACAAACAAAAATAAGACTAATGCTGGTGATTAATTTGACCAATGATAAAACAATGGGGGCGACAGTGGCTCAGTTGGTAGATTATTGGCCTCAAAGCCTGAAGGTCGCGGGTTCGAGCCCACCACAAGACCTACTTCACAAGTCCCACTCATGTTGTTGTGTCCTTGGGCAAGACACTTAACCCCACTGTGCCTGAAGCCCCCACTGAAAGCTCAAGGCTCCTGTGGACTCACCGCCTGCAGGAGGATCAGTGAAGGGCTGGTGCTCTGTGTACTGGGTGCAGCTCTGACTGCCACCCCCCCGACCCAGAAATGGATAAAGGGGAAGAAGATGGATGGATAATAATAACAACGCTATACACATAATATACAAGTACACACTGTATATTGCAGTATTCATTCACTCCATACAGTGGTGGTAAACTACTATTGTAGCCAGTTACCTTGAGGCAGACTGATGGCAACTATTCACACACACAAACCAAATACAGCGTGCACGAGTGTCTCGCCTGAGGAAACATCAACTATTTGACACTTCACAGCTGCCCCACTGTGGCACCTGGTGTTCCCAGAAATCCCCCATCACAGTACTAACCACAACCTGCCCTGCTTAGCTTCAGGGGTCTTACGAAATCAGGCTTTCACATGTTATGCGTGTAAAGGAAAGAATGAGACCATCAATTGTGAGATTTTAAGTGAAAACCTTCTTCCATCAGCAAAGGCATTGGAGATGAAACGTGGCTGGGTCTTTCAGCACGACAATGATCTCAAACACACCGCCCGGGCAACAAAGGAGTGGCTTTAAAAGAAGCATTACAAAATCCTGGAGTGGCCTAGCCATTCCTCCATGCAGATCTCTTCTATAGAAATATCATTAACGGTGTACAAACCCCTTGTGAGGATGAACATAAAACATTTGACCTCTGTCAGTACCAACAAAGGGTGTACAACAAAGTACTGAGATGAACTTTTGTTATTGACTAAATACTTATTTTCAATCATAATTTGCAAATAAATTCAATAATCAGACGTAGTGATTTTCTCTTTTGCCCCACAGTACTTCAAAGTTCGTTGCATGGCGCTAACTGTGCAGATGGACTACGACCCGAGGCCAAGTCAATAGTATAACCTGAAGGAGCAGCATTTTACTTGCTGTTAAAGGATTTGTGACCAAGTTTTAAAAAAAATACATTTGTATATATGTGTCTCATTTTGTCCCAATGCTTTGGAGTCCTCCAAAAGCAGGAATCCTAAAAACAGTTGTAAGTCCTATCCCTAAAGCATATAAGTTAAAGCTGACACTCTGCAGTAAAAGACATGGTTCATTTCAAATCTATTGTGGTTGTGTAAAGAATTTAGATTATGTCTATGTTCCAATATTCATGGACGGACTGTAAATTGATTCATTAAAGCTGGAGTACCTAATAATTTTCTTCCACTTTTCTTGTTTAATCTTATTACATTAAGTGTATCTTATTGTACATACTCAAAGCTGTCTGAAAAAGCTGATCTTAGATTTCTGTGGCTGAGGCCAAAAGTGCATGTGGTAACGTGATAGAACCAAACAGTGTCGAAAGATTATATAGTTAATAGTTGTGATTTCAAAATGAAGTACTCCAGCTTTAAGTCTAAATGTGCAAATCAAAGCTGGCTCATACAATTTTGATCCGATGGCCTGGAGTGGTGGTGAGCGCCCAAGTGCAGGCCTTCTTGCTGGGGTACTTGTCAGGCCAGTTTGGACTGGTAATGGTGCCACTTACACTGTTAACAGTGTGATCACAGCCAGCTGAAGCATAACAGTGGAAAAAACATCATGTGATTTATTCAAAAGTACTAATTTACTTGTGTCCATTGAACATACCCTCTTTGCAGTCGTGTTTGTTCTCATGCAGCACGAAGCCACTCCGGCACTGACAGCTGTAGCTCCCAAAGGTGTTGACGCACTCATGCTGACAGCCTCCGTTCTCCTTCGAACATTCATCTTTGTCTGCTCAACACAGGAATACATCTCATAGATTTTTGTTCCATAATAGTAAACAAATTAAAATTGTGATATAATAAAAGTAAACTCACCAGAGAAGAATTGAGCTTTGAAGCCCTTCTTTGACACTGTGTTGTCTGATTTGAACTCAATGCGCATGTTATTGTACTGAGAGGTAATAGCTTCTGGTTTCTCAGCCCCACAGAACTTCCCATGCAGCTTTGAATCAGCCGACAGCCCACTACGAACCTCCACGTAGTCATACTTACACACCTGAAAGACCAAATTATTAAGACCATATTAGAAGTATTGTTTGAGTGGTTTTTCATTATTTGTCGTGTATAGATGTAGCAGAGGAGTTGTGTAGAAAGACAGAGCACAGAACAAACCCACCCCGTGACGATTGAAAAAAGTGCTCACGTCATTGCCCTCAGTCTCGAAGACATCAAAGAGCAGAGTGATGCGGTACTGTGTGGGGGCGACCAGCTGCCAGATACAGTTCTTGTTGGGGGGGTATTCTCTGGGCCATCCTGGGCTAGTGATTGAGCCATTCAACTTTGTGATAAAGCCTCCACAAGCAGCTTTAAAAACAACCACAGAGAAATACAGATTTGCTGACATGGCACATGTATTCTTACTTATACAGTCACAGTTCTGGACATGAATAGCTTTTCTGTGTCCCGCATTAATCAGATTAGTGTCTGCCCTGATCGTGAGTTCACACGTTCCATGTTATGCAACACAACAACTGTTTGGACCCAGAGGGTTTTTTCAACCTGTTTACACTGCACTATACCACAATACATCAAAATAAACCAAGATTATATATTATTAGTTATTTCAATTTAGTATAAATGATAACTATTTTCATAACTAATAATTCAGAATAAATTTAGTATCACTGTATAATGTAAAGATAGTGACAGATAGTGATCAGACCAGATTAAATACAATTTATATTTTATGGGTTTCATTCAGGTCTTAAATACCACTGGATCATATCAATGGTTGCAATAGTGATCCAGTGCATGAGGGTAAATGTGTAGTAGCAGCCCACATCCTCTAGAGGCACTTTCTCAAACGTGTAATTTGGTCTTATGGAACATACAATTTGGATAAGAATAACTGGAGCAACGCTGTGACTCAAATCTTCAAACGCTGGTCCCTGCACAGCATGAGCACTAATGTGGGCATGTACTCAGCCTAGCTAGAATGACTGTATTTATTGTATTTGGGTGCAAATGCTTTTGCGTGATAATTGCATGGTCCTCAGGGTTAGTGACTTATCCCTGTATTTACCCTCGCAGCTGCGCTTGTCTGCAGCCAGCTCGTAGCCCGGGTCGCAGGCACACTTGTAGCTGCCCAGCGTGTTGACACAGCGTTGCTCACAGCGACCATTGTCCGGCTTGGAGCACTCATCCATCTCTGAAAACACAAAGATATGTTAGAATCCTTTTGGTTGGACCTTTGGCTTGAAGTTTTATGAGTGAAACAGTAAAGCTGAGAAAACACTGCGAAGTTACAATGCATAGAGACAGTACATACAGACTTATAATCCATAAAGTACATTTAGAAAAGGTTTCAAATCTGACCTTTGAAGAAGTTGGCGGCAAATCCAGCCTTGTTCACAGAACCATCAGAAACAAACTTCATCCACAGCTGGTGAGAGCTGCTTTTAATGTCGTCAGGTTTGTCATAGCCACAGAAGCGGCCCAGCAAAGGACTGGTTTCTGTATTTCCATCACGCACCTCCAAATAGTCATAAGCACAGCTGTCATGTCTCTCAATCTGTAACAAACATTTAAAACATTATGTTCACTCAGCAAATACAGAGTCAGTATTATATGAAAAGCCATACCTCAAAGGACTGGAAAGTAAGGCCCACATGGTAACCCTGAGCTACAGTAATCTTCCACACACACACTTTGTTGGGCCTGTAGTCATCAGGGTAGTTGGGAGATTGGATCTGACCATTGTCCCTCTTCACTTCCCCTCCGCATATGGCTGCAAGTATTAATATAAAAAACAAACAAAGTGGAGTATAATCATTAGCACATGCCTCAAGAAAACGTGCGCTTCCCGTTTACGCAATGCGGATTAGACTAAATGCCTCCACCATCCGCTCCCACACACACAACCGTGCATCATCCTTTTGCACGGCCTGAAAACAACGTGGACAAATATGAATCTGCGCCAAAGTCGGATAAAAGAGCCTTACGCATCAGCAGTGCAGGCTCCAAAACCCGTGCGTATTCTAGGCTAAGTGTTGGAGGTGCGACAGAGAGCGGCCAGTCAGCTGAGCAGCGAGTAGTGCTTACCCTCGTAAACGGCAGAGAAGCCCTTTCCCACCCAGTTACTGCTGCTACGAAACTCAATCCACAATCGACTGTCGGTGGAGATGATTGGCTCGGGAAGCTTGTCGCCACAGAAACGACCTGCGCAAATGAAAAGTGATATCATAGATCATTGCTCAATTTAATCTTTACTGAATTATTATTATCATACCACCCCTTCCCTTAAATAAATATGGGAACAAATCAGACCACATCCTGCCACCTTCATATTATCTTATCTCTTCATGTAAATATTTTATTTTTTGAATCCTTCCCTGTCGGTAATCATTTGTTACAGATGCTTATTATGCTAAAGTCAGAGTTTTTGTGCTCATTATGCGAAAAGATAGAGATTTTATACTTGTTTCTTCTTCTTGCTAGATATTTTATTTGATTTAGTATGAAGTTATTGTTCATTTATCTTATGTTAATACTGTTTACCCACTGTGGGAATCTTTATCTTGATGTTTTGGGCTCAGAACCAATTTCCTGGCCCTCTCCTTCTCACTTTTCTATCTAAAGCTGATATGGCTAAAGTATACATGGAGAAAACTACTGATAGGATACAACTGTTTTGAGAGCAAGAAACTAGTTACATGAATTTGATTAAATAGTTGCCGTGTTTGTGGTTGGAAAGTTGCGTACTTTACGTCAGCTCATAGTGAAAGACCAACCTTTGAGAGGTGCCTTCCTCCAGTAGCCATCTCTGATCTCCACATGATCGTACCAGCACAAGTGACTCCTGTATAAATCCATGGACGTGAAGTTCAAAATGATCTTAAAGACAAAGAATGGCGACATTATAAACACCAGTACAAACTAGTGCTTACCTAAATAAAGAGAGAAAACAGACGACATAGCTCTAGTTGTTTAAACAGTTAAGTGAATCTGGCATCTTCCATATGCTCATACCTTTTCCCCTGGCGTGACTGATATTCTCCAGATGCAATGCATGTAGGCCGAATATCCATTGGGAAAACCTGGGGAGGAGAAGTTACCACTGCTGTCCTGCAGACTGTCCCCACATCCTGGGCACAAAAACACACGAAAAAGACGACAAAGAAAAATAGACTGTTAAAAATACATGTCTGACTTAATTGATAAATACTACCTTTCCATGAACTGTGAGCCTAAGTATAATTGGCAACACAGATGGTTCAGAGCCTATTCCTATTATAATTCTAAATGTGGAGTGAAGGGAAATGCTTTTATGTTCAAAGGCACATCTGCAGATACTATCAACCCCAAGCTCACGCTCCAGATGATGATCACACAAAGGAATCGAGTATGAGACACTTTCTCTGTGCAACCTCTGAAAATAAACCTGTCACACTATAAATAACACAGTCCTCTGGAGATCTGATGCATAATGTACACGGCAGCCTCCACTGGCGACTCGCAACACTAACGCTTATGCTCAAAGGCAGGTTATGTTTATTTATTTGTGACTAATAATAATAGAATGATATGAATAAAATGGGTTGCTCTGTTTATGTAGCTCATCAAAATTTTAGAGATTGTCCAATATGTTGTTTTCTGTGGCCATTTTTTTCTGCAAATAAACAGGAGATTGGTGCTTGAGTGTTTGTTTTTTGTAATACTAATTGTGTTTTGAGTTCAATGTTAAGAGTAAAACAAAATTGAGGATTAACATGCCATGGTGGCCATCGTTAGGTATCCCTGTTTTAAAATGTCGACTTCTACATGACCTCGACTCCAAAACAACAAGGTAAGGAGGGGTAACTGAGGGGCTGTAATGTATGTCCATGCAGTGATAGGCTTCGATAAACTTGGGTTTTTAATATACGTGTCATTTAAGGAAAGGAAAAGAATCAGGAATGGCACTGCACCTGATGCAGGCTGCTGATAGCACAGCAGGTCACGGTGACCCGAGGAAATATTTGAAAGTTGATTAAAACTATGCTGACTCTGAATTCCACCAAATCTTTATATGATCATTAATAAAAGATTATTGATTCTGAAAATCTCTAAGCCTATAGATTAACAGTGATCATTAAAAATGGCAATCATGATATGTTCATTTAAGGATGGATCAGACCGTTTTAACAATTACATACTAATATTAAATAAATTTTAAAAATCCATGCAGGTGCATTCTTCTCCTCAAACTACAGAGAAACCTTGGCCTGTAGATAACTTTATTATTTATATGAAATAGAACGCATTAACAATTATTCAATTGAAAAATCATTGCTACCCCAGTGCATCTGTGAGAGGAGGGTTTGGCTCCTGTGTCCAAGCCAAAACAATGTGCCCCGGTTTATCATAATACATCCATGTGTGCTGTGTTTGCAGTGCTGTGTTATGGCCTGGTGACTTTATTGAAGACGTGCTCTCACGTTATGCTGTTTGTATAGAGCCTGATGTTATTGGAGAGTGAATGTTTTTGGGACAGAAGGAGAATCCACAGAACGCTGAGGCCAAGACTGGCTCCTGCTGCTTATCAAACCCGAGCGAGGCTCGTTGATTGTATTTGTCTTCAGCAAATTATAATGGAACCTTCTAGGGAAACTAAACATAAAATGTATCCATGCAACGTTGTATCTGGATTTGGGTTGAAGCGGTTTCTACCTTTTTTTACATCAGATTCTTCATTCTAGTTTTTTTACGGGATAAAAAATACTCTTGGAGCACAGACCTCCGCCGAGAGGTGCAGTTTTATTCCTTAGGCATCCAGGTGGTAAAATTTGATCTATTACCTGTTCACCGGACCATGGTTTAGTTTCTTGCTAGTTTTGTCTAAATCCTCCCATAACTGATGTTGCTCACAGACGAAAAGTCCTAGTGAACACTGAAATGCACATCTGCTTATCACATTCATTAGGTTCTGCTCGTGGAGTGGCGTACAAAGTTTGAGATGAGAGCATGTAGACAAAAGGAGCAGAGGGACGTGTTTTTCCTGATTAAATGCAGATGGAGCTACAAACAACTCTAGGTTTGTTTTGGATGAAGGGAACAATGTTGTGACATGATTAAAGGTCAAAAAGGACAATTTTGCAAAATACTTGTCCTTCAAAGACGTAGTGCAAAGAATGGTCCAAACAGAAAAGTGCCTGTGTGTATATAATAAGTCATACATGTGTGTTATTATCTCCGAGCTGTATTTAGCAGAACTAAAGAAAGCATTTTCCCCAAGTGTTTACATTCATAGCTGCCCCAGAGGCCTGTATATAGGCAATAAAACGAGGAGCCCGGCACTAAAGGTTGTTATAAAGCTCGGCAGAGAGTGACCAAAACTACTCCATTAACAAGCACTCAGCCACTCATTTGGAAGTACAAATGCTTACAGGAATGTGCTTGAAAAGGAGATCCCTGCCTCTTTAAGGTCGTTTTTTCAATGACTGCCACATCATCCCCGCTGCTGCTCTTTCCTGAGTGAAGTGAATCCCACACTCATGCACCTCCAGGCTCTTCTTAGTGTATTATGACTTCCACTTTCCACTATGACCACTCCAGTTGGTCACCGAATTGCTCACCGAATCTGACTCACTCCAGATGTACAATTAACTGGCCAACACCAAATCTATCCAACAGTGACCACCTTGAATTACGCGTTTGTTAATGCCGTATTTGTGAACTGCATAAGTTCTATTTCATCCCTTCAGACCGCCAGAGGGCGGTGCATAGCACTGAATGTTCCCTTCGCGCATGCGCAGTTCGAGTAATAATACCAAATGAGTCACACCTGTGACCCCCTGGGTGACACACCGGAGGTAATAAAGTCCAGCGTCATCCAGCACTCTGTTCCTTTTTTCTTCTCGCGTGCGGTTCGCATCGTTGTTGCTTGAACTTTGTCAACGTCTGTCGCTGAAAGCCCTCTTCATCGGAGCTGCGGTTCGCCCTCCGTGGGGCGCGACGGTGACGTTGTCCTTCGGGTATTTATTGGTGTTTTCTGTCTTATACGTGTGTATTGGTTGGTGTGAAGGCTGCTGTGGCGCCCGCTCCTCCGTCAGTACTTTCTTTTGGTACATGCATTTCGTGGTGTGAAGGCTGCGGTTCGTTGGCCTGCTCCTCCGCCTGTGCATGTTTGAGTTAGCTTAGCTAACTGTGTATTGAGTGGTGTGAGGCTGCGGTTCGTTAGCCCGCTCCTCCATCGGTTCTTATTTGGGTTAGCATTTTGCTACCTGTGTATTGTGTGGTGTGAGGCTGCGGTTCCGCTCCTCCATCAGTTCTTAGTTGGGTTAGTTTTTGCTACCCGTGTCCTCTGTGGTGTGAAGGCTGCTGTTCGCGCGCCCGCTCCTCCATCAGTTCTTCTTTGGGTTAGTTTTTGTTACCGGTGTCCTCTGTGGCGTGAAGGCTGCGGTTCGTTGTCCCGCTCCTCCATCAGTTCTTGTTTGGGTTAGCATTTGCTGCCTGTGTTTAGTCTGTGGCCGGTGTATTGTGTGGTGTGAAGGCTGCTGTTAGCGCGCCCTCTCCTCCATCACTACTTTATTTTTGAGTTGGCGTTTTACTGCCGGTGTATTGTGTGGTGTGAAGGCTGCTGTTCGCGCGCCCGCTCCTCCATCAGTTCTTCTTTGGGTTAGTTTTTGTTACCGGTGTCCTCTGTGGTGTGAAGGCTGCGGTTCGTTGTCCAGCTCCTCCATCAGTTCTTGTTTGGGTTAGCATTTGCTGCCTGTGTTTATTCTGTGGCCGGTGTATTGTGTGGTGTGACGGCTGCTGTTCGCGCGCCCTCTCCTCCATCACTACTTTATTCGAGTGGCATTTTGCTGCGGGTGCATTGTGTGGTGTGAAGGCTGCTGTTCGCGCGTCCGCTCCTCCACCGTGCTATATTTGGCTTTTCTGTTGTGAAACTGCAGTACACTGATTCAGTTCTGCAGTTTGTATACCGGTTGGGATTAATTCCATATTGAATTAACGACACAGACAGACGAAACAAGAATAATAATTTAATTTCAAAAAAAAAAAAAAAAAACAACCTTGTTATGGACGGGTCACATGCGTGTGTGGGCTGCGGGTCAGCACTCGATGTTGATGACGGCCATGACCTGTGTCCGGCGTGCCTCGGCCCCACTCACTTGAGGGAGGCAGTGTCCGATAACCCGTGCATGAACTGCAGCTGCTTGCCCTGGGCTGTTAGGGTGGCGAGGCTGGTTCAGCTGCCTTCGTCTGGCGACGGTGGTAGTTTGCCAGTGGGACCTGCTGTGGCTCCGCCCCCTCGGCGTTCTAAGCGCCGTGCTGAGGCCTGTGCTTCGGGGGAGCGGTCTGATGGCCATGGTCCTTCCAAGCAGGCCAAGCCGGATACTGTCCTGGTGTCGAGGGTGGAGCAGTTATCTGCAGAGTTGGAGGCGATGAAATCTGCATTCCAGGCACGTTGTGCTGCTGATGCCGTCTCTGGGGCTGGTTCTTGCTCCATGCCATCCCTCCATCCGGAAGAGGATGTGCTTTCTCTGGCGGCATCTGCTTCGTGCTTCCGGGACGAGGATGACGCGCGGTCCCTTTCGGGGGACGATGCTTATTCTTCCGCACATAGTGTGTCCAGCCGGTCTGGTGACGGCTCAATGCAGGAGGTTCTTCGCAGGGCCTTATCCCGTCTGCAGGTGGAACTTCCCCAGTCGGGACAGGCTGACCCTGGCAGTGCTTTTTTCAGGCGTGGTGGTTCGTCTCCTGCTTTTGTTGTGCCCCCGTCCGCGGAGTATCTGAAGGAGCTACACGCGTGCTGGAGGGACCCCAGCCGTCTCTCTAAGCTGTCGGCTGAGGGTCGGGCTTTGGCCGCGATGCACGATGCCTCTTCGGCTGGTCTGGATTGCATGCCGGCTGTTGAGCCGGCGGTTGCCTCCCTCATTGTTTCTCCAGAGGAGTCCTTGCGGGAGAATGTGAGGTGCCCTCGGAGCCAGTGTCGTGCGACGGATCACTTGCTAACAAAGGCCTACAATTCTGGTGCTCGAGCTGGCCGTATTGGTAACTCCTTAGCGCATCTGCTGCTTGCCCTGTCTGCCTCCCTCCAAGAGGGTAGTGCTGTGGGCACTGATGTTACTGCGTTTAGCGACGCAGCTCTGCATGCTTTTGCCTTGATGGCCAGGGAACTCGGACGGGTCATGTCGGTCCTTGTACAGGCTCGTCGGCAGGTATGGCTGGCTCAGTCTCCCCTGACTGAGGCCTGTCGTAGGACCCTCCGTGACGTGCCTGTCGAGCCGGGTCAGATGTTTGGGACGGCGGCCCAGGAAGCATTGGACCGGACTGTCCATGCTGGTCAGACTAGACAGCAACTTTCTAGCCTTAGCAGGGTGGTGCGCCCTCCCCGGCAGTTTTTGCGCCCGATGGTGGCCCCCGGTGTTCGGCAGCCTCCTCGGGATTGGTCTGGTGCTCAGCGTTTTCCCCAGGTCAGGCCTGCCGGGAATTTTCGTGCCCCACCCGTACATAGGCGCCCGACCCGCCAGCCAAGTGGCGCCGCGGCTGGTCCTGGGCGGGGTCCCCCCAGAGCCCCTAGGGGGCGGGGGGCACGGAATTGACGCCTCAGGGCCGAGCGTCGGACATTTTTCCCATCAGCAGCTCGAGTGTTGGGCTGCTCGAGCTCGGGATCCGTGGGTGGTTGCCACATTGACCCACGGATACCGTCTGCAATTCCGACGCCGGCCGCACTTGTCGGGCCGGGTCAAGGTTACTTTGTTCTCGGACCCGGCAAAAGCCTTTATCTTGGATCAGGAGCTCTCCGCCCTCCTGACCAAGGGTGCCATCGAGGCGGTAGATCCGCTGCTGCAACCCAGGGGTTATTACTCCCGTTATTTTCTCGTGCCCAAGAAGACGGGGGGTTTTCGACCAATTCTGGATCTGAGGGGCTTGAATCATTTCCTGAAGGTCATTCCATTTCGCATGCTGACGACTGCGGAAGTCCTTCAGACTGTTGGGGCCGGGGAATGGTTCACGTCCGTAGATTTGAGGGACGCGTATTTTCACGTGCCCATTGCGCAGCCCCACCGGCGGTTCCTCCGGTTCGCCTATCGGGGCGTTCACTGGCAGTTCAGGGTTCTTCCCTTTGGCCTCTCTCTCTCTCCGAGGGTTTTCACCCGATGCGTGAAGGCGGCTCTTGCTCCGCTGCAGGCCAGTGGCATGAAGGTGTTGCCTTATCTGGACGATTGGTTGATTGATCTGCGCCCCGTCCAGGGCACGGTCCTTGGAAGATACGGAGCGCCTTCTGACTCATGTCGCCCGCTTGGGGTTCAGGGTCAATTTCGAAAAGAGCAGCCTGGTACCTTCGCAGGCCGCTGTTTTTCTTGGCCTGAGTCTGAACACGGTGACTATGACGGCGCGTCCGTCGGTGCGCCGCCTGGTCGACATCCACGGTGTGGTGTCCCGTTTCGGTCTTGGCACCCTGCACAGTTACGTCAGCTTTCTACAGCTGGTGGGGAAGCTGGCCTCGATCTCTCGTGTGGTTCCACTCGGACTGCTTTCGCTTCGCCCGTTGCAGAGGTGGCTGAACGGGTTTCGTTTGGATGCCGTTCGTCACCGCCACAGACGGTTACAGGTGACGTGGGCATGTTTTCGTGCTTTGGCTCCATGGAGGGACCGCGGTCTCCTGTCACGTGGGGTCCCCTTGGGGGTGGTAGTGTGCCGCAGGGAAGTGGTCACCACCGACGCCAGCCGTACGGGATGGGGTGCTGTGTGGCAGCGCAGGTTGGCCCGAGGGGTTTGGTCTCGGGCGGAGCGCTCAGACCACATAAATGTACTGGAGCTTCGGGCCGTCCACCTTGCTCTCCAGGAGTTTTTGCCTCACCTGCTGGGGAAACATGTCCTCATTCGTTCGGACAACACCTCGGTCGTGTATCACATCAACCATCAAGGGGGTGTCCGATCGGCTCGGCTCCTCGAGGTGTCTCAGGCTCTGCTGGTTTGGGCTGCGCCTCGCCTGGCTACACTGCGTGCAGCGTATCTGCCAGGGGACTGCAATCGCGTGGCGGACTCCCTGTCTCGCGGGAGGCCTGCCCCGGGGGAATGGTGTCTCCACCCCGGTGTGGTCCAGAGGGTGTGGGGCCTCTTTGGTCGGGCACAGGTGGACCTGTTCGCTTCGGTGGCCTCCCACTCATTGCCCTCAGTTTTTTTCCCTGGACGGGGTTCCGGGCTCTCTCGGCCAGGATGCCCTGGCGCACAGTTGGCCTCAGGCCCTCCTGTACGCCTTTCCCCCTTTTCCTCTGATCTGGCCAACCCTCCAGAGGGTCCTTCGGGCGGGGCACAGTTTATTACTGGTGGCTCCGTTTTGGCCTGCACGGCCCTGGTTTCCACTGCTACTCAGACTTTGTTGGGCTCCCCCCTGGCCTCTCCCTCCCAGGCGGGATATGCTCTCACAGCTGGACGGTCAGGTGTGGCATCCCTGTCCTCACCGCCTCAAGTTATGGGTATGGCCGTTGGCTGGCCCGAGCTGCGGGCACTCGATGTCACTGGCCCTGTCAGGCGTACACTCCTGAATGCCAGGGCGGCCTCTACTCGGCGGCTGTATAGAACAGGTGGAAGTTGTTCTCCCGCTGGTGTTCTTCCCGCGGTCGGGATCCCGTGTCGTGCCCGGTGGCGGTTGTCCTGGAATTCCTTCAGTCTCTCCTGGATGAAGGTCGGGCCCCATCTACTCTGAAGGTATATGTTGCTGCTATTTCATGTTATCATGGCCTGGTTGATAACTGTACTGTGGGGGGCCATAACCTGGTGTCTCTCTTTTTACGCGGAGCTCGTAGGCTGCACCCTCGCGTGCCCGCGCGGTCTCCGGTTTGGGACCTGGCCTTGGTGTTGGAGTCTCTCTGCCGCCCTCCGTATGAGCCATTGGCCCGAACGGACCTCAAGTGGCTCTCCTATAAGACTGCTTTCCTGTTGGCTGTGGTCTCTGCAAAAAGGGTCGGTGAGTTACATGCACTTTCTGTCAGTCCCTCATGCCTACACTGGGACCCTGAGAGGGCTGGCGTAGTCTTGTGGCCTAATCCCACTTTCCTCCCTAAGGTGCTTTCCCGTGACTATTGTAACCGGCCTTTGAGGTTGGCGCGGTTTGTGTCCCCCCTGGATGGGGGTGAGGACAGACTGCACCTGCTGTGTCCTGTGAGGGCATTGGAGGCCTACGTTGCTGCGACGGCAGGTGTGAGGCGCTCAGACCAGCTCTTTGTTGCTTATGGTGGTGCTAGACTGGGGAGTCCGCTTTCGAAGCAACGCCTTTCCCACTGGGTGGTTGACGTTATCAGTCAGGCGTATATTTCGGCCGGCCGCGACCCGCCAGCCACGGTGAGGGCCCATTCTACCAGGGGTGTCTCTACCTCCTGGGCCGCTATGCGCGGGGTGCCGTTGGGAACTATTTGTGCTGCTGCGTCTTGGGCTACACCGAGCACGTTCACCAGATTCTATAACATCAATGTGGCCACTCCGGCTCCTCTTGGTGGTCCTTCAGGAATCCTCTGGCTCTCCTCCGTGAGGTGTGTGGTCAAGTTCCTTCGTGACATAGCTGGTATAAGGTCATTCAGTGCTATGCACCGCCCTCTGGCGGTCTGAAGGGATGAAATAGAACGAGGGTTACGTATGTAACCACGGTTCTATGAATCCCGGATGACCGCCAGAGGCGCTCTGTCACTCAGGGTCCTTGCATCCGCGAGAAGATTCTGCAGGAACAGAGTGCTGGATGACGCTGGACTTTATTACCTCCGGTGTGTCACCCAGGGGGTCACAGGTGTGACTCATTTGGTATTATTACTCGAACTGCGCATGCGCGAAGGGAACATTCAGTGCTATGCACCGCCCTCTGGCGGTCATCCGGGATTCATAGAACCGTGGTTACATACGTAACCCTCGTATTCTATTTATTACATTGAATTTCAAAAGTGCTTGTGTTGTATTGTATGTACACAATATTGTTTCGTTTTTACATGGAGAAAAGTGCCGGAGACTTGAACACAGCTGGTCTATTGAAGCAGACTGATGACTTTACTTTCTCTAACTTGAGTCAGTTCAAAAGCCTTACCACATATATGGCTTATTAGGGTTATGAAAAATAGACAGGAGAAAGCATTTATCATCAATGTCTTACTTGAGCATTTGTAGAGTTTGCGTGCCTGTGCGATATCCCCTTTGCTCAGTCTCGTTCTCTGGCCAATGGGCGGTCTGACTCCATTCACATCGTATCGTGGCAGGATGGTGTCCAGGAAGATGCCCCTGTGAGTCAGAAAGAAGATATTTATGGAACTCTTTGGGCCAAAAATGTGGAAAACAATAATACAAAATAAATAAAATAAAAAGCTCATTCATGGTTAATCTAATGACGGTGGGTAAGTATTCAAAAGATGCTTATATTGTATACTGTTATATTTTGCCGATACTTCCAGACCGGCTAAGGAGACTCAATGTCGGGGAAAAAGTTGGCACGGCTTGGCTCTCATCAGGACATTTCAAAATGTGCGTCACAAAGTTTATACTGCCCTGGGACATGATTCATTATGTACTTACTAATCATTGATGGCCAGTTGAAGACAAACAAGTTTTTTCACAGAAAGAAACCTTATGCAAACTTTTAACTTGGGATGTTGCGCAGCTTATCTATCTATGTTATAAAAAAGGAAATCAATAAATCTGAAAAACAATATTTATTTTTCCGTCTCAACAAAAAAAGAAATCGTATTTAAGTAGCATTTTGTGAACAAATCAGACCGCAACATTCTATCTTTAACTCATTTTATCTTTTACATACCGAGATCTGATCGGCAGAGTGAGGGCTGGGACCATCTTTTTCAAAAGCTGATCTAATGATGTGACAGAAGCCAAAACAGATACATGTATAAATGTAAACACACCAGTGATAGAACCAAGCTCTTTTGAGAGGAAGGAACTACTTACATGGATTGTATGACATTGTTAGTTTTGTGTAAGTACTCCAGCTATGATGTCCAGTATGAAGTTTTTTAAGTTTTAGAAATTAGTTTTACAGAAGCCACAGCTTTATCGCCACATAGCTGAGTGAGAACAAAGTGAACTATCAAAAGGCACCTTACTGTTCTGTTGCAGCTGTTCTGAAACATGACATTGTTCACAAACTTCCTCTCTTCTCTCACCTCCATTTCACGCTACACAGGCCTCAAAATACTAAAGAAATGAAAACACTAAATGCTGCAGATCACAGTCAGTCCTATTTTCCCACCGCTCATACTTGATACTTTATCTTTTCATCTCCAACTATTGAGGAGTAGTGGCCTGGCTCTCGGGACGTTCCCATGGAGACATGCGTTTCAACTGCAGGCATGAGTAAACATTGCCGCCTGAGCTAACAGTGCAACTCCCTCCTCCTCTTCCTCAGCCTCCAGAGCCCTGCACACTGCACTGGCCGAGGGTGAAATACTCCGGTCCATGTCAGAGCGCACAAAGGCCACACTGGCAGGTCTCTATTTGAGTTGGAGGTGTGCCAAGCGCCGGTCCTAAAAAATATCTGAGGGGCAAAGCGAAGGGGACAGGAGTTGTAGGTCGGCTAACACACTCCAGACTAAAGCCCTGGCATTGGATTTGCTCGTCCCCCAAAAGAGACAGAGCAAAACATCAAGACACAGCATGAAATCCATTGAGCATGTCTCGCTGCAAAGGACCTGGCTTCCCACGGTGATTTACTGTACAACACAGGGCAAAACACACAGGCTAATAATGGGGCAACAGAATCAGACTGGCACAGGTACCTCGGCCAATCAGTGCTCAGGAGAAAGTACTTGGACTGACTTGTGAAAAGCTAACAGGAGCCCCTTGTCTGCTAATAGCATTCTGCGAAACATTCCCTGGCAGCGGCCGTGGCAGCGCTGAGCCTGGTGTCCAAGGAGACTTATTGATCAGCTCGACGGAGTCAGAAGTGGAGCAGAGTGGATTATTCAAATACACATGCTCTGGGGTTTATGTGCCATTGTCCGTCAACACCAAACAGCTCTTTTACAAGTCTACTAATTCTTTCATTTTGAGCTTTTGCTTATGTGCTTTCCAAAGCTATTATAGTAAAAACAATGGACCTAAATGTTTAAAATCCTTTTGAATTTGTCATTTTTTCCTTTTTTACAAGATAATATACAATAACAGAGCAAAACGAATCCAGTCTAAGTACTTGACACAGATTTAGTTTCCAAGTGCTAGTTCTGACCTAGAGTTCAGGTAAACAAGACGAAACAGACGATCCTGTACTTTGGCGTAGACACAGCCACTGCTTCTGTTTAGACTCTCACTCTATGCTTCACTATCTTTTAGTCAAAAACAACCTCTGCTTCAGGAAAGCGGAAGAATTGTTGAAATGTGATAATTTTTCTAAAAAATACTTGAGTGGACTAGTACTTGAGAGAAGTTGAGCCAATACTTGATGACAACAGCTGTTGTGAGCAACGCCAGATTCTCTGTATACTTTACAGACAAGGGACAAAACATTGTGTTCATACGCAGGTCTGAGGTCACATCCTGCACAAGGGAAGGGGGGCTAAAAACAATATTTACACAAGCTGATGTTGTGTTTGACGGGTTAAGTGTTGAAGTTGATTATATTTATGTGATGTCCACATGTGTGATGTCAAAAAGCACTTTGCAATGAGTAAGGCAGAGTTTGTTTTTGCTCAACTTTAACCAGGAGGAGCACTATAACATGTAAACCATCATAAAACCACCTGAATAGAGCTGAACAATTTGGGAACAAGATTTAATGGGGATTTTCTGATTTTGAGAATGTAATTAGGTTTTCAATGTATATTTTGATTGAAAAAGCGTCTATGCCCCAATTCTGATTAGCTGAAAACTAAAACAAGACTTAGTCCCCCAACCTCAGCAGGATGGAGCTCAAACCTTTCTCAAAACATTATCTTCTATCTGTACTATCTGACACTAACAAGTCCCCATATGTGATAGCATCTGTTGGTGATTATTGTTGTTGAGTTGACCCAAATTGTGCTTGGACTTGTGCCTTTATTCACTAAGGCCTGTAAATTAATAATAACCTGTTATGTTTATAGTAAAGTGTTATGAAGGAGCAGTGTTGCACCAGGCAAATAAAATGAGCCCCTGCACTGCTGAAATCAAAGGATCCAGAGGTAATGAGGTGTTTGTGATGCCAAAGCACTACGTTAACAAGAAGTTTCACACTGGCCTGAGAGCGCAATCTCAGGACCTGAAAGCCTCTCCAACTCAGCAGCTGATGCTAAATGAAAAGCAGGGACCTTAATTTGAAAAGGCTGAGAGGACAATCCACTGTGCTCTGGCCAAACACTTTCTCCTCAACTAAAAACACACATTTATAGCGAGAGGATAGCGTGGCTCTGGAGATCCATCTTTAGAATCACTGTTGTGCCATTTTTCTTTTGAACTCTTCATAACACCCCTATAACTGTACACATTTTGTGTCATCAAATCTAAACGGAAAAGCAGGAATGACACTCGCAATGGTTTCAGTTGTCAGCTAGTCCTTTGTGTTCCAGTTAAATGATCCTTTCATTAGATAATTGGAGATTTTTTAAAACACAACTTTCAAACGTATACAGCGTTGTGACACGGGGTGTCAAAACACATGGATGATGTTACAATTGAGGTTAAATCTTACATGATGTTTAATCAGGGCTTGTTTGGCAAGCGTTATATATCTAATTATAGCAGTTTTACTATAAGGTAGCATAGGCATTGAGATTAAAGCAGACTTCATCTGACAGGGTCTAAGAACAGTTACCAAACAAGAATTATTTGGTTGTTCTTGTGGTCCTACCTGGAGAAGGTATTCCTGGCATAGTGCATGATGCTGTCAAAGTCATAGACTTCCCCCAAAGAGTCCACCTCCCCTGGCTCCATCTTTAAGAAGTTATACTCCTGCCCTGAAAAAGAATGTGAAGGTAGTGAAAGTATATAATTGAGGAAAAGCTATGAAAAAGCTCCACATGGCTGAGAGTACAGCAGATGCAGGTCTTACCTGGTTGAATGTTGTCCCTGATGATGCTGACATGTTCATCTCTGTCTGGGCGAGTGTGTTCATGCCAGAAGCCGATCACATGACCCAGTTCATGAACCACTATACCAAACTTATCACAGTTTTTGCCAATGGAAATGGCCTGAGGACCTCCTCCACGACGGCCAACGTAAGAGCAACATCTACAAGACAAAGGTCACATTGTTAAATCTCCAGAAACTACATTTGATAAAGTCAGATGATGATCAAATACAGATATTAAACTTCTTGACTATCTTTGAATAGAGTTAATAAGACCCCCATGTTAACGTGTCCATAGACCAAAGCATGGAGGTTGAGGCTGGAGCAGGGACACACCAGGGCCCGTGCGGGCCAGACAGCCGCTCTCTAATTACGGAGCCCCGTCTGCTCTCCTGAGACACGCCTTGAACTTTGCACAGGACAGATGGAAGCTCTGAGTGCACTGCAGAGTCAAGCCTGCCCAGTGTAACCGCTGCCGCCTCTGTGGATAATGTCATCCCTGTTGCTCCACGGACCAGTAGTACCAAAGCTATAAATGGCTATCAACTGCTGCCTGTATAAGATGTACTTTGAAAAGCTGTTTGGATTTATATCTACACTGAGATGAGTCTTATTAGGACACATGTATTTCAATTTACATAAACAATACCTGTGTGAACATATTTGAAACAACCATTTATCACTAGTACATGTCATTTTTGTAATTGCATTTACATAGTAGATGTAGACAATAACCAAAATGTTTTGTAAGCATGTGGTTCTATGGTTCTCCAGACAATTATCCATTCAGAGAGCATACGACCTAAAGCCTTGCACCTGCAGTGTTAAGTGGTAGATTAGAGGTGAGTGAATTCTAGAGATACTGAGCTTTCACATGAGACACGGCCGGTCCATGTTATGAGAATAAGAAAAATGCATCATATATATTACGGTACATTTACAGTGGGTTTGTGAAAATTTTTGTATTTTAAATTTTCAACTGAAAGACCACAACAAAGTAACTGCTGAAGAAAATCAAGCTGAAAGATTCTGTCTCATCTGACCACAACATCTTCTTCCTTGAATGTGTCCCCTGCATTTCTTCTTGCGGCTTTATTTCAATACTTTCCTCCATGAAGGCCAGATTTGTGTCGTGTATGACTAATATTATCCCCATGTACAGATTCTCCCAGGTGAGCTGTGGATGTCTGCAGCTCCTCCAGGGAAACCATTGATCATCTGACAGACAGAGTCTTGGTAGATTTGCAGTTGTGTCATACTTTTTCTATTCCTGATGGATGCTTTCTAATTGCCCCTTGGGGATAAATAAAGTGATTGATTGATTGAAACATAGCTCTGAGGTCAACACAGAACAGCTGTATTACAGTGAGGCAAGATTACTCTCTGTTGGCTCTTTCAATCGTCACTAGGACATTTTCAATATATATCAATGCATTATGATGTAATGCTGTATGAATAAGGATGTATATTATCTTGATAGGGTATTGCTAGCTTAAGCCTGTCTCCAAGGGGCCACCCACAGGGTTTTAGTGTCCCTTGTCATCTTGAACTTTTTTTCTTTATAAATGCATCGGTTTTCAATAAACATCTGCTCGTTCAATTCAGTTTCTCACTCTGCTTTGTTCAGCAGAACACTTACTGAGACCACCGAGAGCAAGTGCCAGCGTCCACAGTCACAGCTGATTGGTTAGAACGCTCACTGGTTACTCTGGTCCTGCAGAAGTGGAATCACTGCGCACCTACTGGGCAAGACCGCGAGAGCCAGAGGTGGACAAAATAAGTCACTTCCACTAATGTTTGGAACATCCTTCACACACAAAGTTTATTGATCTGAATGGGAAGACATCATAGTGACCCAGGGACAAGCCCCACGTTTCAGTATTTGATTTTGCTTAAATAACTATCATGTTTCATTTCATGGGCGACAGTAGCTCAGTTGGTAGAGCATTGGCCTTCAGGCCTGAAGGTCGTGGGTTCAATTCCCACCTCTACACCTTCTCCACCGACTCCCACTGATGACGGCTGTCGTTGTGTCCTTGGGCAAGACACTTAACCCCACTTTGCCCAAAGCCCCCACTGAAAGATCAAGGCTATGCTCACACTCAGAGAGCAGCCGTCCTCCTGTGGACTCACCACCTGCAGAGGATCAGTGAGGGACTGGTGCTATGAGACTTGGGTGGCATCTCTGACTGCCACCCCCCTGACCCAGAAATGGATTAAAGGGTAGAAAATAGATGGATGGATGTTTCATTTCACAGTTGTTTTACTTTGTTGTGGTCTTTCAGCAAATAGCTTCACAATCCACTGTAAATGAAGTTGTGATTGCAGCATGAGAGAGTGTGTCAAATATACTATTTACGAATGAGTTTGTTTAGCTGATTATAATCAAATGTAATAAAATGTGTGTAAAATAATGTTAATGTTAATGTTCACACAAGAAATGTGTGAACATTAACGCTCGCCTCGGTAGTGTAGGGCAAATATAGTCATGGAAAGGTTAAGAAGTCTTCCTCTGGAGACCAATTATAAGGAGCATGTAGTGCATGTAGTGCACAAGCGCTCAGTGACTGGGGCAGTGTGAGGGATGAGGCACAGGAAACATTCCTGCCCAGTGAATGGATGTCTCTTTCAAGAACAGCTGGGGGTAGAAATAACAACTCTCACACAGAGGCAAATGGAACCAACAGACAACAGACTGCTGTATAAAAACTATTGAAGTGACCAATAATTAGCAGAAGATAAAGCAGCAGAGGCTGACCATAGTTCAGCTGCCTCCTGTGGCGCTCAGCTCCCCAGACTCACCCACACGGTCGGTAGGTGAACACAATGTAGCTCTCCTCCTGAGTTCGCTCTATAAAGGTCACGCAGGTGTGCTTCTCCCAGTGGCGCATTGCCTGTCTGAATATCGCCCGCTGGCTGCCTGAATAACACAACAGAGTGAGGAGAGCTCAAGGTAAAGGAAAAATAATATTTAAAACAACATGCAACAATAACTTAAATCAGAGGTTTAAAAAAAGAAAGAAAATCAGCACCAGACTTACCACTGAAGTTCCCACTGATCACATAAGGAATAACTCCTTCAGGCCACACACGCTCAGGTCTCGAGGTCGCAGCTCTTTTCTTGCGACTTGAAGTTGGTCTATTTGGGCTACTTTGATTCCTTGCAACTGAAAACAACAAATTATTATGTGATTACGTTTTTGCGACTTTAGTTGGAAATCTATAAAAACTCCCTACTAGCTACTGTGTAGGTAACAGAAGGTGAAGAATGAGGATGAGTTTCATTGCAAATTGAGTTGAATTTTTTTTTAACAGTGGGTTGTGTCAAACAAGATGAGAGGGGAAAGATTAATTGTCCGTCTTCATGAATGGGGTGGGGAATTCCAATAACACTCATAATCTGGTGAGTGTCGAAGGAGGAGATCAGGATCAAGTAAAATGTGGGTGAAAGGTTTTCAAAAGCTTTATTTTATCTTGACTGCAAATGTACTTTCCATTACAGGTAATGTCAAAGGGTTTTGGATTCTGCAAACATGAGTGTATTTTGATGCTCAAATGTCTGTGGCTTAAACACACCTTAAAACGTGGTGATACAAGTTAAGAAACGTCAATGTGATGACACATTCTTTTAAAAATCATGAAGTTGTGGACAGAATGATAACATACTAACAACAGATTGTAAATTGTAAATGGCTCTTTTGGCAATGTACTCATAATTGTGTTTGTGAAAAGTTAAAAATGTACCTGCATGATTAAAAGGCTGTACGGTTCTACGGGCCAAGTCCACTATTCTATCCACTTTGAATAACCGCATGTCCTCCTCGTCCAAAGCAATGTCTCCCAGGAAGGCAACTGGAACAAAAACAGTTCACTAATCAATTACAGACTCCACATTTGCTCGAAGGGTAAAACTTGAAAGAAGTTTGGTTCCTCATACAGATTGTTTACATTGTCTGTACAAAAAATACACATCTTTATCCAAGACAGGCCTGCATGGACAACAAGAAGACTGTCTCTGGGACAATCAGGAGAGCAAAGTCAGGAGCACAGACTTGCACAAGAAATTATGTTCACAGGAAATACATCACTTTTTAGTTTCTCCTCAGTACTGATGGATCTACCACTGCTCAATGAACACACAGCTTTTAAGACCGTTTTTCTACCTTCGGTAGAAACAAACATTTTATTTCTATGTTCTATAACAGCAGCAGCTTAACAGGGGTACAACATTAGCACACATTTTTGGAGAATTTTAACGCAATTCCCCTTAAATTCATAGCATCCTTTTTCATACTAAATATTTCCTCTTCTACGTTCATTTCATCGTACGCTCAATCAAATAGGTTAATCTCTACAGTTGAAAACATAAAAGACTGCACTGCAGAGATAAAGGGCACCTTGAAGAAGTAATGAGTCGTTAATGAGGCCAACGATAAGGAAAAATAACCAACCACTTTATGAGGAATGCAAGTCTTTATGAGATTCTTGGGTAAATGCCCTATTTCTGCAGCGTAAGGCGTACGTCTCCAGAGCAGAGACTGGGTGCTTAGTTTTACAAGCCCTTCAGGATTTATGAGCAGCTCGTACGCAGGCCATTGGGGGAGGTGAAGGGGGGGGCGTGGGGTTATGGGGTTTTTAGGTGAATCCGAGATGCAAAAGGTGCTCGCTGTTTTGAAGAGCAAATAAGATGCAAGAACAGACAGGATGTGAGGAAAGAGGCATTTCCCTGTTGATCACACGAGTGCAGGGCCTGAACCTGGCTGACAATCTCAACCCAAGTGCATGCTGGAAGTGAGGTGGCGGCACACGATACGGTAAAATAAGTTCTTGTTTGTGATAGTAATTTACAACAGCCGTTTGCAGACACTACCCAAACAAGACGCTCACCAAGATTTGATTGGATGACCGGAATAAAGTGTTGTCACAGTCATTTATTATATTCTTGTAAAAACCCACGTAAAACATCACTGAATACAGTCAAACTTTACTGAGATTACCAATATTAAAACAATCGGGTACTTTGCGGTATTCATTAATGCCGTTACAAGCCCAACCACAAGAACCAAGCAATACAGAACTACATTTTGGATAAAGATACAGCACAACTTTCTGCAAGAGTTTGACAAAAGCAGGAGCAAAAACTTTAGAAGCACAATAGAAAGAGGGAGAAAAGCTTGGCCTGTGTCCGTTTTCCTAAAATGAAATCAAGATGGAGTCGCTCAAAACACAGCTTTGAAGGCTGAAGGGGAGGACGTGTGCGTTTGGGATCACAGGTTAAACGTTGCAGAAAAGGTGGAGATGAGCAGCAAGACAAGGCACGCAAACAGAGACAGGTCTGCATTCCAGAGGTCAAAGGATCCTCTAATTTGCACTCCCAAGAACACTAATTTGTTTTTTTGCTAATCTTTGTGACACTGTCAAACAGCTTTTACAACAGCAGCTTCAGCCAAAACACTGCTGATAAGAGGCAGCTCCCAGATACACTGCAGTGAGAGCTGACAAGAGCTCTTCCCCTTTATTCCACATTTAATTTGATTCTCAGAAGTGTCTACATAAAAAGAACAGGCAGTGCTGAGGCAATTAATTACACATTTTTTCATAGAGGAATGCGTAGCAGCACAGACAATTCACGGAAATAGAAACCACAGTTTGTGTTTGAGTTTTGGTGATTTTTGTTTTATTACACTTTTTTTAAATTTGTCAGTATTTTAGTTCCATATATCGCACATCTTGAGTGAGTTTTGATGATTTTTGACAACAAACAGTCTTTAAAACTATAATGCACCAATCCTTCTTTCCCAATACTAGTCTTGCTTTCAATTAGAGCTGAGCCTAAAATGTCACGGTTGCAATCTCAAGGAAAAAAAGTCAGAAAGACAAAAGATGTTTTACTTCACTCGGCTCAAATATAATCCAGTTTCTTGTTTGGCTAAAGAACTTTGGTTTTTTTTATTGAGGAAATCAAGAATGGTTGATCTCTGCTGATGCCCGATATGAAGCAATAGTGAATGAACAGAAAGTGTACAAATCGACTCAATTCACAGATGACTGATAACAAAAATTATCCACATGCATAATGTGGATAATATGTGCTTATTTGTTATTTAATCTGTAAGAAACCACAGTATAGTTTTATTAAAACGACTGAAAGAGCCAATCAAGATTTCAACTTGCAAGGTCCAATACTACAAATATGTGTGTGTGTGTGTGTGTGTATGTGTGTGTGTGCGTGTGCGTGTGCGTAAGTGAGAGGGGCTGGAGGAAAACAAGTGTCTATTTTGACCAACCCCTTTTTTTTCAAGCTACATTTGCTCATATTGTGTTTAAATGTTCTTCTAATTTACACAGATTTGACATAAAAAACAATCAATCAATAATTGCTCGACACCCCTCTCATTCTTGCAGACACTGACCCGTAATGGCTGGTGCCCGCTGCCCACCGCCCCCACACCGGCGGTTCACAGAGGCCGTGCCCTTTGCCCACGCAGAGCCGTAATCATCGCCGCGCTGCTTAATCCACGCCTCATTGTCCTCAGATTGAAGTGAGCCGTTGCAGCAGCTCCCCTTGGGCGCTGCAGTCGCCTTGGAGACACTGTAGCAGGTTTATGAAAAGACTTGCCGGGATTGTCAATTAATCCTCATGTCTCAGAGTTTAATTATCCACACACAGGGTTAAGGCTCTTGGGACACAACATGCACTGGGATTGAGGACAACTTCCCCTTCCTCAGCCAATCACCTCTTTGTGTGTCCTGTGATTGCATTTAATCATATTGGATATCCTGTCATTTCACCGTTCATACAGGCTTTGCATCTTTGCAGCGACAAATCAAATGAAATGCTAGGATGTTGATATGATATCAATTTAGGTTTTAATATGTAGAGAGTATTGAAAATGCACACATTTGGAATTTGAAAAATTCAAAAAGTAGCACAATTAGAAGCATTTACAGTAGATTCCATGATGTCTCATTGACTCAAAGCAAGACTGTTTTCTTTGGTAACCCAAGCCATACATTTAGTGTGGAAATGGCAACTCACAAAAGGCTATTGGGCCAGTTTTTCCCCAAAATTGAATGTGAAACACAAAAGGTTGAGCTTGAAACTTTAAAAAAAAAGTAGTTAGAAAAATGTAGGGAAAGATTCAGTTTGGTTTTCAATGTGGATATAATATTGTAGTTAAAGAAAAATACAAACACAAATACACAATTGAAGAACAATACAATGTACAAATGGAGTAAGTAAAGTAAAAAAAAAAAACATGTTTTATTAATGGTGTTTTGGTGTGTCGTTTGGACTTTTGGGTTTGGTATAATTCTGTGTCAATTCTAACTCCCCTATCGTTTTGGTCATCTCAACCATCATAATCCCTCTTATCAGAGACGAGCTCAATCTATCAGTGCAATCAGAAGGAGATTAAATTTGAGATTACAATCAAATTAATCCCATTGATTCATGTAATGCCCTTGCCTCAACCTCTGGTGTCAAACACTCCAGGACTATTCCCATAAATCTCTTTCCATGGACGCCAGACCTCGACATCTGCCACTGAAACCTGCACAAACATCAATACTAAGCCTATACAGACACTAACACCAGCCTATATTTAGAGGCACTTGTCTCGTTATATGCCCCTATTTTGGGACATTTGGGCAGATGGAATATGCCATAGTGAGGGACATGAAGGTATGGGCAATGGGTATCACACTGCCTCTAGTGTGATACCCTGTAGAAACATTAAGACACTTGCACCCTTGTGCTGTCCTCGGGGCAAATTGATTTGCCACAGTCATTAAAAAATACCCAAAATGATTGTTTTCCAAGATGAATATTTATGATGTCTCCTAACTTTACTGTCCCTATACCCTTTTAGACCCCAGCTTGTTGTTGACCCGAAAGAGCCATTGGTCAGACCCAAAAGGATAGTGTGAGGCTGATGGGTAAACCTTACAAGATAAAAAATCCATGTCTCTAGTTTCTTGCTCTCAAACTGTTTTTAGTTTATTTGTTTATTAATCTCCCTTGGTGGGGGAATTGTGAACGATGAGGTGTCTGTTACATTTTCAAGACAAAGGGCGCAGACAAAAAGTCCCATACATTTCACCCGCAGATACACAAACACTATCACATGTTTTCCCATGCATGAATTTTCGTACCGTCACTTATCTATATCGGCCACCCTCCCTCAGCCAATCAGCTCCCATGGCTCTTTCTTACAAGTTTGTCAAAGATAGCATGTTTTCTACTAATATGGAGACAAAATGTGATCTAATTTGTTCACCATATTGTATTTGTTTTTTATATGCTTGGTACCTAAGCTTTATGCAATCTTGTCCTTTTCAAAGAAAAATCTGGATTGGATTGTGTATGTGTCGTTTATGGATCAATATTTAACATTTTAAGTCTGAAACTAAAGTGCTATTAATTACACGTTTGTGAACTGGGTGTGGTACACCAATGAGCATTAAACAATGAATAGTCGTGCCAAATGAAATCATATTGTAGCTCTTATTCCTGACGGTGAGTGCGGTGCCAGCTCCAAAAGGGCACACAGTGAGAAGCAGGCTCCCCTCAAGCATCTCGCACTCCATCGAGCCCATTAGCAGATTGGATTTCCAGCTCATCCCCAACACTGATTACAGCTATACCCTGTCCGTTTAACCCCTAATGTGTCATCAGCACGAGTGACCTTTGGCTATGGTTATGCAGCGGTTTATTCAGATTAACAGATGGTCATGTAACACAACTTTTATTGGTTTACTTTTGGTGGGTTTGGTGGTAATAATCATCATCATAGACATGTAACAACAGTCACATTCCCACAGAGCAATAACCATATCCTAACTTACACACCGAGTCGTGTTCAGTTTTCACACTACCACCAAATTTAGCCCTAAATTAGACAGCTGTAAAAAGGTGAACAAGGTTATAAAACTACATACAAGTCACAAGGGACAATACTTTGCATAATGACAGCGTAACAAGCCGTGTGAGTGAAGCTCTTACAGCCGAAGTTTGGGATTTTGGGAGTCTGGGTGCAGAAACAGTGTTTAGACAGTTACACACAGTAAAAGAGGCACATTAAGATGCAGATTACGCTAACTGATAGTAAAAAAAAAATCACTTTGTGTTGTTCCACTGCAAACAAAAGCAATAACATGAGAATACCAAAACTGGTACGTCGTTTTGACAGGGGATGCCAATGGTTTTGGTCTTCATCAATAAGACACATCCCACACGGAAATGGACACATTTTTGGATACCTTGGGACATTGATTGAAAGGATAACAGTTGATATACCCAAACTAATGTTGTGGCTGTAGTACATTTGTATGTTAATGATGTAAAAAAGTAATCTCAATGGAAAGAACAAGCTATAACCATAAAAAGCAAAGCCTTGCCAATTGTCAGTCCATAAAGGAAAAGGACGAGGAGTAATGAGTAGGAAAGCCATTAGTCATTAAATGCACAAGATCAAGACAATGATGATCAGAAGAGGAGGTGCCAAGCCAAGAATCAATCGGGAGATGGCTCCTGGGCACTGTTGCTGACAGGTTGCCCTTGTGGCATTGAGGAATGGATAATATTCTGAGAATAAATTGAGGACAATACAGTATTTTATTAACATGAGATAATATAAGAGCTCAAAGGTTTGAGAAAAGATGGTGCAGGTTGTCACAGTAACCCATCTCTCTTCACACACATGAAGTGCAGCAGGTCAGAAGTGTTAGCTCCGTCCTATATTCCGACGTGAACAGGAGAATGTATGGGGATATTTCAATTATGCACAGTGGCAGAGTGGAGACCAGTCAGAACAGAGCATTTCTGGGTATAATTAGCATGTCCTCCCTGTGTCTGCGTAGGTTTCCTCTGGGTGCTCCATTTCCCATACCACTAAATGTACAATAGACAAAAATCCACCATCTCTGATCCTGACCAACCCAATAATCAACAATCTGCGGCGACCACTGCTCCTGATAGAGGCCCTAGTGGCAATGAAGGATGGGTAAAATGCACAGGACAAATTTCCCTACGGGAACAATAGAGAATAACTTCGGCAAGAGGGAGAGTGGGCGCTGTGATGGGTTTGGATCGCAAATCGGGGGCTCTTCTGGATCCCAGGGCAAAAAGCTTGAAACTTGAAGGGGGAAAAAAAATATTCTCCATTTTCACCATCTCAGTCTTCATCAGGGCAGAATGAATAACTAAACAATCAAGGATTGAACTCCAGTGTGTGAGATGGCACTGTACTGTACACAGGAAAATCTGTGCTGGGAAACCTCAAGGTCAAAGTGGGAAACATGATCCTGGGGGCTCGGGATACAGACAGACTAACTGGTGATGTTGGATGTTTACATGTGCAGGGTAAAGTTGTTATTATTACAATAACTCCAATAATAATATGAGGACAAGCACATTTCATATGGCTTGATAGACTACACATCGGCTCTCTAATCAAGTGTCTCCTGTGGCGTGAATAGTGGCAGGGGTCCTGTCATTTAAAACACACCCAGTGTGGGACCAGCCCCGAGATCCATAATAAAGAACAAGCATTAGCCTAATGCTAATGTTCCCTCTCACAGTCTAGAGCTGTGAGTCTGTTTCAAAGTTATTATCAACACATAATTGTGATAATCACCCAGCATCTGTTGCCAGTTAGAAAGCTGAGATTTATAACAATCAGGTGAAATAGGGCCTATGCTGACCAGCTGGCCTGTTCTGTGCCTGGATACTGGATAGTAAAGGTTAAAAAGCTGAGGCTGACTCCACCTTCAGTTGTGCTTTCCAATGGCACGAGGCGAATGACCCACAGTCTGTGTTTGAGCCGGCTCAGCGGCCTGGGTAGACTTGCATAAGAGCACCCATGAGAAGAGGGGGATGTTCGGGCCACTTGTCTACAGCTGAGCCCATAATACAGAAGGGAGAAAAACAGCAAAGCCTCTGCACGCAGAGCTGCACCAACAAGCAAACGGTCAGAGCCAGAATGTTCCTTATGCACACATAAACAAGGATTATTCTTTTTAAAGACAATGGGCCAGCTTGTCCCGCCGTTCATTTTTATTTTGTAAAATGGATAGATGTAATCTCTGTATGATAACACGGTCTTAAATGACTTTCTGGGAAGCTGCCAAGATTAGAGTTCTGCAAGCTAAGGAATTTTCCACTGGTTACTTCCTATATGAAAGATGTCATTACTTCACTGTTACAATACTATTACCATCACCGAGGAACCTCTCAGGCCTATATAAATATATATTTTTAAGTAAGTATTATTTGCATGTTAGTTGTGCAAATACATTCCAAGCTCACAACATGGAGGAGAGGAGAGGGGGTCTTAATTAGCCGATGGACAAACCATCACAAGTATGAGTTCACACCTCTGGGAGCTCCCAGTATTCATATTGTAATCTTAATTACCAGGCCCCCTCATTGACATTCATGAATACAACAACAAGAAAATCCTCCACACATTCACTTAGTCCCTATCGCAACATTAAACTCCAGGACTGAAGAAACAGAAACCCTTCAACATAAACACCTCATGCCAATGGAAGCAGCCTCAATATGCTTTCCTGAAAAATACTTACTAGGTTTATTTTATGACAGTAGTGTTAGAAGTGATAGTAGTGTCGACTTGAAAACATCAGAGAGCATTTATCTCTTAGTTGTTACAAATACAAGAGGCATAAGGATTGCATTTGATATTGTATCCTACTATGAATTATTTGCCAAATTTCCCAACTCATGGGTCCACCTCTAAGGTCACCGAGGACATAGGACTTTAAACATATGCCATTTCCAAATATCTCTAATTCACATCAATATAACAAACACATGTAACGTCCTTAAAACAAGTCAGAGAACTCTTCTGCTCAGCATCAATCCCTGCTGCTGAGACAAACATGCCAGAGAGTAATGACCTCCAACACAAACCGCTGACTGAATTATATGTACTGTATATGGTTACTGTATATTGTTTACATGCTTCAAACTGGCCGCAGGAAACCCCACAGAACACTGACAGTACTGACTTTACAACTGTCACATTAAACTCTAAATATTTATCATAGTTTTTTATTCAAGATCTTTCCATTTTGACTGATCTAAAATGCTGTAAAAGCTGTAGGCTACAGTTCATTGTTGCAATCCTCTACATAGACTTGACAAACAGAGCAAGTATCTGAAACAAAGGACAGTGTAACTTTTGAAAAAACAAGAAATCTGTGCATCCCAACACTTTGCAACTCATCCGATCTTTACTGACTACTAGTGCGCTCAGAGCTGTATGTTAGTGATTGAAAGTGCAAAACTATCCCAGTGTGAACCAAACAAACAGCGTGTTCCCTGAAGCCTCACTGTCACCTCTCCAGAAGCAGAGATGCGTGGCATGTTTGTCCACTCACGTAATGAGGCACATTACGGTGCGCTCCAAGAGGAAAAATCTCACCAGCTTTGCAGGGATCCTTGTAGTCGATGGCTTCTGATGTGGCAGCGGGCTCCACGTAGTAGTTTGGGTCAATCGCCTCCAAATCTACCGCCTGAATCACAGCGAGGCAGGACAGGAGACACAGACATCGCGCCGTGAGATCCATGGCTGTGGTTTGGGGCGAAAGTCGAGGATAGAGGTGAAGGAGAGAGGAGAGAGGGGAGAGGGGCACAAGAGTGAGTGAGAGAAAATGGGAGGTTTTGGGGGAAACGAGATCCTCCGGAGGGCGGGTTTATCGAGCCTCTCTCCGGTGTCTCCTGGCCCGTGTCTCCAGCCTCAGCTCGGAGCTTGTGCAGAGCTGCTTCTCAAACTTTCGTCTCTGCTCCAGGAGGCGGCGAAGCGCCACTCGTTTCCTCCAATGCCTTCTTTTTAAAAACTATATTTTAATGTATTGATTGTTTTCGGAGGTTGAGTCAAACATGAACCATGAGCACACATATTAATGTAGTGTGGAAGGATTTTAATCCTTTGGTGTTGCACATTATAATATTGACAAGTGTGAAATGCGCAACGCTTGACCTCTTGTCTTGAGTCGCTCAGACCATGGATCTATGTCAGACCCACTCCAACAGGAATGAAAGAGATTGAGCGCCCCCTATTGGCAGAAAACTACATTTAATATACGAACGTCCAGTGTTTTCTAAGTAAAGCAACCTACGTCAATTGTAATCACTTTAACAAGTATTATCTGAACTTATGCATGGAATGGTGCAGGTGAGCTTAAAGTTGAACTCTTCCCTCCATTTATTTAATTAAACTACTTAGCTGTGTTAAATCTGATGGTTTCATAAAGTTATTATGGGTTTTCTACATTTGAGACAGATGCAGGGAGGTAGTGGTGAACAGCGCCACAAACATCTTTAAAACTCAGCAACACAAATTTGTAAATGAAAATAATCCAAGCTTTTATCTGATTTTACTTTTGAACAAATACAAACTGTTATAAAAGTACTGAAGTTTAATTCGAGTGAATTAGTGAGCGTGATCGGCCTCTGCTGGTTATTAAACAGAACTGCACACTAAAGTCTAAACGCACTGATTTTAGATTCATTATAAATACGCGTTGCCTGTTTATTACATAAGAGAATACATTAAAGTTTACACTCTGTTGAGAATTCGTCTGCTGGATTCCGAATAGGTAGATAGATCGATGGAAGCCTACAGACCAAACCAGCTAGATTTGACATATAACTGGCAAAGAAACAACCAAGTCACATGATGGAAACATGGCTTCTGATTGGATAATTAGCTTGAACCAAAATTATTTCCATTTTTAATAAAGAATAACTCCAGGTTCATGTTTGACCAGTAAGGCCAACAATGATTTGTACACGTCTTCCTTGTGACTTCAAACAAAATATGCCAGTTTAATCTGAAATATTGCAAAATTGTCTCTGAAGGTTTATCAGATACCAAACAATAAAATGTCAAAATCCAATTAGTTTTGGTCCATCATAGTGTGCGAGTGTTTTTAAACGATCAAAACTGTTCCATACCAGAGACTTTAAACACCCATGTGCTGTCTAAACAAAACAAGTGCAGATCCCACCAGTAAAATATTTGATCACGACAATAAAACCAACCCAGCAGAAAAGCACAGGTTATTTATTGAGGACAAAACAAATAACAATGTAGGGGAAATTATATTTCAGACATACTGAGTGAAAAGAGTACGTAATGGCTAGTATAAGTTGACAATGACAATCACTTTTTTCCAAATAAGAAGTGAAGTGCGCTTTAAGGACAACAAAGCAGCAGATCTTTTTTTTTTTTTTTAATGGACCCAATGATGCATTGATTCCTTCACACATCCACCACTGAAAACCCTGATTGTTCTCCATTGAGGAGAGCAGAGAACCTTCTCTTGCCACTTTGTTTTTGTCCCGTAAGTAGTCTTCAGAATCTGCATTTTAGCACAATGTCCTACAGAGAAAGATTCATCTGGATTGCTTGCTACTGGCATTGTGAGACATCCCAGCTGTTTGACCAGTGATGTTTGCCAGACCAGGCAAACCGCTTGCAAGTTTGGCCAGACCACCGTTGGTGAGAAGTTGGTGGATGGCAGCAGTTTTTGCCACACCCCCTGTGGAGACGAACGGAACAGCCCGAAGCAAGGTGCTGCTGCTGCTGCTACTACTGGAGCCCAGGGCCTGACCCTGTGGTTTTACCACTGGCTGAAAGGACAGATGAAATGAAAATGATATCTCGCATGAATTCTGTATGAGATAATTCACAGTTCCAGACTAAAATAGCTGTATACCTGTGTGGTTCCAGTACTAGTTGCAGTCACTGACAAATTAGGAGGTTTGGTGACTATTTCCTGAAGACTGAAACTTAAGCCTTGAAGCAGATTGGTGCCGATAGGACCTGAAAACAAAAACAACAAGTGTCCAAATGTAAGAATCAACCAGTAAGTGAACAACAAAAGCGAATGAACCTGATCGTAACCTCCCACCCAATCCATACAACACTAATATCAAAAGTCATGTCCAATGGTTTACTGTGACAGACATGATCAATGACGCTTGACTAAAAGCTTCTAAAAACAATGCATGACTCCAAATATTGGGAATGGCGGAGTTATGGTGTGTGATATAGCTGAAAAGCCACACAAACAGGCGTGTAGGTCAAGACAGTACAAGGTACCTTGGGCCGAAGCCGGAGCTTGTGCCTGGGCTGGTGTCGAGGAACCTGATACCATGCAGCCTGCAGACACCTCTGAGGTATTACCAGACCTGCAGCGACACAGAGAACCACCCATCTAACTGAACACTAGCCCAACATTATAAGTGACTCCCTACTAATCCCTCAACTTCAGACACTCTTCCCTTGCGCAGTAAGCATGGAGTTGTCATTGGCGGTTTTAGAGACAATCAAAGACCAGCACATATGGACACTTACCGTTGGCCTGTAAGAAGTCCAGATAGCTCCTTTGCTCCAGCCACAGTCACAGCAAGGGGTTTTCCAGAAGCTGAATATGAACATAAAAAAATAAGCTTAAAATAAATTGAGCAAAACAATTCAATTAAATATCTTAAATGTTTACCTTCTTGTGCAGTTGGACTGTTGGCACCACTCACAGACTCACTTTGTGAAACAATTGTGACCTTTATCTTTGCTCTTTTGGAGGCTTTGTTTGGGGTTGGACTAGGAGTTTTCCTTCTTTTACCATGGGATCTCACATCACCTCTGTCCATGCTTTCCACCTGGTCACTAGTCACTGGCACTACAAAAAAAGGGCAACATTTGAAAAGTCAACAAATCAATTTCACTATATCAAAATCTGTCTCGACAAAATGGATGAACAGCACTTTAATGTTTGTGGCCGAGAACTCAAAGATTGTGAATTTTAAGAATTCCTAATTCCTAATTTTATTTTAAATTCCTTCCTTCATTCCTAATTCTTGTTTGGTTCTTTTCATCAGCCATGGATATCTTTAATTTTCAATAAAACAGTTCATCTACTTATATAGAAATATTCTCGTTAGGCCCATGCCCCGACTTGGGTAAGGGCATATTGCTTTCACAATGGTGAATACAAGGGGTCGCGGTGCGTGACGGACGCGTCAGTGCCTGTCACCAAAATGTGACTGTTGCGTGCGTAAACTCAAACGCTTTAAAATGATGTATCAGATGCCATTGAAACCTATATTGTTTTTGCTCTGAGACTTTTGAAAAAATTCTGCTCTTTAGTTTGAGCCTTAATTTGACCCCCTGAACATGTATGAAAACATGACAAATTTTTCCCAAAATTCAGAACCGGCAAAAAATGTATGTTTTTGGTGTTTATTTTTATGGGACTATAAAAAATGCCACAACAGCGCCCCCTACAACTGTTGTAGGGTTTACAGTTTACATTGTGCTTATGGGAGGAGGTCCGAGGTCAAGTTTGTCATAGAGCCACATAATTCGGTACACATGTTCCTCAAGTCAAAAAAATCACAATGCCCACGCCCCCTGACAAACAGGAAGCCCAATAAATGTAATTGGAAAATGGAAAAATGAAAATTTATCATTTTCACACATGTCGTTTGGAAAGCGGCGACTCCTCGGCCGTTTCAGATTTGCCTCAAAATCGCTCCACATCATTTCAACACATGTACCATCAAAATGACTTCACAGAATTTTGATCAGTTGCATGATGTTTGAGCTGCGGACGATAGAAAATGTTGCTCCTGTTTACACATACAAAGTCCGATTTGCACAAAACTTTAATCCATTGTTCCACTCCAGGGTCTAGGTCATTTGAAAGTGAAATAATTAAAATTGGCCCAATCCAATGGATGGACCATGTATATATATGGACACACCCACAGACTAGACATGTGCACCTGTTTACACATACAAAGTCTGATTTGTACTAAATATAACTGTTGTTCAACTCCTGGGCCTAGGTCACCTGAAGGTGTGAAATATTACATTGGCTCTTTAGCCCCCCTACAGACTGAGCAAAATTTTACACGGGGAGCCAAACCAACTGATCATAATCATTAAAATTTCACCAACATTGTTCTATGGCTAATGGAGCAAATCTTGCAAGAGCCGTTCGGCACTGCTTGCGGCTTTAATACTTATTTTCTGTGTGTTAACCAACAAAATACAATATGATGCCCATGAAACTTATAGTGAGATTGCCTTCTACTCTGACAATGTTCAACTCCAGGTTACAACCATTTGTCGATGTAATCCTTCAGTTGTGCAGCACGTGCAGGTCTTTCTGGCAATTATCTTTTAATAAAGATATTGTGTAATCATACCAATTTACTAGTTTATAAAAAATAAAAGACCCAAAATAGTTAAATTAATTGCATTATTTTAACATTTTGCATGAAATAGTTAATTTAGTCCCTAGATTATTGAACAATGTTTTAAAAACAGTGTAACATTTGGTGCTTTTAGATCAAAACATGTATATATGATAACAATTAGTGGATGAAGTAAAGTTCATCTCCTCTGTTATCACTGTTACGGGTGATAACTAGTGCTAGAACCAATCACGCACTATGAGCTCTTTTTCACTTTCCTAAAAAAGCTGAGATGTGAAAAAAGGTCAAAACAGTGACTCAAATCTTTAAATTAAGTAGATACTTGATATTAATACAAATAAAGATTTTTTGATGTCTGATTTGTTCACAACATTTTACAAAGACCACAAGCAAAAGTGACAGCAGCACATCATCAGAGGAAGCAGAGTGAATCACAGCAGTGTGTCACGTGGGGGGGACAGCGGGAAGAAAGTACAGACTGAGAACTTCTCTGGTTAAACAGGGCACTAGACCAAACCATCTCTGCTTGTTTATGGTGGTGCAGAAGCAGAGCACGGACAGGAAGGCAGGATGGGGGGGTTGAAGTTAATCTGCGACATAACTTTTATTTATACGTTTTATTTTATTGCTAAAATGGTGAGAAGTTGAAATGAATTATTCTGTGTAGATTTTAGATTAGTTTTGATGCCGACATGTGAAATGAAGGGTGTGTCTCGTCCTCCTTTTCACATTAGAATCATTAGTCCCAGTTAGGGCTGTGCAAGCTTCATATGGACTCATCATTCCAGTGTGTGGAAGCAAACCACAACTGATCAACAAACAAAATGTATGTATTATTGAACCAGATATAATAAACCTTCAGAGACAAAAAAATCCCCATGATAGACATTTTTGGCTTAATCTTGCTTCGGGAATACACCAAAAAACACGTAACCGGATCCAAGACAATGATGAACATGACAAGGGAAATAACAGGCAAGACAGTTGAAGGAAGAAGAAAGACACTTACCAAATATACAAGGAGAGGTGCCAGGAGGAAGGTTTTTCCTCACAAGCATGTTTTGTTTCATAAAAGCAGCAAACTGGGCTGGAATTAGCCAGAAAAAAAGTTGTAGGAAGGAAAAAACAGAATGAAAGAGTATTTCAGTCTCACCACATTTGAGGTCATCTCAAGTTAATATGCATCAGATTTTAAGATGGCCAAATCTGCCCCCTCGCCCAAAAAAGTGGATTCTAGGGAGTTCTACATGTAAACTCTTACTCTGGACGAGTTTATTTGTTTGGAGTTACAGCAGGAAAGAACATGGCTGCTTCAGGACACTGACCTTGAGCCTGTTTGTGGCTGAGGACTGCTCCAGAGCGTTGCATGTGTGTCTTCAGGAGCTGAGTGGCTGTGATGAGACTGGACTTTTGAGCTGGAGACAGACTTGATGTCTTGGGCTTGGGACTAGATGTAGGACTGCTGCAGACACTCGACAAATCCTAACAAAAAGACACCCAATTTATGATACTTTGATTTACCTTTGCGCCACAGAATACAATACTACTCACAAACCTCTGACCCAGAAGGGGAAATGGGAACCCTCAGAGCTGGAGAGGATGGTCTCCCCCTGTCCAAATCAAATGGTAGTTCTCTCCGTGGTCTCTTTTTTTTCTCTGTATCCAAATCTCTCATTTCACCAGAGCCATGACCATGACCCTCAGCCCGTGTAAGGACCCCTGTCAAGAAGTCAGCAATCTCATCCTGCAGCAAAAATACAAGAACAATGTTGATAATTGTTAATGGTCTACAAATATAGTGAGTTTTAATTTTGAGTCTCAAATATTCACCTGTATACATCTATCCACCATCGTCTGGGTCAGTCCATCAGATCTCATTTTAGCAGAATTGATCCTGATTTTCACCATAAATAGATTTAATGTTTATTCAAATATTCAGACCATTTTGCAACTGTACAATTATTATGTATAGAATGGATCAACAGAATTATTCCGATTTCAGTTCACCTTAGGTTGTCATCAGCGTCTCCAACAACCACCATACTATTATCCGCCCGAAGCTTCTCCCTGAACTCTTCCATGCTTTCAATACTGTGTTGCAACGCATTTTGCCCAACTACAAACAAAACTGGGGTTTTCATGTCAAGAAGCGGGTCATCTACATCCTGCATACAATTCAAAATTAAATGTTGTTCCTTTAAAGTGACAAAGTTAACATTTCGGTTTAGTTACCCCTCTCGGTCCATTCACTGTGAGCAGTGGAAAGCCAAGACACACTACAGCAGTCAGATATTCCATTAGAGATACCTGGAAGTAGTCGATAGAAATCAGGCAACTAGAATGTTTTAACTGAAGCGATCAGTTAAGACTTAAAACTTACATGACAAGCAACTAAAGCTCCAGCATTCCAGCCCACCAAGATGATCGGTTTGTGGGGAAAGTGACTATGAACCTGGGGAGAAGATAAAATAATAATTTGTGGTTGAGTGGGGCAAGTATCTTCTGCAAGAAAAATAAATCTAAAAATGAGCAATACCTCCATTACTTTGGCCCTAACTGTGCCCAGCATATGCTCAAGACATTGGGTGATTCCAATATTTGCTCCACTGTTTACATGGGTATGTATAGGTATGACCTACAGCAAAAGGGGGCATTATGAAAAGGCCAACAGATAAATGAATAAATAAGTTTTAGAATTTAAAGTAACCTTTCCCAAACAGGACAGCTGTGATTGCCAAAACCTCATTCGCCGTGATGTAGAAAGGGCTGGATTAGATGGGCTTGAAGGTGCAATAAGAATGAGAGGAGATCCAGGCAACTTGCACTGAAACATGCAAGAGTACAGATTACAAAACAAAAACTAACTGGTCAGTATATTAAAAAAAGTGAAAATTGTTTTACTGGCTTATTTTGAGACAAAACTCCAACGGCTGGGTCCCAAGGACGTTTCAGTAACAGAGAAAGCGCTTCCGCAGTTGGAGATCCAGTTTTGGTGGTGTGCTGCAACATCCTATCAATTAATGTTGGCAACTGGGAAAAAGATATAAGATCAATAAATATTTTGCACAAATCACTGATTACAATAAATCGAGGACATTGTGTACCTTGCTTTTAAGAGTTTGTAGCACATCCAAGTAGGCCGCCAACATTGCAAGACTCAAAGACTCAATTAAGATGGTGTGTAACCATTGTGTCAGTTTTAAGTCCCAATTTACACTCGCCAAGGCATTCCGGAATTTCCTTGCACATCGGTTAACAGCTATTCTTCGTAAAATTGGTTCATTGGGAGCCTGGTCAGAAAAAAGCAATGATTATGGTAATGACGAAAGTTTTGGTGTCCAAACAAGTACAATCCAACAAAATTAAGAATCTGAAAAACTTACATTTTCATTTGCCAGGCGAGCCAATCTTTCTATTTGTAAAGCTTTAATAACTTTATTAAATAATTTATTTTGATTCACAGACCAGCCAGCTCTGAAATAAAAGTGTGAACTGGTGAAAAATATGTTTATATGACATTTGCATTTAGAAATGAATAAACAACATTACTTGTTTAAATGTTCCTCCCAGTCTTCAGGTGGCGATGGACTGTCTGCAACAGTTCGAGCAAACAGGACATGTCGCTCACACTCCCTCATAACTGTTAGGGCCTTCTGATTATCATACAGGGGCACAGGTGTGGGGGTGACCGTTTCCACATCAAGTAAAGAGTCAGACTCCCTGGAAACACAAACAGGATTTAACTTTGTATACAACCACAGCTATAAAAACTTCACAAAAACTTACACCGGGGATTCAGGTTGGCGGCGAGGAGAGACAAACAATGTCCGTGTAGGTCTGGCACTGCTGGCATCAGGATGTGCATTCCATGGTTTAGCATAACTGTGGTCTAAATACACTAAGTCCAGTTCTCGATCATGAGCTGATAACTGGAAAAGCAAAGATGTTGCCATCTTTCTTGCCGATACATGAAATTCCTTATCTGTTCCACGATGCATACTTTTGATTGGCCCTTAAAAACCTTGGCTGGACTTGATAACACTAGTGGAGAGAGAAAAAACAAAAAATACAGCATATAAAAGGTACATTGATTATATTTCATTAGATACATACATTTCTTTTTAAGCCAGAAGGAACTTGTAAGAATGTAATTCTGTCCTTGCTATGCTACATATAATAACAAATCACACGTCAAATTTACAATATTACAATTTGTTTTAAAGATGTGCAAGACTATAATATCGAATGTATCGTTTATAAAAATTTAAAAGAAAATGGAACACTTAATTATCGTCCTTCAGACATAGGGTATTACATCAACTTTACATAATACCATACATCTGGTAACATTTATTAACAAGTATAAACCTTTTTGACAGAATGATACATTACATTTTGGATATCAAAATCATTTTTTGTCAATGTTTGTTCTTAAACGCAACTTACTATAGGTTAACTAGTTGTTTACAAAGGTTTTGAGCTAGCTGATGTCATTGTCCACCTATGCATCATGATAAAAATACGATTTGTATGGCGTTTGTGGCATTGCATTCTGGCTAATATAAAATATGTAACTAAGTGGTGAAGTATAATAGCACAACATGCACAATGCAGAGAATAACCTGTCGATGACACCGAAACCCCCACTCACACACTGGCCCTGCGTTAGCATAGCAAGCTAATGGTAGGACGTGTGTTGATTTTGCATGTTCGACATCGATTTAACTTATTCTATACACTTAAACGGACGCCTTGCAACTATTCTATACTCAAACGAACCCTTTCCGATACACTATAACATAGACTCACTTAAGAACCAGAGAGACGCACGCAGGCTGTGGCGCGTCCTTTTGTTGACTTCTTCTTCTTCTTTTAATTTCCGGCAGACTTGGCGCCTCATCGCGCATTGCTGCCTTTCCCGGTCATCTTGTGCACTACAACAACTTCCAGCCTATCCTCTATAACCAGATATGCAGCTCAGCTGCTCGTACAAAGTCCAAGACCGCTCTCACAACCAGATTCTGCTCTCTAACTGGACTCAGAAGAGACAATCGTAACCTTTGACATAACCTCCTTCAGCACGGCTCGCTGATGAGAATATACTGGACAATCCATGAATACATGACTCACAGTCTGATTCTTGTTACAGTGTGCACATAACCCACTTTGATGTTTCCCCACTATAAATCTGTCCCACGCTAGCCCACAATGCCCTAATCTCAGCCTGGTAAGGATGACCTCACTCCTTCTATCCTTAACACACATTATAGGCTTACATTTAACAGAGGGATTGATAGCGTATAAGTGTCGCCCCCTGCTGTCCCCATCCCAAATTGCTTGCCAAGCAGCTGTACTATGGATTTTAATCTTAGCTTTCCACTCAAGCACCGGCTGGCACTAATCTACACTCTAAAGGTTTTTTCAATGACTGTTTTGCCGCATTGTCTGCAACTTCATTGTCCCATACACCAACATGAGCCGGGACCCAGAGGAACCCCACAGACCCCTTTGCTTTCTCAATCTCAGAAATTTCAGTCAGCAACTCGATCACTAGATCGGGCCTGGCATTGCCTTTATCGAAACCTATAGAGCTTAACACAGCCGCTGAGTCTGAACATACTACAATCTGACCTTGTTTAGTGGCCTTTGCCCACTGAAGAGCACATATTATCGCTTTAATTTCTGCAGTGTACACAGACATCTCATTTGGCAGTCTCTTATTAAAAAACACATCTAATTGAGGCACAAAAAAGGCGCACCCCGTCCCTCCAGATTCCTTTTCCTTTGAGCCATCTGTATAAACCTGCAAATGGCCTTCCCATCTCCCTCCCAACGCCTGTTCTACAAGGTTACAATATTCAGGATCATTTTTTTCCCCTGTTACCTTCTATCACTGTCTGACATGTCAATATCAGGGGATGGTAATGTCCAAGGAGGAATGGCTGGCCATAACAGCAGAGGGGCAACCCCCACCTCTCTAAATCTCAACTTCTCAATTTCTTTGCTCACAGTACCAACAAAAGGTTCATAGTTCCTTTTTGCTCCTAACTCCCATGATTGATCTAGCAACCTTTTGTTGACTCACTGCTGGTTGCCAGATAATAATGCACGTTCACTGATGGTTGCCAGATAATAATGCACGTTCACTGATGGTTGCCAGATAATAATGCACGTTCCCCATTTGAGCCTCATGAACAACAAAATAAACAGCAGTTTGGACCGACTGACCAGTGACCGAGGCGTTCAAGAATAACATACCATTGTTTATTTATTGTTTTAAGTGATCACTCAAGATAAATAATTCTACGCATGCAGGTCATTTGGACTTTTTATGACTCTGTGGTAGCCTCTGCTATCCTCCAGTCTGCCATGTGCTGGGCCCAGGGCAGCACAGAGCGGGACAGCACTGAACAAGCTGGTCAGGAGGGCCAGCTGCGCTCTGGGCTGCCCAGTGGACTCTGGAGGAGGTGAGGGACAAGAGGGGTAACACCTCCCACCCACTGCACAGGACTGTAGAGGAGCTGAGGCACTTCATCCCCACTGCTGTCAGACTGTACAATAAGTCACTTAATGACGACCTGCACTATAGAACTGCTATAGTCACTTTTTAGGCCCGAGCTCCAAACGGGGAAAGGGCCTATTGTTTTTACTCGAGAGATGTCAAATTCTGCACTTTGAGCCTTAATTTGACCCCCTGAACATGCATGAAAAGTTGTAAAATTTTGCCCAAAAAGCAGACCTGGCAAAAAATTTGATATTTTTTGGTGTTTATTTTTATGGGACTCAAAAAATGCCAGAACAGCGCCACCTACAACAGCCAAAATAATACCCCTATGGGACTTTTTGGAGGTCAAAAAGGCCGTTTTTGACAGTATTAAATTTGTTCCCGTTTGCACATACAAAGTCTGATTTGCACAAAACTTGAATACATTGTTCAACTCTAGGGTCTAGGTCAATTAAAAGTCAAATAAATGAATTTGTCTCATTAGCGCCCCCTACAGACGGGGTCAACATTTTTAGTATAGGAGGGGTTCGAGGTCAAGTTTGTAGTGTAGCCATGAAATTTGGTACACATGTTCCTCAACTCAAGACATGAAATAAAAGTTATTATGGTCACGCCCCTTGACAAACAGGAAGCTCATAAATTTCACTGCAAAATGGAAACATGAAAAATGTTCCTTTTCACACATGTTGGTTGGAAAGCGACTCCTCCTCGGCCGTTTCACCGATTTGCCTCAAAATCGCTCCACATCATCTCAACACATGTACCTTCAAAATGACTTCAGGAAATTTTGAAGGGTTGACCTTTTTCCCCTTTTTTGACAATAGAAAAATAGCTCCCGTTATCACAAACAAAGTTCGATTTGAAAGTGAAATAATTGAAATTGGCCCATCAGCGCCCCCTACAGACTATGTCAAAGTTTTACATGGGGAGCCAAACCGACTGATCATATTCATCACAATTTCACAAACTGTTCTATGGCTACGGGATTAAATCATGGCGCGGAGGAGCCACCTCCTTTGCGCTGGGGCACGGCACGGTACGGCGCGGCACAGTGTGGTGTGGGCCGGTGTGCGGCGGTGTGGCACAGGGCGGTGTGGCACATGACGGTATGGCACGGGGCGGTGTGGGCTGGGGCGGCGTGGGCTGAGGCGGCGTGGTACTTTGGGAAATACAAGTGGATATTCTTCTTCAATGAACAGTTACGGAGAGAAAGCGACTAAGCAAGGATGGGGAACGTCTAATTTGTTGGAGCAGCAGAAGATGAAAGGTAAAAAACAAATACAGACGTGATTTATTTTGTGCCCATATTATGCGTTATATATTTTTAATGCAAAGTCTGATATCGTTTACACTTACATATAAATATAGCTGAGAAAATAAGCTTTAAAATGATATATAGCTTGTGGCTTATGAAGTTCAAAATACATCTGCTATTGCCAGCAGATGTATTTTTTTCCTCGTTTGCTCCCGCCGGCGGGGGCTAGCGAGCTTAAGGGGTCAATACATTGCCTCAATGGCAGGCAATGGGCCATAGATAATTCATTCGCGGGCCGGATTTGGCCCGCGGGCCTTGACTTTGACACATGTGAGGTAGAGGGTCCCAGTGGCCTAAAATTTGTTGCACCGCCTTAATAATTTTGAGCAGAACACTGTTTTATATTCAAAATCGGTCTTTTATTTTATGTTAAATGCTGGAAACTCTCTCTCCCAAAATAAAGATGGACATTTTGTTTGGAAATTTCCAAAATTGTGAAATATCCAGGAAAATGATGACGTCTGTTCATGAACTTTTCTGCTAGCTTTGACCGAATCGGTCAATTGCAAATGAAAGAACTGGCACATGGCTTTGCATAACCTGTACTGTAGTTCTGTTCATCAGGAGGTTGATGATTGCAAACAGTTATTATAAAGGCTGCTATTCAGAGTTTCAAGCTGTTAAACGTGAGGTACCACAGGGCAGTTTCCTTGGTCTACTTTTTTAAAGAATCATCACAGACGACTAGCCATTGGTGCTAAACAAAGAAAGCATTACCATGTTTGCTATTATTCACATGTTTATAGGGTTAGAGTTTAGAATAAACTAAACTATATAAAAGAACACCTATTCTCACACTAGGTTTTAGAGTTTTTCCTCTAAAACAATATCAATCAATGTGTAGTACCCTGACAGGTTGTCGAGCACACAGACCACACTGAAGTAAACAGTTGGAATGGTCTGATGTGACACGAGGGCCTCACACCTCTATGTTGTGCCTTGAGTTGGGTGGCATTGATCCTGCAGAACATGCTGACAATGAAGCAGTCATCAATATGGGTGTCCACATTGATGACTGTTTCATTGTCAGCAAAGACAGGGAATATTGTAAAAAATGATAGGAACGCTTACATTCTAGCACACATGTGTCAAAGTCAAGGCCCGCGGGACAAATCCGGCCCGCGAATGAATTTTACATGGCCCGTTGCCTGCCATTGACGCACTATTACGTTAATTGCGTTTTCCGCTATTTTCATGTTCCCAGATGTCTATTATATCTAATATGTTTGGGGATAAGCTTGCGAGCATATTGAATCGAGCCAGCAGGTGGCAGCAGCGCTCTCTGAATAGTTTGAAAACAGCTAGATGCACTTGTTGTGCCTATTTTTTCTCAACTTTTTGGTGATTTCAGTAAAACTTCCCTCTACTCAACTGGGGATTACAAGCTAGAAACGAAATTATTTTTGCTGATGAAAGTAGACAGTCTATTCTTTCAGAATCTGGTTTCGGATTTCAGATAGTCATAGTACAAAATATTCTGTGGTTCTTGAAAAATCTATAAAAATCATCAGAAACTGCTGGCAATATGGGAGTACCTGTTCTGAAATAGGCTGGCAGGCAATGAGTTAATAAACGTTGAACCAGTCCGGCCCTCGGCTCGCAGCAAATTTGTTTTTTTGGCCCTCTGATGTATTTGACTTTGACATGCCTGTTCTAGCAGGACAATGACCCTAAACATATTTCCATGAGTGGATTGATTAGGTACAAAGAAAAAGAGAATGGCCCAGTCAAAGTCCAACAAAGTCAAAGTAAACATGACAACATTTACAGTCTGTGGCATCAGCAGACCATACATCAACTCATGAACAGAAATGTACATTGTTTCAACCTGTAATTAATGCATGAGGACACAGAAGTTAATGAGAAATTGTAATGTGTTGTTGTTGGATGGCCTTTGCACATTTTCCATACTTTCATAGAATTGCTTTCAATTTTTCATATATTTCAACATGAATTTTTGTGTGAGTATAGTGCTGTAGTATAATTTTTTTGGTTACAAAACCAGCCCACATCCCGCCCCTCTAAGTTCCAAAGGTCTTGCACTGTTTCATTTAAAAGGTCTTATCTGCGATCAATTTAAAGGTTTCATCAACAGTTTAAACAGTCTCACAGATTTTCATTATGGTGAGTATATTTTACTATTCGTCTTAGTTATAGGCATTTTATCTGTTTACTATACTTTTCTTTTTTAGAAAAACTACATTGCTTTGGCTGTGCTGCTTTGTGCTGTGGCATCACTCACACATGGATTTTGTATGGTCAAACCAGCTTTACCACGAGGTGACTAACTACTTTGTATATTTTTATTTCACAATATTTGAAACAAATTGCTCCTTCTGACCACAATAACACAGGTGCCACTAAGTGCATGGATGATGCAGATGGTACAACCCATGATGTTGGCTCTCACTGGATAAATAGTGAATGCATGGAATGCTCTTGTACTTCCTGCTGCTCTGCGTAAGTATTGGTAACTGAAAAATTATCCTTCACCCTCCATCCATTCAATATTTCTCCACAGTTATGCAACTCCCAGAAACTTTCCTCCGGACTGTGTGTCAGTGTTTGACAAAAAGAATTGTAAATACATTGTGCACAAGAAAGACAACCCGAACACACTTTGTGAAGTTTTTGGGTTAGTGGGATAGTGATCGACTTGTAGTGAATCATGATCTGAATAAAACATGTTTTATTCAGTCATTTTGGAGGCTTCTGTTTCGCTCATTCTCAATATTTACTTCTACATTAGACGCTGCATACATCTGAAGAGTCTAGAGAACTTGACATTGGAACGCCAGCAATACAATACAATTGTTGTACACAAAAGAAAGAAAGCTAATATTGTGGTATAAGATTAGTCAGATAATATTGATATTTGATACTTTGTTTACCATGGGGATACGGATACGGAAAATAACCTGCAATAAGCAAATGTTTAAAGACTGTAATAACCACTCACCCCTCACTTTATAAACGTTTCTAACCACCTGAACTCACAACTGCTAAAGTACGATCGTGGAGTTATCAAACCTGTTGTTGTGGGTTTGAGTGCTGCTGTAGCTGTCAAAAGCCGTCACCCCCTGCAGGACACTCCGTCTGCTCTGGAGAGAAATTTCTGAAACAGATTTATTCACCCTTGCTGTGTGAAGGAGAGGTTCCGCTGGCATTTCCTTCCTGCTGCTGTCAGACTGTACAATGAGAAGAACTGTAAATGTCATTCAACTGTAAATAAGTAAATAATAAAGCCGTTTTTTTAACATAATTCATCTGAACATGTCAAAATGAACACCCGAAATATTATAAACACATATTGCAGTTATATATTCTGGATAGCAGCATATTAAATTCTAGTACTAGTTTAAGCTTTTACAACATTTATAGCTAAGAAAGCAGCTTGTTACATATTTTGTATATTTTGTGTGCTCCCTGTGTGTTCTTACTACTGTCCTGTGCACTGCAACATTGAAATTTCCCCACTGGAACTTATATAGGATCTCTTTTCTTATACACTGCAGAGGACCCATTGCTGAGGCGCTGTCATGTGAAACAAGCAGTTATATGATGTGGTTTATATGATGATGTCGGAATATACTCACAGCGCATCAAAACCACTAAAAACATACAAAACATGCATAATCCACGGAACAGCGAGTCCGGGAAAGTAGACCCCAGGTGAACAGAGTTAGGAAGGGACCACTGTTTAAATGTAATCATATTTGAAGAGAAAAACAAGAATTCCTATGGTTTGAATGGGAGCAGTCAAAATAGCGGTTCTGGGAGTTCTAGTGTTGAATAAACAAAATGTATTGGCACAGTGTTGTTGGTTTCTGATACATTCTGTCTTAACCCTTTAACATTCAATAATTGAAAAAAGCAGTGTAATCTTTTTATTTCTTTTTATTTTATAAGATGTAGGAGCACTAGTAACACAATTAACAAGCTTTTATGTTTTTGTTTTTTTAACCTCTATATTTTTTATTTATTATAGGCCTTTACCAAATGGTTGGGATGCAGTTTCATGGTAAAAGTACCTAAAACCAAAGTGAATAAAGAGGTATATTCAGTTCCAAGCATGTTAAAAGTAGATATATTGACTCAAAATGTGATTTACCAAATGGCTGAGGAAACTATTAAAGGGTTAATCGCTAGTGAAATACCAGTAAAGGCCACTAGATGGAAAGTGTAGTATATTCTATTCTTTTCCCTTTATTGACATGAAGAGAGAGAGAGAGATTGGAGATGTCAGTGGATGCAGCGTGTGCGCGTCTGTCGGTGCTGCATGGGAGGCAGAAAGAACATTTCACTTATGGTCCAGCATAACTTGGATTAAACAGACACAGATCCTGCTTGATGCATTCATTTGTCCTGCTCCGTCTGACTTCGAGCTCAAAACCATGTCTTTTTGCGGGATTAGAGGGCAGTGTGTGTGGATGTCAGTTTGTGCAGTAGTTGCGCTCAGTGTTTGTTCAGAACGTGACCTGGACCCGGGCGCAGCGCAGCCCGGACCATCCTCCTGCTTTGGCGGCTTTGACCTCTACTTTGTTCTGGACAAGTGAGTTTGCAAATACATGTATCTTGTTTTAAAAGTATAAAGCACGTTATTGTGGAAAGTATATAACATTTGATTTGATTGATTGGTGAAATGTACTCTATGTGTGCAGTGCTACCAGTGAAGACAATTACCTGTAAGTGCTTATAGGAGAATGAAACGGTACAGGTGCACTCTGAGTGATGTAACCTATAAAAAGTTTTAAGACTTGGCAGGTGAACTCGTGCCCCAGAAGCTGATCCAAGTGGGTCAACAAAACTAATGCAGCCCAGACCCGTTTTGCTATCTCTGAAGGAGGAGGTTCCTTTCTCGTTACTGTTTCCATTGGGAATTTTCCTCTTTCCTTGTATGTTCAATAATGTCAATAAACAGGAAGAGCTCTGCAGTAAATGTCGTAAGAAATATCGTTCATAATTATTATGTATTATCTTTGGCCTAAAAAGTAGGTCTTTCTCGTAACTGTCCGCTATGAACTCCAGATGTGCGTGTCTTTGCCTCTTGGCCTGAAGTCCTGTGCTGGGACCTGTGTCACAGGAACAATGTAAAATTTGTGTTTGTAAGTCTTGAAAAGCAAAGTGATATCAACATGTGAAATAAAATGTGTCAGCACATTGAAGGTCTGTTAAACCAAGTGTCCACAAATGTGTCAGTGTATATGATGTTAAACACATTAATGAGTGTTCTGCAGTGTAGCTGCTTTAATGCTCTTTATTGAGCCTCAACATCAGGGGTGCTCAGACTTCTTAGTAAGAGGGCCACTTTAGTTAACCATGATGCAGGATTGTCCAGGGCCTGACCATCTGAGTCGTCAACAACTGATTAGACTGGTTTCAGGCTGTCCTGAGCTTTAAAACAATGTTTACCATCTTTCCTTTAGAGCCATATATGAGATATATGACACAATCCAAAACAAATGTCAGTATATACAAATATTCTAGATGTTCTGAGCTTTACAATGAGGTACGGCATGTATATTTTGGCAGAGCTGAAGTTGGCTGGATGATCTCAAAGACTATATTGACACGGCAGTTAGCGAGGCAGAGGGTCACATACAAGTCACAGAGGGCCGCAATTGGACCAAAGGCCTTATTTGTACATGCCCGCATTGAACAACGCCTCAAGGATTATGTATCTTCATTCCTAATGCATAACAAACCCACACTGTTGTCTCAGTTTTCTGAGGTACTGAGCTGAGGTAAATAAAGGAATTTGGGTTCTAATTCTTCTGCCACTTATAATGAATCTCTGCGGCAGACAGTATTTTGGAAAGGTCTTTGGTGTATCTTGAGGTGAAATTGTGAAGACAATTCTCATCTTTGTAAAACTGAGTTAAATAGAATAATTTGTTTGCTGTAAATTTTATGTCCTAAATTATGTAATTTTGGACATTAAAATCATGTTTTGGAGGAGTTAGGAGAGACAGATTGTGGCGTCTGATGCACCCTTGATTTTGCTGTTGTACACTATTCAACCATAATGATATATTCAAGGGTTATGGTTATTTTTGGCGGAATACTTCAACATAAAAAAGATATAATAAACTTTTTATATTTAACTAATGATATATGTTTTGTCAGGTCAGGGAGTGTGCTGGATCACTGGATCGAAATATACCACTTTGTCGAACATCTTGCCTATAAATTCATCAGGTAATGTATACATTTAGTCAATTTTAGATGTACTTTTTGCCTCATGTGTTTTTGTCTTTTTCAGCCCACAGTTGCGTATGTCATTTATTGTGTTCTCCACAGAGGGGAGGATTTTAATGAGTCTGACTGAAGACAGGTAACTGCATCTCACTTTTACTTTTTTAAGATCTTTATGCAGAGTTAAAACCCTGATCCCCATCGGCTGCTTTGGGTAACTTAACTGTAAACAGTGCACAATGCCCTATCGAGCCCATATGCATCTTGTGTGCGTCGTGTTTTCTGGCACATGTTTTGCATTTAGTAATTTACACAATTGGATTCCATATGTTGTCTATAGGGAACACATCCGTAAAGGACTGGAGGAGCTGCAGGTCGTCCTTCCAGGGGGGGGTACGTTCATGCACGAGGGGATTCTCAAGGTAAGGATCCACACAACTCTGCTCACGAGGCCATTCACACAATATACAGTATATCACTAAGACTAAATATTTACGGTGTGGATGCTTTTGTTGCAGGCAAGTGAGCAGATTTACCATGGAAGCACAGAGGGTAAGTCATCATTTTCATTTAGTAATCTACATTTTTATGATTTTTTTAAAACTTAATTAAGAGAAAATGCCATTGATGTATGTTTTACATTAGGAGCACAGTTAGTTACTTTCCAACTTACATTCTGTCCTTTAAGGTTTTCTTTGTATTTACTATATTATATTCTGATTATATGAATCTATTATATTTGATTTGTTTATTTGTGTATTTGTTTTGCAAAGGTCATCGCACAGCTAGTGTCATCATTGCTCTGACAGATGGAGAGCTTCATGATGATCTGTCTTATTATGCAGAGAGGGAGGTGAGAGGTGGAGCGCTTACACACATTATACTACACGTCTCTGCACACATTATTGTGAGAGATGAGAACATGAGAGGTTCACAACCCAACAGTGGGTTTGATATCACTGTGATGCAGATTGGATGTTTTTGTGTATACCTTTTATATATAATCTTTAATATATCATGTCATTCTGTACACCTGGCAGGCCAACCGCTCCCGGAGCCTGGGCGCCTCTGTTTACTGTGTGGGGGTGAAGGACTTTGATGAAGCACAGGTATTTGACTTTGTCTTATTTTTCAGTCCTTCATAGAGCTTTGGAATGCAAATATTAAATGTATTTAAATATTAAATTATGTTGGTTAAAGATGATCAATTAAGAAGTTGTGTTTACCCTCTCCACAGCTGGCAAAGATCGCAGACAGTAAAGACCATGTCTTTCCTGTGAATAACGGTTTTGCAGCTTTACAAGGAGTCATCGATTCAGTAAGTTTAATCAAAAGAGAATGCAATCTATGTTTCCATTTCATAAAACAAATGATTCTATGCCTCTATTGACCCTTTATGGTCTTGACCTTAGTATCAAGCTTAGTGAAAAGTGGTGCATTCTTGCAGAAATTGGTTCACTTAAAGTGAACTTTGGTTCACTTAGGACTCAAGTGTGAACACACTCCAAGTATCAAAGTGTCAGTATTGTGCTGTTGTGACCAAAAACGTTTTTTGGGGCTGGGCTCCATACATTCCCACATCTAGTCAAACAGCTCTTCAGTGGGTTCCCGGTGTCGACAGTTTATGACTTACACTTTTGAGTATGACGTCTGGGCTCTAAGAGCCAAAGAGCCAGATGGACAGAGAGCCAGAGGGACAAGGACAGAGAGCCATAGAGGCGGAGGGGCAGAGAGCCAAACGGGGCAGAGAGCTAGAAGGGCAGAGGACAACAGCATCTGGAGCACATTAGCAGTAGGAGTTCCATCCTCACATGAATTGGGCAGAGGCTGTAAATCTGCTCTACAGGCTGTGCCTGGAGAGCAGCTGGAAGACAACTCCTGAAAAAACCATATAAAGTCTTGAAATAATGCTAGATAATACATTTCGTTTTATTTCCTCAGGTCCTGAAAAAGTCCTGCATCGAGATCCTGTCAGCAGAACCGTCCACTGTCTGTGCAGGAGGTGCCTCTGCTCTTTGAATTTGTATTATTGTTTTCTTCTTTGGGAGGAAAGATTTAAATGGTTGGCATAGGTAAAAATGATGTATTACTGTTGTTAGTTCTTGTTAAACGTATGTTTACATTTCGAACTGTAGTTTTATTATAGAGGTGAATAAATGCTATATTTTTGAATTCCCTAAAAGAATTTATCTTGGCCTGTAATGTCTCACTGTCGGCTCTCGCTCAGAGTCCTTTCAGGTGGTGTTGCGGGGAAATGGTTTTCTTCAAGCTCATAATGTGGATAAAGTTGTGTGCAGCTTCCGCATCAATGACACTGTGACAAAGAGTGAGTAACATTCACACGATCTGTGGTCTTAGCATTTACCTGCAGCAAAACTCTGACTGCACTGTTTGTCTTTACAAACTAATACCAGCTGTCTTATCTCCCAAACATCTACTGTCTCTATTCTACGAGCTAAAAGTTTATTCGCTCAAAGTTCAAAATGATTTAGAAAATCACCCTGTGTGGAGGAAGTCATGTGGTCAATGGCTAAAAATGATCCTCAGAGAATCATACGGCCGTATTCAGGTCAGGCCAGTGCGTAAGACTTCTTTGTCTGATGTTGTCTACATTCAGTGACATGTTGAGATCTTCCTCATGTGGAAACTATTGTAGTAAAATGCTCTCCTCATGTTTATACATGTGCATCTATGCTGTCTCTGGAACTTATTATTTTCATTGGGATGAATGAAAATAATTAGGCCACAGTTTGCCCAAAGAGACACTGTCAATGTAAACAACAGACTAACAACAGCCAGATTTAGTATGATCCTAATGCTTCCTTTGAATTCATAGCCAATGCATACTTACCAAATATCCACCAAGAAAACACAAATGCATAACTTTATGAGTGCGTATGATAGATGGGAGATGTCTAAGAAGAGGCAAATCTCTAATAAAAAACATACAAGACATTTCTTGTTCTATCTATTGCCCTCCTATAACAAAATGTTCCTCACAATCTACCATTTTACAACAGGTTCTGTTACTTCATGTGCAAATAAAATATGACCTTTTTCTCGATTGAAGGAGTAAACAGGCTAATAAAACATTTCCACTTGAGCTTGAGCGTAGCAGTGGTGCAGAACTTAAAGAGCGACTAAACACCAAATCCACTTTTTTTAACTCATAAACTGCATAAGTATGTTTATTGTAGTGCTGTCTACATATCCTGGTCATTTTTTTGACATTTTAGTTCAAATTAGATAAAATATCACTTTTGAGCCAAAAAACGCTGTGTGGTGCCCTCTCCACCTTTTTGGTGGTACTACATTTGACTTTGGTTCTGGCCTCTCCATTGACTCTGAAGTTCTCTATGACATCAGTTGTTTTGTGTGACGTCAGTCTGTCAGAGCCAGTGATGTGAACCCATTCATCTCTCACTCTCTCTCAGCTGCAGTTTGGAGTGTTCTGGAGCCATCTAGTGGAATAAAATTAAATTACATGAGTCATTCTGAGATTATTGAGTGTGATTAGGTTCAGGTGTGTAGCTTTACAATTATCTTAGTGTGTAAACAAGGGTGGAATGAGACTTTCTGGTCTGTAAACTATTGCTTTAAGCAGCAATGACAACTGTCTGTTTTTTTGTGTGTGACAAGTGAGCTGTCAATCACAGCCCAGACCACGCCCAACTCTAAGCCCCCCTTCTTGTCCCTTGGTTCTCCAGGCAACGCCCTTTTTAGAGAAAAATTTCAAATCTTCATGTGGGCGGAGTAAGGCTGGGCACAGGTGTTTAGTCGCTCTTTAAGCAATTTGAGTGAAATGCAATCAGTGTCAATCTCTTTGCTCTACTTTTCTTGCTGCAGTCCAAATCATGCTGTATCCATCAACATTTGAGTTTTATTGTCAGACACGGAACAGTATAACCATGCAAGTTCTTTTGGGGACTAGATTTCTCATTTGTTGGGTATGCTCATCTACTGCCAAAACAAATAATCCACTTTGAGGCACGAAGCGAATGCAAAGGCAGCTGGAAACAGAGTGAACATATTTCTGAAGTTTTGGAAGACATGAAATGGCTTCTGCCCAACGCAACATAACACTATACCCCATATCACGTCCATGCACGATGGTGGTCAGTAAAAGGACTTTGAGACATTTGAATATTATGGAGATTTGAGAACTTTAAAAAAACATTTGGACATTTCATTTTTTAAAAGAATTGCTTCACCTGCCTTCCAACTGAAACTGTAGTCTAGAACATGAATGCAAGCTATAAAAAACTAAATGAATTGATTAGTGCTTAATTGCATAAAAAGCTATGTCATCTTTAAGTCACATACTTTTGTCTTGCAGCAATGAAGCCTCTTGTGGTGGACGAAACATATTTGCTTTGTCCTGCTCCAATTCTCCAGGAGGAGGGAATGTAAGCTGCTTTTTCAGTACTAATATATATTATTAGTACTACTGTTTCTAATGTGTCTATTGTCTTGTTCCAGGGCTGCAAATCTTTATGTCAGTTTGAATGAAGGGCTCAGTTTTATCTTAAGCCCAGTCACTATCACCTCTGTTGGCTGCGTGAGTATTATTGTCTTATTCTGGCTACACAGATTCTTGGTGCATCACAACTTTGTCAACTTGGCTCTTCAAAATCAAGATCTGTGCACACATATTTACATACATACAAGCAAGCACATACTACATTTTTGAATGGGCAATGGACACAGACGTATATCTTGATATTGATTTTGGCCCGTACATAAATATTTGCTGCGATTTATGGATCAGTCATAAAACATTTATATCAATGGAAATTTGCCCACAAAATGTCACTTTTTCCATGTTTTTTTTGCAGTACTATTTGATTATGAAATATGTACTGGGTTAAAATAATAATCATGATTAGGGCTGTGACAGAACTAATTGATTATTGAAATATTTAACTGCCGCCCCCTTTTATGAAGAGCTGTTACTGCAGAATGGAATTGAAACAATTATTACTGAAAAAGGTATTGGTATAATTGTACAATAAGAGTACATTTGTGGTATGTTCAGTCTGATGGGACCGCCCTGGCCATAGCTCTGTTTCTCCTGATGGTTCTGCTGATCCTCGGTCTCCTCTGGTGGTTCTGGCCTCTGTGCTGCACGGTGGTGAGTCCACAGAAGTTTAAGACTTGGCAAACTGTGGTTATTATGGCATCAGAAACACTTGTAAGGAAACTTTGCCAGTGTGCCCTGTGGTCTTCTCATGAATCCAAACAGACAAAGGTAAAAGCGGAGGATAATGAGGGCAGAGTAAACAGGGTCTGCTTCTCTCATCAGTCCACTGCCTCACCCCCATGTTGTAGTCATTTTGCTGCTTTTTGGTTCATTTATTTGTTTTTATCGCAAAAGATCATCACCAATGACTTTTAAATCATTCGCTACTATCGAATAAAAATGTGAAAAAATAAATGTTAATTGTGATTGTAGTTGACTTTTCAAAGACGAACCACAACAACAATAGGCAGGTATTTATTGATATGTTAAGTCTATTCTTTTGCAGTACTCTTTACCCAAATATTACCCCTATTTCAACACAATGTCTTTGAGCAGCTGTAATTAGAAGCCAGTATTACTAATAGAAACAGATTATAAGGGAAATTTTGGGGTGCATTTCCCCAGTTGTTCGTCTGCCCGCCTCACAGCAGCAGGGAGGTCTCGAGCCAATCTGTGTCAGAAACTGGAGTCAGGATTTCTTTTTTATACAAAGGACGCGACTGCAGACTTTCCACTGCTGCAGACTGTGGCCCTGACAGGTGCCAGAGAAATATGTCAGCTTTACAACAGGGCAGTGCTTTTGTGTTTTAAAAGATATTTTTTCAGTATTGTCAATGTCATTTTAGCATAACCACTGCCAACAGCACTGAAAATAGTCAGAAAAAATGTGAATTGTTCTAGTTGTTTATGATTTTACATATTAATAATACATATTTCTGGTGGGACTAGTTTTACGCTGATGATGCAGTTCTATAACATCACAGGAGAAAGATTCACAGCTCATTTTTACATTTAAATTATTTGCTTCATTGATTTTTGTTTGTTAAAGATCTTACCTGTGTACATTGAATTGTTTTTGCCCAGTTTATTACACATTTGCAACGTTACATCCCCCTGTATGATGTCATAATTTCTGTTACCACAGTAACAGAAATACCACAGTCCTATGCATGTATAAAGGCTGTGTCTTGTTGGACCTTTTAGATCATTCACGAGCCACCTCCACCGCCTGCAGAGGAAAGCTCGGTGAGAAAACATTTACAAGTACTTTGCTTCAGTTTGAGCAACTAGTTCCACATGTTTTCTAGTTATTTCTGTTTTTTTTTTTTTTCTTGTGTTTTTAATTATTGCTTGTTGATGTGAAGCACTTTGTGACCTTCTGTCTGAGAAAGGTGCTATATAAATAAACTTTGCTTGCTTGCTTGCTTGCTTTTGCAATAGGATGATGAAGACTTTGATGGACCCAAGAAAAAATGGCCAACGGTTGATGCATCTTATTACGGGGGAAGAGGCGTTGGAGGAATCAAAAGGATGGAGGTTGGTTTCATATCTGTGCTGTTTTTATCAACTATTATCTGTCATAAGAAAGACTTCATTGACCTGAAGTGCAGATTTGTTTGTTTGTATATTGTAATATAAATGTAAATAAATAAATGAGAGACTCAGTGGATCAAATGAGAATTTAAAAATAATTGAATAGACTAAAACTAAATGAGCATTGGTCTCACAGCTCATACAAAGCACAGTGGCTGGATCCTTCTTACACTGGTTCTCTGCAGGTGCGATGGGGAGAGAAAGGCTCCACTGACGAAGGAGCCAAACTGGAAAAAGCAAAAAATGCCAAAGTGAAAATGCCTGATCAGGAATATGCTTCAGCTTTCCAAACACGAGTCCTCAACAACGGCATGCACAGACCCCACAGGCTGCAGAAGTGGTACTCGCCTATACAGGTAAACAATCCCCATGAACAAGACCTCACAATTATAAATGGCAAAAATATATTCGTAATAGTATTTGGCATGTAGCCTATGGGCTGTGAATGATGATATAAATCCAAGCCCTTTGGACCCAAGATGTCTGCCCATTCAAGTCAATGGCCTGCACACTGGGGCTTACTTGAAATTAGGCTTGCTACTGCTACACCCCAAAATCCAGCCTGGAAGTAGCAGTTGGGCTACATCCAAGTGTAAAAGCAGTAGTTGTACCTCCGCCATGATGCTTTGCACAAAGAGCTGTACCTGGCAAGGCAAGTTTATTTGTATAGCACAATTCATACACAAGGCAATTCAAAGTTCTGAAATGTAAATGACTTTGACAGTGTTAAGAAACGTTTCACTACTAACCTCCATCCATCCATTTTCTTCCCTTTAATCCATTTCTGGGTCAGGGGGTGGCAGTCAGAGCTGCACCCCCTCTGCAGGTGGTGATTCCACAGGAGGACGGCTTCTCTGTCAGTGAGAGCATAGCCTTGATCTTTCAGCAGGGGCTTCAGGCAAAGTGGGGTTAAGTGTCTTGCCCAAGGACAAAACAACAGCAGACATCAGTATAGGATTAGGTGGAGAAGATTCTTTGGAAGCCTGGCACTGTGTCCGGTTCTCCGCTCATCCCCGACAGCCGCTCTGGATATGTTGGAATAGTTTTAGAAGATAGTGAAAGTAGTGGGTCGTACAAACAACAGGATTTCCCAGAGTCCATGTGGGAATCCAAACCTCAGAATTAAAGACAAAGCAACAATTTAGCTGTTTAACTGTCACAGCTACGAGGCTGGATGAACGAAATTATGTCACACTCAGCACAAATAAAAGATGCAGTGTAACATAAATCTACTGTATGTCATGTTGGCAAACGGACACAATGGCTTTAATAAAAAGTACGGTAAAACAAAAGTACAGAACACAAAAAGTAATCAAACAAAGACTGACCACAAGATGTAAAACAGACGTGGGATAAGAATACTGGAACAGGAAGTGAAGGAACACAGGGTTTAAATACAAGACTAATGAGACACAGGTGAGACACAGGAGGGCGGGGCAGGTAATCAGGAAACAGGAAGTAGAACTAAAGGAGACACAGGGTTTAACAAATTAGAAAATAAAACAAGAAATAAACCTAAAGCATACTGTATGCATGTTGATAATAGTGTGATAATAGTGTGTGTTGTTCTTTTAGCTGTAGGACCACAGGTGATTATTTAGAAGCGGTGCACATAAGTTAATATTTCAAGGAAAATGAAATAGGTCCTACAAGTTTTAAGACAGTATTAAGGTGTAGGCTGTAGTTTTTGAACTAAGCATGATAATTTGACAAGACTAAAGAGACTGCTGTCACATGTCTGCTGCTCCAGGCTTCCCAGTCAGCAGGGGAGGAGAAATAGAAACCAGGCTCACCTCACGAAGAGCCAAAATATTGTGAAGTAATACAGCTGCCTTTTCCCTCCAGCTTGTGTTACTGGAGAAAAAATGCTGCACAATAATAACTGCCTGGTCATAGGTTCTGTTCTAAAATACCAAGTTTTAAAGCAAACACATCAAAAGGCCATTGAGGCATTGTGCAGAGTTTAACACAGAAAATAGACAAATATATAATAGAAAAAAATTATCTAGTAAACAAAATAATGAAAATTCCCCCAGTGACCTCTTATGCAAGACCAAAAGAACAGTGAGTTGGACTAAACATGTATTATCAATATGCAAAATCAAAGTGAATTACAATTACTTCTGCAATTACAAAAATATTTGAAAGGAAATTACTTTACTAGCGGATATCTCACGAGGTGGCTCGTTTATCTGTTCCGGATGCCTCCTGGGCGCCTCCTGGGGAGGTGTTTCGGCACGTCCCACTGGGAGGAGGCCCCGGGGAAGACCCAGGACACGCTGGAGGGACTATGTCTCTCAGCTGGCCTGGGAACAACTTGGGGTCCCCCCGGACGAGCTGGAGGAAGTGTGAGTGGATAGGGAAGTCTGAGCATCTCTGCAGACTGCTGCCCCCGCAACCCCGCAACGGATGAAGCGGAAGAAAATGGAATGGAATAGAAAGATCTCAGCTTCCGCAATTAACTTTTCACATGTTTTGCGACTAGACAAAGCTGGATGCATTGTGGGTGTTTCTAAGAAGAGGCTATGACCGTGTGTCAGTGATGCGGCCGAACGCCAGTGACAAGGTAAGATTCTGACAATGATTAAGCATTCACTACATTTACAAGACTGTATTTGTAGGCCATTGTTCCCTCTTGTGAAAATGGTGCAGCCGTGAGTGATGAAGTGCACACACAGAAGTGGAAAGTTCAGGTTTAGAGTCTGGCTGCAGTGTGATGTATAGAAGTCTGGAGAAGTCGTTAAAACAATATCAGGGTCCAGGTGCAGCCCCGATGTGCAGAGGTACACTCTGTTCAACTTATGGAGGAGCACATTTTAACACTCCTGCACATTGTGGCAGCCATAGACTGTATAGGAGTGGACTAACGAGTGCTGATGTCACACACTGTGGTGGCTGAATGGTGAATGTGTAAGTGGCAGATTTGAACATAAGCATTTGTTCAGACGGCGTTAGCTTCGTGCCGTACCGGGGGTTGCTAACTTATTTGCTAAGGCAAGCAAATTAAGGCATCTGATTGGTCAATCCTGATATGGCTGTCCAAAATCCAAAATGATGAACGTGAAACAGACAATTACTGAGCTAGAGCGCTTTTTATTGTAAGTCGACTTATTTATTTATTTTTTACCATTTTATGTTTGTTTTAGTTTTTTTCCCAGTATTTGGACTTTGGTCCTATTTACCTGTTGCCGGGTACTTTCTACTCCTTACATTTAAAACATGGGATAGTTAGCTGCATTAAAACCCTTTGCAGACTATAAAACAATATACAGAGCATCCTGACACAAAGAGCCACCTGAAGTGTCTTGCCTAAGGACACTAGGACGGTGAAACCTGTCATTCTGAGCAGTCATCCATCCAAGTACTAACTAGGCCCTGCTCTGCTTGATTTGAAGTGGTTCGCCATGCTTCTAAGTTTAGTAAAACAATCAGATTTCATTTACATAACAAACCTATAACCTATAACTAACTAATAACCTATAACCATGTTCACTTTTACCCAAGTGGTTAAGACTAGAACTTTTGCCACCTCTGGATTCTCGACATCCCTGATTGCAGGTGCTCATTCAGACAGCTTCTGGCGTTGTTGTGAAATGTAACTGAACACTAGTGCGATGTCAGTGTTGAAACCCCCCTGACTTATTTAAATATACACTCGGCTTCAGGAGGTGATGTCAGCGTCCCCAGTGACAGCTCTCCTGCAGCAACAGTGGGTCAAGTTTTTTCCCTGGTAGTTTTGAAAGAAGTATATATAACTTATAGATAATTTCAGCAGAGAGAACCTTTTGTGTTGAGCTGGAGCAGAGCAGTAAACAAGCTCATTCTGGTTGCAATTATAAGACTCTCGTTTAAAGGTCTGCTTTTATAACTTCCCGCCAGTGAAAAGCAGAAAAGGCACAGCACAAACTAAGATTATTATATTATTTCAATAGATCTGTTTTGTATTAAGTAAAAAACTCCAGGTTTTGTTGAATTTATTTTTGTGTGGAACATTCAGAAAAATTGCTTTTCAAGTTTCAATATTTACAGTCTATGGTTTCCAACCCATTGTTAACCCTTTAGTTATTTTTATTGAGATGTGAGTAAAAGAATTAGGTTTGGTTTAAGGTTCAAACTTTCAAGAAAGAGACTGATTTTAAGTTTGATGGCAGTTATCATGGTTGATGTTATATTGTTAATGTTTGGGTTGTATCAGTCCAGTACAAATTAAGTATTATAATGTAACAACACACACTCATCTGATTAAATGGGGTTGCAACATTAATGAACTTATTTTTGGACCGACCGTTTGCACCCAAAACCATCAAGTAAAATTCTCCAGCTCCAGCCATGAAATGATTATATACATATCAAAATATCAGCACTTTGTTTTTATAGGGGCGCTGCATAAACTTCACCCGGACCAAAACCCTGCCTCCACACTACCCAGACTACAACCCCCCCTGTCCCATCTACAGCCCCCCAAGCATCAGCCCGCCTGCTCCACTGGGTACTCTCCCTCCTGCACCCATGGGACCTCCACCATACACCGCTGCCCCCAGCCTACCCCTGATAAAATCAAACGGCGCAGCTTCAGCCTTTGCCCCTCCCACCACACTTCCTCCTTCTCCATCAGGACCACCACCAGGGCGAGCTCCGCCTCCCTCCCGTCCACCACCGCGCCCCGGACTCTAGAACAGTCACAGCATCAGTTATTATTGATTGTAGCAAAGAATATGCAAGTGGGCGCTGCAGGACAAGAGGAATCCGAATTTGATTTGTTCCTGGCATAAGTTCATTAGTGCAATCACTTTATGCTTGAGTTTCAAAACCATTCAGTGTGAGGACAGACGGAGGACAGATGCAACAGCACAATGCAAAACAGTGTTTGTAGACACACAAGCTTTATGAATGTTGCATGTGTTTATTGAATGTCTTTGTTTAGCTTTAACAATACCGTGTTTTTTATTTAAACAACTATCTTTTCAGTGACTGCAAAATAACTAGCTTCTTTGAATGATGTCATTAGCACATAAGAAAGGGCATTCTTCAGGAGGGTCAAATCTGCAGGGATCACAATGAGTGGAAACATTTAGACCAAATAGAACAAACTTTTGGTTTATCAATCACTTGAGGCAGTACTATGGAAAGACATTTATACTTTTTATTTGTCAGATTTGTTTTCTTCTTTGTAGCGTTGGTACAGTTATGTAACACCGATAGACTGCTCACCATTGATGTCATTTAGTGATGGTGTAGTTCGTGTTAAAGTTAAAACTGATGCAGGGGTACATTTCTATCACCTTTGACTGATTGTTCTACAGTGAAGAAAATGAGGAATACCCAGGCCTCATGCTTCATATATGTACTTAAGTTTACCTGTGTTGTACTACACATGTTTTTTGTAGGAACATTGCTTACTTTATTGTCCCCATAGGAAAACTATGGAGTAACTGCTAAATTGTCAAAAATTGTTTTTTTAACAAAAGACATTTTGTTTTATATTTTCATCTGTTAGATAAGAGTTTTTCCTTTGATTTCTACCAAAAAGAAAACGACACAGAACAATGTTGACACTTTATTGCATCAGTGTCCTTCGTCCATTTAAAGCTCATTGTGCAGAGGCCGGAGCCCCACACGGCTCAGGTACCATGTGTAACACGTCCAGTTTCTGCTTTTTGACTCTAGGTCAAAATAAAAAGTCTTGATAGAACAAATGACAAAACATTGTTCTTGATTTCACAGTTCAAGCATCTAAAGAGTCAGCTACATTACATTTCATTTTTACGTTTACTTTTTCATTGATGATCTAAAGAGACTAAAGAGATGCAAAGCTGCATGTGACGTGCCACATTCAGAGCAGACGTCACAATTATCAATACAACTGACCACAAGGATGCAGCTGTTGGTTCAATTAGAATGATAAGGTTTTGCAGATATCAATGTATAGAACGTAACATTCACCTTTCTGATTAAAGAAACCAAACATATAAAAAAGATGTAACATAAATGATCGAAAATATATTAATGGTCCCAACGTTGCAAAAGTATGTGGTGTTGGTAAGGTGTGGGCTCAGGATTCAGTAACATTTACTTCAGGACATACACTTCAGCGTCCTATATCAACAGAACAGTAACATGTTTATGGAATACAGAACTTCTATTGTGAAGTGCTGCCAATGAAAACTGACCAATGAACTTCAATAAATAATCAGGATCTACTACAGTGAGAATAGTCACAATAAGGCAACATTAAAACTATCAGAATGTAATGCTACAGTAACAGAAACAGTAGTGAGGCGGTAGAAGCACGGACGTATGATGGCACTGCTTTGCCATTTGGAATGATTAAAACGCCTCTTACGCCTAAATAATTAGCTGCCAAGACAATCCATCAACGTCACAAATCATGCACTTAAATGTGCTTATAAAACAATTTTGTTTATAATTGATATCCAGAAAAGACGTGGAGTAAAATGTGTTTAGTTTTCAGCACACACAACATAAGCCCACACCTTGCCAGTTTGTCCACACATGACATAAGATGTACTCCCTCAAACAAACATTAAGACTTACAGAGATACAGATAAACACACAAAGCCTTCTGAGGTTTCTTCATCCAGCTGCTCTCGGCCGCCTGCACACGTAAACACCAGCCTTCACACGTGAACACCAGCCTTCACTCCAGTCTACTCCACTGTCACCGATTTGGCCAAGTTTCTCGGGCAGTCCACCTGGATTAAAAAACACCACATTTTAAACCTAATCAATTTTAAATGAGAACATATTTTACTAACACTATCCAGAAAATGTATTAAAATTAAAGATAAAGAACCAGACCAAAAGCTTGTCCTCATACTTGCCACATGCACGGGTGGGCTGAAAGATTTATTTTTTATTTTTCATACAGTTTTCCTGCAGGAAGGGCCCCTCCACAGCAGGTCATAGGCAGCTCCGTAACAGAGTCTAAAAGTTTGTGTGGGAGAATAGGCCACACTTTACTTTACAACATTGCTTCCTCATCAAAAGCACAAGTTGTTTTTAGATCCATCCATCCACACAGCCATGTCTTTATATGTTTGAAATAAAACAAAAACAATATATACTTCTTCTGGTGGCATGGAGGTTTCATGCAGATAGCGTTTTTTTAACATTTGTAAAATATTGTACCAAATTATTTGTATCCAAAGTTTTTAGCCCACGACCCCCATGGTTCCCTTCATGATAAATGCGCAGCTGCCCCGCGACCCCCCACCGCACCTCAACAGCCCTTACCATCACGTGAAATGTAAAGCATGTATTTGTTCTCTGGCCCGTACTCTCCTCTACACTCCTCCAAAGACTACACAGAGACAGCATCAGCAGCCGAGTCCCTGCGCTCTGCTGTGTGTGCACAGATGCGAGCCTCTGCCGAGGGGAGGCGTCACTCTGCTACGTGTGTGGTGTGTACAAGCCGTACGCCGGGTTCAGGTGATGGGCTTGGAGGGCTCCCTCTTTAGCAGAGGTGGAGGGCATTTTTTGTGCGGCTCGCCCTCACTGTTCTCCGCTGCCCTCTTTGATGTTCCTCTGACGCAATCTTCGGACCAATAGCCTCACCTCTGGCACATTTTTTTACTCCCCCTTTGGGTTTTTCTGTTGTGGATTTTAACCACGGATCATTTTAAAGCAAGTATTATTTGTTTGTAGCCCCCAAACACCTTTATTAATTTCATCAGTGGCTCTGTGTGCATTGTATTAAAATGTATTTCATATTTGCATATTCCTGCATTTGAGACTACGGTGCTCAAGAAAGCCAAAAAACTGCTGACCTCTTACCCATCACTGCTCTTTGATCGACTTGTGATTATTCTAAAACAGGTACAAGCAGATGATTTGATATGTATTACAAGGTCTCTGCTGAAATTACACTCTGATGTGGGTTTATTTGTTTCTGGGGTTTTGAGAACAAAGTAAATTCATACAAATTATTAATACTCAGATAATTACTTTAAATTACGACAAAATAAATGTTTCTTAAAGCTGTTTCCTTACATCATATCCGCGGAGCACAGCCAAGTGGAAGGAGAGCAGCTGCAGGGGAATGACACTCAGGATGCCCTGCAGACAGTCCACACAGTGTGGGACTCTGATGGTGCCGCTCGAGTTCTTCGCTGTGTCATAATCGTCTTTATCGCAGATCACGATCGGGCGACCCTGTAATGAAGAACAACTTTGACAGGGTTTGGCTCTGTGAACTTGAATGTGGCTTGGAAGGCTTCAAAGGCCTCAACTGTAAATAACATTAACACCATAAAGCCCAGCAGCTGCAGCGCATTATATCAGTGATCTCACTGGAATTATCTCTGCGGCAACCCAGGATTACACCAATTGAAATATTATTTAGAAAGTGATTTAGTTAGACATGTGTATAATTACTCAGCTAATGTAATTGGAAACATAAGATTAGTTAAAGCATCTGAAATACTTTAACTGTGAGGAAAACTAAGTCCAGTTACTTAGTAGTGTTCAATGTTGCCAGTGGTAATTATCCACCGTGTTGTAATAAACATATTCCAGAGCAGTCCTGTTTAACTTACAGTGCTCCTCAGGGAGTACATTGGCAGTCCCATTTGTACATGGTTCATTCAGATTGAAGGGTATTATAATATAAAGTGTTTACAGACATTATGAACCATTTGCTTTATGAGCTGAAAGTTTACTGTTTGGGATACAGTGTTTTGAAATTTCTTAGGACTTATCTAAAACCACATGCACTTTTCTTCATTAAAGGACAACTAAACACCAAATCAACTTTTTTAACTCATAAACTGCATAGATATGTTTCTTATAGTGCTCTCTACATGTCCTGGTCATTTCTTTAACATTTTAGTGTAAATTTGAAAAACACTCACTTTTGAGCCTAAAACCGTCTGTGTGGCGCCCTCCCTACATTTTCGATGGCACTACATTTGAATTAGTGCCTGGCCTCTCTATTGGCTCTGGAGTGATGTGTACAGCGTGATGTCCGTCTCTCTGGTATAAAACCAATCAAGTCCAAGGATCTACAATAAAATCGGGCCAAGTCTCACACACGCCCTCGTCGCGAGTTTGAGTATTCTTATGATATCTAGTGGTTTGAAAATTAAAATACATCAGTTGACAGCCACTACAGATGGGATAATTATGTGGCTTAGTTTTAGGTGTCTAGCTTTACAATTATCTTAGTGCGTAAAAAAGGGTGGAATGAGAATTTCTGGTGTGTAAACTATTAGCAGCAATGATTGACAGCTCTCTTGACAATCACTATTCACAGGTGTCCACATGGTCTGGGAGTGACCAGGGGTTGCTCAGTTTTGGTCAGAGATGGTGGGCGGTGGCGTGCCGGCCATTTGAGTCATGCAGATTACATGTGTTTATGTTTCTTTAAGTCCAGGTGCATGTGTGTTACACTACTACATTGATAATAGATTATGTGGTGCCCAACCCCATCCCTTGTACAATCTGGAAAATACATTTTGATTAAAAAATGAGACATTCTAGTGTGTTAAAGTAAAATTTTTACTAAAATCAATGTATTTATATTGATTTCTACAAACATAAAAGTAACCAACAGTCATTAGGTATTTGAGCAAAAAAACAACGTCCCGAAATCCGCTGTCTTAGATCCTCCTTCCTTTTACTTGCCCAAAAGGACTAGTTTGAAGTTTGTTAAAAAAAATCATACTCTAAGACTCGTCAGATAAATACACAGTAAAACCGAATGAAAGGGTCTGACCTGGCGTGCGATGACTTGCTGCAGGGCGTTCTGACACTTGACGTAGGTGTGGTCTCTCATGATGATCATGATAACAGGCATCAGTTTATCCACGAGAGCGAGAGGACCGTGCTTCAGCTCTCCGGCCAGAATTCCCTCCGAGTGCATGTATGTAATCTCCTTAATTTTCTGCACAACACAGATACGTTTGGTTTCTCAAAGAGGAAAACATATTGACAAAGAGCAGGGCAGGAGTTCAGTCTTACCAGTGCTCCTTCCAGGCACGTAGCGTAATGGTATCCACGGCCCATGATCAGTACACTCTTCTGCTCATAAAGCTCTTCAGCCAAAATCTTGATCTCTTGATCCAAACTCAGGACGTCTTTTATCAAATCTGTTATGGAAAAAAAAAACACAATTAAGTAACATTGCATGTAAAAACTTGGACCAAGACAAATCTGTTGCTGCCATAAATTCATTGCTGCCCAATTTCATATTGTAAACTTGGAGCACAAAACTGTTCAGACATTTCTTATTAGTTTAACATTAGGGACACCATGCAATCATGTGTTTTTCATTCTGAAGAGCATGCAAGACGCCCACAACCAGATATCCCGTAATCTAATTCTTTGCAGAGTCTTGCTTATCATATGATAATTACTCAAAAACAATACATATTCAGGATGGCTAAATAGTATATAGAGAAGAAAGTCACATTACACATATATAAGCTATATATATCTACATATCTACAAACACACACACATACATAATTCCCCATGAGTTAATTCATAGTTTTGAGGCCTTCAGTGTGAATCTACAATTTTCATAATCATGAAATAAAAAAAAAACTCTTTGAATGAGAAGGTGTGTCTAAACTGTATGGTTGTTGTCGTCGTCGTCGTCGTCGTCGTCGTCGTCGTCGTCGTCGTTGTTGTCGTCGTCATCTTCAGTATATAATATATATTTGTTTCAGTTTACCTGGAAGTACTCGGAGCCCCTGGATTATCTCTCTGCGCCTTGGCTTCATAGAAATCCTGTCGTCGCACATCAAAAGGGCGAACATGACCAGGGCCACAAACTGACTGGTGTAGGCCTGCACAGCAGAGAGAGCAGTGTTTTATAACGCACCAGGCCAAGCAGAGGAATGATACAAAGTGTGGTCTGTTCGACATCAAAAGCAGAAATATGTAAAAGGTCCATTTTTTTGTTTTTTTAAGGTGAACCTATGTTTAAGGATAATCAAGTAGATAAATGTGTATTCAGTCTACTGTATAATAGAAATAATGAATACAAAGCATTTATAGCCAGGAAGCCTTCGGCAAATAATGTCCAGATGAGAATACTTTCTAAGATGGTTCAACAGCTGCAGTACATCAAATTCAGAGATTTCTCTTCCCGGGAGTAAAAAAAACAGCCTTGCACTAAATGTAAAATAATCTGTGTACACGCTTTGTCCTTCTTGCACTTATTTCAAGTGTTCAAAAGAGGCCAAGACATTTTACAGGACCCTCTACGCTGTGAAATGACCGCCAAGGAGAATAAAGCTATGAAAAAAAAATTCTTCCTTCTTCAACAAATACCTTATTATTTCTAGACTGTCTCCTGCCACACATCAGACTGAAGCACAGTACAAAGCCTGCTGTTGATTGTCAAAGAAAACAGTTCCTGCAGAGCATTTATTTTCATCACAAAAGGATAACGCCGAACAAATTCACTAATCATTTTGGGGAGAGCGTTGTGCCACGTGTTGATCATGTTCTCATGCTGACTTTGAGTGTGCGCCAAAATGGAGAGTATTCGCAGGAATTCATCTGGCTTTAGTTCAGTGTCAATGGGCGTGAAAATGGGTTTAATAAAATGTTTCAAAAAATTATTGCCTAACATCCAGCACAAGATCCAAATAACGACTCAATTTACAGTCAGCAGTAACACTTTATTCCAACGAACTGCAAATCAAACCATAATGACCAATGGCATGAGATCAAGATGACATACTGCCCATACTAAAACCATGATGCAATTGTTTCCCCTTCTAATAAATACCTAGTTAAAGATGTGGTACCTGACTTTCAAACCACAAGGAAAGAAACTTCATAATAAAATCCATCTAACAGTTTTTTCACTTTTCACATGCATGTACTTTTGGCATCCGGCTAAATGATGGTGGTTCCCGCTATTCACTTTTTGGTCCGAAAAAGCTGATCTAAAAGATGTGCCAATTAGTGGCTCACAAGGCATACGAGTTCACAGAATTTGGAGTACCTACTGTTTACATTTCTCATGTAATTGAACTAAAATAAACGGAATAAAAATAATTCTTTCTCACCTTGGTACTTGCCACTCCGATCTCAGGACCAGCGTTAATGTGGACGCCGCAGTCGGTCTCTCTGGAGATGGAGCTGCCCACAGTGTTGGTGACGCCCACGGTCAGAGCCCCTCTCTCTTTACAATAGCGTAGAGCCATCAGCGTGTCTGCGGTTTCTCCTACAAGAAAAAAAGATATAATTTTTATATCAAATCTACACCAAACAGCTATTTAACCAGTAAACAAAAACAGTCCGCTTGGTATGGAAGAGGGGAAGCTATGCAGAGTGCCACTCATCTATTTGTGATCAGAGCAGTTGTTAGATAAGGAGTGAAGAGAAAGTCATTCAGTGTTGAAGGCCACAGACAGTGACCATATAAAAAAGGTCATTGGATTTTGCTCTCACCTGATTGGCTGATAAAGAAACACACGTCGTCTCTGAACACAGGAGTGTTTCTATCCAGGAAGTCACTGGCCAGCTCCACCATCACAGGCAGCTCTGTCAACTCCTCCAGCACTTGTCGAGTCTGACAAATAAAACCATCATTGATTGACTGCGGAACCTTCCGCAGTCAACCATTGGTTTTGTATTTCTTTATTCCGTCATTTTTTTTGACACGTTTCACAGCTTTCACATTTTCAACAATTTCCACAAGTTATACATCAAAACGTTCCACATGTTTGGGAGATTATTGCTATTACTTTTGGGACTTCAGCGATTTCCGGTTTTTCCGCAATCGGACAAAAATCTGCATTGAGAATTCTGCAATGCATTTTAATAGGCCCATGCATTTTAATAGGACTTCAGCTCTTTCAGACATTTCTACAGTTTCAATGATTCAACAGTTTCAAGGATTCAACAGTTTCAAGGATTTCAGCAGTTTCAAGATTTCAAGAGTTTCAAGGACTTCAATAGTTTCAAGGACTTCAATAGTTTCAAGGACTTCAGCAGTTTCAAGGACTTCAGCAGTTTCAAGGACTTCAGCAGTTTTTTCAAGGACTTCAGTGTAATCATGCAACCTAATAGGGATTTTTCCATGTAAACCAGTATAATGCAACTTAATAGGGTTTTTTCATGTAAACCAGTATAATGCAACTTAATGGGGATTTTTCCATGTAAACCAGTATAATGCAACTTAATAGGGGTTTTTTACATGTAAACCAGTATAATGCAACTTAATAGGGTTTTTTCCATGTAAACCAGTATAATGCAACTTAATAGGGTTTTTTTTCCATGTAAACCAGTATAATAGCAACTTAATGGGGATTTTTCCATGTAAACCAGTATTATGCAACTTAATAGGGATTTTTCCATGTAAACCAGTATAATGCAACTTAATAGGGATTTTTACATGTAAACCAGTATAATGCAACTTAATGGGGATTTTTCCATGTAAACCAGTATAATGCAACTTAATAGGGATTTTTACATGTAAACCACTATAATGTAACCTAATAGGGGTTTTTACATGTAAACCAGTATAAAGCAACTTAATAGGGATTTGTACATGTAAACCAGTATAATGCAACCTAATAGGGATTTTTCCATGTAAACCAGTATAATGCAACTTAATAGGGATTTTTCCATGTAAACCAGTATAATGCAACTTAATAGGGATTTTTCCATGTAAACCAGTATAATGCAACTTAATAGGGATTTTTCCATGTAAACCAGTATTATCCATGTAAACAGTATAATGCAACTTAATAATGTAACCTAATAGGGGTTTTTACATGTAAACCTTACTTAATAGGGGATTTTTCCATGTCCAAACCAGTATAATGCAACTTAATAGGGATTTTTCCATGTAAACCAGTATAATGCAACTTAATAGGGTTTTTTAAACATGTAAACCAGTATAATGCAACTTAATAGGGATTTTTTCATGTAAACCAGTATAATGCAACTTAATAGGGATTTTTCCATGTAAACCAGTATAATGCAACTTAATAGGGTTTTTTTTTTTACATATAAACCAGTATAATGGAACTTAATAGGGTTTTTTTCATGTAAACCAGTATAATGCAACTTAATAGGGATTTTTCCATGTAAACCAGTATAATGCAACTTAATAGGGTTTTTTCATGTAAACCAGTATAATGCAACTTAATAGGGATTTTTCCATGTAAACCAGTATAATGCAACTTAATAGGGGTTTTTCCATGTAAACCAGTATAATGCAACTTAATAGGGTTTTTTTCATGTAAACCAGTATAATGCAACTTAATGGGGATTTTTCCATGTAAACCAGTATTATGCAACTTAATAGGGATTTTTCCATGTAAACCAGTATAATGCAACTTAATAGGGTTTTTTTCATGTTAACCAGTATAATGCAACTTAATAGGGTTTTTTCATGTAAACCAGTATAATGCAACTTAATAGGGTTTTTTCATGTATAATGCAACCTAATAGGTTGCATTATACCACCAGACCAAGACCCAAACGAAGACTCAGACCACCACCAGATAATGACCACAGACCAGGTTTCCTTAGTTACAGGAACCAAATTGTTTCAGCGGTGAGGGGATTTTTCAGTTTCAAGGACACTTTCAATACATTCAGTAGTTTCAAGGATTTCAGCTGTTTAAGAATTTAACCAGTTTCAAGGATATCAGGAGGTTCAAGGATTTCAGGAGTTTCCACACTTTCAACAGTTTCCAGGTTTAAAAAAGTTTCAAGGATTTCAGGAGTTTCAATGTTTCAACAGTTTCAAGGATTTCAGGAGTTTAAAGGTTTCAACAATTTCAAGGACTTCAGGAGTTTCAAATATCTATCAAGTATTTTAACAGTTTCAAGGCTTTTTAAAGGATTTCAAGGATTTTTTTTAGCAGATTTCCACATTAGATCTGTTCCGCAGTCAATCGCAATGGCTTCAGCCATTGCAAGTTTCTAGTTAACCATATGTTAGTTAGTTAGTTCTTTTTATTTGAGCAATCTTAGTATGAACATGCATACATACATGTATACAGAATAATGATTTAAAGAATAAGCACATTCAAGCACTCAGTACTGATTGATGTAAGTGCTCAAAAAAGGAGTAGGAAGAAGTGGGGACTAATAAACTCCTACCCTTTTCTCCATTCACTGTATTGTGTAACAGTTATTGGTGCTTCTCAATGGTTAATGTGGTTTAAAAACCATATGGTTTAATTTTGATTTAAATATGAAGGTTTAGTTATGAAATTGTACCTTAATTGTAATATTAAAAACAACAAGGTTCATTTGGCCTCAGACTACAGCTCCTCAGAGTGGTCAAAGAGGCAATAAGGGAACACTGAGGATTCTGTCCTGAGGAAATCAGACTGCAGATGGCACTGCCGTCCTGCCTCTAATGGTGGAAAGACTGAAAAAACTAAAAACTGGAAGACTGAAAGCCAGCAGTCAGAACGGTCAGGTACAACTCTGATAGTGAAATTTAAAAAGCCTGAATAATCAATAGTAGTTTTACTTGATCTACACTTCCCGAGATGTTATAGTTTGCGGGTTTGATCCTTTTATCTGTGTGTGAACTATGTTGCCTCTTGTTCAATGAAAAGGAGAGGTTTTGTATCTCATTGTGATTTTTCTGGTAAAGATTGGTACAATCAAGTAGAACAAAGCTCAACTTGTTGCAGACACCAAAATTATAACAGTCTAGAACAGTCTATCCTGTAGCTCGGGAACCACCAGTAGCTCGCCACCCCCTTCCAGGTAGCTCGCCAAAGGATTTAGAAATGAACATATCACATAACATTCTTAATATTTCAGATTGTATTATTCATTATCATTTATGATTGTAAATGCACTTACTTTGTCACTAGTAACATATGCTATGATAAATAACGACTGTACCCGACATCAGGCTCGTTTACACCAATATATCACCATATCTTTCCCAGGGCAAGAGTAGCTCTCTGCCTTTAGCGCCTCAGGGAAGTAGCTCTCTTGCTGAAAAAGGTTGGCGACACCTGGTCTAGCAGATACATTATGTTGTGCTTCACTCACAGCTACGCCAGCATGGTAACTGGTGCCACAAGCAATAAGGATCAGGCGCCTGCATCTTTGGATCTCTTTGATGTGGTCTTTCAATCCACCAAGAGTCACTACAAAACAGAGCACCAAATCATTTCAAACTATCAAAACAAATAAGAATGTAAGTTCTATTATGGTGTGCTTTGTGTAAACTCATCACAGCTCAGTTACAAACCTGTATTGTTTTCAAAATTCACTCTTCCTCTCATTGTGTTGACCACAGACTCTGGCTGCTCAAAGATTTCCTTCTGCATGTATGAACTGTAATTTCCTGAAAGGCAAAGAAGGCAGTTGTGTGGCAAGACTTTGGAAAATAAATGTAACACATGAAGGCATGCATGCACGGACTTTAGCTCAAAACACCTGGTCTATCACTGCCATCTACTGGATTGCAAAGGGAAGTACATAAGTGCTTATAATAAATCACAAAAACTCTGATTATAACCCATAATCTCAGGAATAATTACATGACGGAATGTAGGTCAACATGTCACTGAACATGTCTCTAGATGTAGCCAACACTAAGTAAATGACTACTCTGAAACAAAGACTGCCTGAAGGTGGCAGGTTTATAGCCACCATCAAGATAATTGCCGGGTTATGAATTAGGTTGAAAACCAAATGACAAGGCAGAGAAACTAAAAATATAAAGCATGTTTAGTGTGAAGTCTCACCTTTCATGATCTGCTGCAGCTCCATTTGCAGGGTCTGGATGGCTCGTGCAGGGTAGTCTCCTGCTGTACGTTTGACCCTGTGGATAGACAGCCGGCCATCCATAACAGCAGCCACATCATCATCCTCCAGGAAGATCACCCGGTTTGTGTGTTCAATCACTGCACTGCATTGACAAACACAAAGTAACGTATTAAAACAACAATATTAATACGTTATATTGAAACAATGGCAAAAAAAAATGCATTTTACCTGGCATCAGAAGCGAAGTAGTACTCTACAGCCTTCTCGTCAACAGGGAACAGACAGGTGTCCTGGTCAGTCCTCTGCAGAGCACTGCAGCTCTTCTTATCTTTTGCAGCTTTAAAATTAATTTGAGTGAGTGACCGGTTTTAAAAAAATATATTTGTGTATAGAAATATAATGTGTTTCCATACAAGAGCGGTACATCACTGGAATATGGTCAGCAGACAGCTTGTGATCGCTTCTCACTCCCATCAACAGAGGGCTTCCTCTCCTAACAAACAAAAATATTCTTTTAGTGCATGATGACGTAATAAATTATATAGCATGACAATACTGTACCGTGTGCCAATTGCCTGTCCGGGGTAATGGACACTCTTGAAGACCAAAGCAAAAGCACCCTCCTGCCAGGAATAAAAAATGAAAACCATTTGACTGCTGATCTCAGATGTTGCATATTTCAGGGTTATAGGTTCTTACCAGCTGCTGAATCACTCGCTCCACAAGAGTGGCAAAGCTAAGATCATCACTTTCTCTGTTATCATACATGTACTTCACCAGTTTAGCGATGCTCTCTGTGTCAGTCTCTGATTCAAACTCATATCCTTTGCTTTCCTAAACACAACATTTTGATCAGCGTCTAGTTTGGAGAATCAGTCCATTTCACACATTTCCATTTACCAGAAATTTCTTCAAATCTTTGTAGTTGGTTATAATTCCATTGTGTATGACAATAAACTCTGAAAACAACATAGATGATCAGATCATAGTTCCTGACAGATTAAATGTGGAAGCTGTGTCTAAACAAATTTTTTTACCATTGCTCTTGTCTGATCTGTGTGGGTGGCTGTTAACTGGGCTTGGCACACCATGAGTCGCCCATCGAGTGTGTGCGATACCAAGATGAACATCAAACTCAACATCCAGGTCCAGATCCTGCTGTTCTGCACAACACACAGACAAACGCCAATCTTAATAAAACAGCTGAGCGATGAAAACATTCAAGAGCCCAATATTCTTACTGTGAATCTCCTCATCAAGAGCCTTTACTTTTCCACGTTGCTTAATTAGTTGAATAGTTTTTGCATTCGATTCCCATTCTTTGTAGTTTCCAGAATCAATCCCCACACCTGCCAAAAACAAAAACAATTTGAAACAAAAGATTTAAAAACGTTGACTTTTCTGAACGCTAAATGCTTATTGTCCAAGCAAGTTGGACTGTACTTCAGAAAGACATAAAACATGTTGATTATTCAATTACAGATTGCTCAAGAAATCACTTGACACTAACCCTAACCTGAACTTACTTGGGGCAAGCTTGTTATAGCAATAGGCTTCAGGGCTTGGAGAGTTAGTTAAAGCTGCAATGATTGTAGACTAGGGGTGGGAACCTAAGGGTACCTCACGATACAAAGCTCACAATAACGATAATATCACAATATTACGATAACAATTTTATCACAATATGACGATTATTGATATATTGGTCAGAAATATACAATATGCCAATTTATGGCATAAATAAAAGAAAGAATACACTTTATTTCATGATAAATAGAATGGAGATGCGTAATGTAGCCATATATTAGGTATTGATACCAATTCAAAAAAAAAATATTGTAAAAAAAAAAAAAAAAAAAAAAAACATTCTAATTTTTTTTCTTTTCTTTTCCAAAATCGATATTGATACTTGGCAAATGCATATCGATAATCGAATCGCGGGAGAAAGTATCGCCCCTATTGTAGACGCATAAGTAACATAGGATATGGACAAAATAAATTGACCAGTGATTTTTAAAATAATCTCCTGCATCACGATTCAATAAGTTAATTTGAAGAACTGTCAGACTTAATATTATAATAAAGTAAGTAGTATGTAATTCTTATATATATATATATATATATATATATATATATTATACACCGCCTTTCACAGACTAGAGTCACAAAGCGGTTTACAATCGTGAGCATTTGTCCTCTCACTACACTCAGAGATGGGAGCGGGGCCAATGCAGGAGGTGCATGCCAGACCTATTGTACATGTTTTTAGTGCTAGGGGAAACCGGAGTACCCGGAGGAAACCTACGCAGACACGGGGAGAACATGCAAACTCCACTCAGAAAGGCCCTGTAACGATCGGGATTCAAACCCAGGGGCCGTATTCCTAAAGATTCTTACTGCTAAAAGTTGCTCCTAGTGGCCAAATTCTAAGAATTTTCTTAGAATCTTGACCAACTCTTAGAATTTCCCCTAAAAGTGAGGAGTAGCTCCTAGTTAAGATAAAAGCTATTCCTAAAAAATCCTAGCTCTTAAGAGTGCTCTTAAGGGGAGATCCCTTAAGAGTTGAGAGGAGGACTTTTAGCGACTTAAAAGTTCCCTAAGAGCACAAAATGGTGGACGGTGGAGACAGGAGAAATATTCTATACACTGGATGACAGTGAATCAGTGAAACGCTACAGATTCAAGCAGGAATGATGTTTGTGGTATATTTAAAAGTCAATCATGTGACCAGCTTCTCATTGGCTGGTCAGCAATAACACCTCATCCATTTTACCTTTGTTACACAAAAGTAAGTAGAAATGGTAAAAGTTGAAAGAGAGGAAAAAGTGGTCCTAAATTGTCACACATTCAGTACGAATGAATGAATACTTTATTTTGAGCCATGGCAAACAAGAAAAAAAGGACAAAACAAACAAAACAACAACAGAATATAAGTACAAATATACAGTTTTGTTTTATTAACAACAATCCAGCTCAAAAAGGAGTGGGAGAGGATAAGACTTTTAAGCTCCCTTGTACTTGATTTGTACAGTGTATGTATAGTATGTTTATATTAATATTGTTTCCTTAATTCCTTATAAGTCTATACATATCACAGCCTTTACTAATCCTAACGTTATCATTATCATCATTTATCCATATAGTATTTATAATAATAATTTTCTTTATCATGTATATTATATATAGAGTAATATTTAAAATATATATATATATATATATATATATATATATATATATATATATATATATATAAAATTATAAGTGCTCATGATATATACGTATTATGTGTGATAAATTGGTGCTGAGCAAGCTCTGATGATGGTGTATAAGTCTAACTTTACTATTCACAGTATTTATGTACCATTGATATATCTGACTTTATAGCTTTTGGTTATTATTTACAATAACACAGTGTTCCTAAGATTAGATTCCATGATTGAGTTTGTCCATTTTAGGGCCCTTATTTTGCCTATTATCATCAAAAATATGTTTGTTCTAACTTTTAGGATCAACCAATCACAGCGTCTGAAATGATGACTCATACCTAGCAACGGGGTCGGCCACGCCTCCTCACTAAGATAAAAGTTGTTGTCAATTCCTTGCTCAGAGTTAAGAGTGTTCTGGAATAACTTTTAAGCTAAGACTCCTAGCTATGAGTTTTTAGGTTAAGATAAGAGCTCTCTGAGAGGACTCTCAGAATCTTTAGGAATACGGCCCCAGGTCCTTATTTCTGAGAAGCGCGAGTGCTATCCACTCAGCCAACGTGCCGCCCACATTCTTTTACGTATCATTTATGTATATCAGAATCAGAATCAGATCAGAATATTTTTTATTGCCACGTAGGTAACAAACAAAAGTTACCACTTGGAAATTGTTTTGGCAGAGAGCGTGCCACATCGCCATTTGCGGCGCTGTGTGATCACCCAGACAGAGGATGCATGGCCTCGGCCATTTATTGTTCTTACCAGCAGAGTCATAACCTCGATACTCCAGACGTTGCAGACCTTTGAGGAGGATTTCAAGGATCTCTTTGCGAGTCCTTGGCACATGGTAGTTGAGATAGGCAAAAATTCCTTTGGGGAAGGGGACAGATAAGACAAGCCACGTTAATGGTTCCCTTGAGAAAAAATTTGCTATTGTCCCAAAGTAAATGAGAGATCAACGTAATAACATGCCAAACAAGCGAGTAGAATAAACATATTCCAGGCTGAAAGACCGGTTATATATATATATATAAATACACACACATAATTATATATGAGCCGGAAACAAAGACAAGAATTGATGATCAGCATTTATCTGGCTTGGTCAAATTGGAATAACAAACTAGTTTCATTACAATTCGAAATTATAAAGTAAATGTTGAAATTGTACAATACATGTTATTCAAAGTTCACCAGGGCTATAGAAAGTAGTTTGTATATAAAAGGTGCATGGGACAGCCCCAAAAGTAAAGCAGGATATGTGCTGGTTACACAGACCACTCATTCAGTAGATGATGAATCTGAGCCAATGTGTGCCAGAAGGAAAAGCAAACACTGGACACTACGCACATCTATTGAAGTTAGGAACCCGCAGTTGTCCGTAATTGTACATGATTAACATACAACTACATATAAAACATTATATTTGAGGAAACAGTGACGACAGAACGAGTTTAATGTTTCAGATTGCGATTGCAGATATCAGACATAATTATGGCTTATGTCAATACTGAAAGGATCTTAGGGATAAAGACTGCCACATAAATAGTTACATGACTAATGCATACTTGATATTCATAATTTTGGAACGAGTACATTGTGGATATGGTTTCTAGTGAACAATAACGACGATGGTAATGTTATCAAATGGAGGTAGTAACGCTATGACCCAAACACTAGATTAATAATTTAAAAAACCTAGACAAATCACATGTAAAACTTAGATCAACATAAGCTGCAGCTAAAGGCACAGGGTGGAAATCCCGTAGAGCAGCTTTATAATCTGCTAACTAACTAAGGCTAGCTCAACTGGGAGATTCTGAGAGCTTTACCCACTACAGGCTAATATCCGACAGTGGCTAGCACACATATGTACCGAGTGCGTGCCTATAGTTTTATTGGGCAGAGATAATGAGAGGATTTGTCGGACTCACCACACATGTTGTCTCCGGACTGTGCTGCGGGGAACGCCTGTCACTGCCGCTGCAGAAACACGGAACTGGACCTGAGAGCCGCGCTCTGATTGGTCGAGTCGTCTGCCAATCACACTGTTTCCGCAGACACGATATTTCTCCTGACGTGGCATCCATACATTATTCTATTTATTTGAGGGATATCAGAAACAACGCAGTGCCTCTGTTCAGTCCAGTTCAAGACTGAAAGCATCAACCACCATGTCCACCCTCTACTTGAGTTTCTCTGACTAGCTTTACACACTACACTAGTCCGTGTTGTCTCTAACACTGACTGTAGGAGAACATTGCTTTAAAAATGGCGTTACTTTTACAATATATAGATGTAATGTGAGTGGACCTTTAGAAAACGGAATGAACTCCCAAAGGACTCTTAGTTGAAAGAATGATATAACTTGATACCAGTGCCTTACACTGTAACATTCTGTGTTGGTGTCATCTCAATTAAATACAATTTGTGAGCACTGAACAATTGTATTAACGGCCTATGATACTTTTATTGTAGTGAACAAAAACAATGATACAAAGACAAGATAAAAAATGCGTGTTTATTGCTTGTAGATAATAAATAATGATCTGCTTTGTTGTCTTGATTTAATATAAGTCATCAAACCACCCAGATCTTGTCAACATCCAAAACAGTATACCTGGGGACTTCGTCTTGGACAACTATGATCTGGTATATCTACCAGATGTATACCATAGGTATTATGGTACATCTCTTCCCAGGAGGGCAGAAGAATGTATTGTGCAGACTTAAACTTCAGCAGCTTCCTCTTCATCTTCCTTTACCTTTCAAACAAGAAAAGTCAGTAACTGTACATGTACCTACGTTCAACATGTTTAAATGAATAACAAAAATGCAAACCTGCTCTACAGAGTCAACCTCTGGGACGTAAAACTGGAGCATGTTTTGGATGCCACTCTTCAAAGTAACAATAGAACTAGGACAACTCGTGCAGGAGCCTTGTAGTTTCAGTTTAACAACCCCATCCTCGAACCCCCGAAAGATAACATCACCTCCATCTTCTTGCACTGTAGGCCTTAAAACAAAGCAAAGTAAGCATTTAAAGATGGGGTATGTGTCTATGTAAAACAATCCATCTAGCTAGTAACTAAGTTGCTCTCAAAACAGTTTGATTTTATTAAGATAAGATCCTTTATTTGTCCCATAGTGGGGAAATTTCAATGTTGCAGCACACAGGAAAGTAGTAAGAGCACACAGGTATTACTAGTAGTACTAGTGATACCTGTAATACCAGTATTGTTTTCACATATTTTAGATCCAACTTTTTCAGACATTAAAGTGATAAAGAAGACCGCCATCACCAATAGTGAAGTGTGCAAAGATAACATGCGTGCTAATTTTGGTTTTTGTTCACAACATTTGACTTTCCAAGACTCTTTTTGTTGTACTATTTAATAAACAAAAAGGTTTGTTAGCCTTGTTTTAAAGGATAACTATGTAGCTTGTTGCTTTTGCTATAACCATATAACACCTGTACTGTTTCAAAAGAAGGGAAAACATAACCATCTTTTTATTGCTCAAAAAAACCCTATGAAAACAAGTGGGAAGCTGGCCAATTTAAATCAGGAAAATTACATACAGTACCAAATTCATATCTAAAGTAAAAGTAATAGTAATAGTAGATGTTGGATACCTTATTCTCGTATCCAACAACTCTTTAATCATAGCAACAATTTCGTCATCCTCATCTGATGGTGCTGAAATAGAACATAGTGAGATATGGTAGAATTACACTGTTTTAACTCAATATTATCTGTATATTACCAGTATCTGGACTTGGTTTGCTGTCATCATTGACCACTGGAAGTCCCGATGTGAAAAAATCCATAATGGCAGCAAAAACATCGGGCTTAATGACTTTCCATTGCATTTCAGCATCACCCTGGATGGTTTTTTTTATTATGTATGGTAAGAAACATATTAATTTGCACTAAACAGATAATAAACGTTTATTGATACCTTTGTTATAGTGATGAAATCCGGTCCAAAGAAAACACTTTTTACACCGTCTATTCGGAAGAGCTGTCTGAAAAGGAGCCCAAATTAACTATATGTGACCAACCAGGAACAATCTGAAACAATTGATGACTACCACAAGACATTTACATTTAAAATATGTTAGTATTAGATAGCAATATGGCCTACGTGCAGGACTCTACAAGGACTCTGATTATTTTGACTATGATGTGACTGTCTCTGTGTGACACGTACGTCTTTCGATGTGTGACGTGACAATGACTATATAAACTGTGTACTGCCTTTATTCTGTCTGAGAGAAAGAAACAATTGAAACTCCCTCAAAACAACCAGAGAATGGCACACACTGAGCCGCGCATTCTCCACCAAATCTGTCAGGAATTCAGCAGACAGAGACAGATCGTGGTGCGCCAAACTCTGGAAGTTTATTTAAGTTTCTCTCAAGTTCCAGTGGTTTCCATTGTTTCTTTCTCTCAGACAGAATAAAGGCAGTACAAAATAGTCATTTTCACGTCACACATCGAAAGACATACGTGTCACAAAGAGACAGTCACATCATAGTCAAAATAATCAGAGTCCTTGTAGAGTCCTGCACGTAGGCCATATTGCTATCTAATACTAACAAATATATAATGAAAAATAAATTTACCTGGCTAATGGTGAACAGTATGCATCACGAGGGCCTGCAAAATTCATTGTTCCTGAATCAAGAACAGTGCGACCTGGAAGAAACTTGAGGCTGTTTGGATTTGGAGTGTCTTGAGTCTGCACAAACATTGTTCTTCCTAGAGCCAAACAATAAATCAAACATTTAATCTGGGAATATCTATTGCAATGTGTTGGTATTTCAGAATAACTGACCAGGAACCATCCAGGGAATTGGTCGTGAAACAAGCCATTGAATTCTTGAGTTGTGAGATGGCCAGTGGAATTCAGCGCACTGAGGTCTCTTTCCAAGACTGCAATAGAAAACAAAGAAGACATAAGGAAACGGAAAGGTGATGAAATGTTATAACAGTACAAACCATAATGCTGCTTTGGGGAAACATTAGAAACCCATTTTAAACCAAATTTTATTTGGGCTTTTTTAATTATAACATTGCCACCTCAAAATCTCTACTGAAGAGTATACTTTGTCCTAAATGCTCAAATGATCTGTTATTGGAAATATGGTTTTCTACTTCATAAAAATGCCAGAATAGCACAGTGAATTTAGTAAATAAGGAGTATCTATTCAGTATATTATATAAAAATACTTCTTTCATATTCACCAAATAGGTCTATATAACAGACCAATCTATTATGTCCAAAAATGTGAAAGAAATGCCATTTTCATCAGTGACTACAATTTTATTTTTATTTTTTCAAATCTCAAAGTTTCATCAAAACTGCCTGTACATTTTGTCTCGATATGTAATATTTACAGTCTGAGTCTATGCTCTCTAACCAAACAATCACTATGAACAGTTTCATATGAGTGTCACTCATATGAAAGCACTTTTCCAATCTCCAGTCACCTGCTATACTTCCATTTGTATTTATCAAAAAGAGTAAATGAGCCCAAACGACAGTGCCTCAGCGTAGCTACCGGTGCTCCAATGGGTTCTTAAACAGAATCGGTGTAAATTTGACCGGCGTTTTAGATTAAAAAGATCATTATAAAAACAATGTCAGGGCACGGTCACTAGGATCTTCACAAACGAACTAGTGTAAGGTGGTATCGTAACAAATCTACATTATTCCATTACACAGCTACAACATTTCGTCAGATGATGTATCACCAACATTAACGATCTTACCCTCGCAAAATATTTGAAGAAATGCGCAGTAGAGGAGAGACATGTCTGAGGGACGCCATGTTTGTTTTGATAAACGCTGCATCTGAATTCAGCAACAAATAAAACAGCTCCTTCCTTTTACTTCCTCGTGCTTTTAAAAGTATTTTTTTTTAAATATATGGGTACAGTAAAATGTAACATATTATAAGGATATTTTAACGCAAGGAAGACCTCTTTTTTTACCATTAAAGGATGGTCTAGGAAGGATAAGAAAGGAAGTCTTTTATATGAAATTGGAAGCAGCCAAAATCCCCACGAGGAGAGGAGGATATGACGTAATATTTTGTACGCGAGTTAAAGTCGCCCCCTGTAATTTCTTACTATTTTCCCCTTAAATCTCCGTTAAAACCCGTTAAATTTATAATGCCTAGTGGAAAGAATTTTAGAAGGAGAAAAACCTCCTCGGATGATGAAGAAGATGAGACAACAGAAGCAGTCAGGTAACGCTACATCATCGTTTCCCGTAGCTTTGTTGTTATTACCTTAGCTATGATTAGCAACAGCACTAAAACGTAGACAAATTTGCTTGTGATGTAATGATAGAATTATTATCCTTCCCATTCTATTTTGAGCGGATGTAGGAAAAACAATGGAAGAAAAGGCAACTTGTGTGTGCAAATACGAACGAATGGAAGAAACAAGGCTTCCATGTGTCTTACTAAATAAATTGTTAGAATAAAAACTTGTTAATCACAAGTTATCGCATTACATTAATAATTTAAAAATACTATGTTGTGTGTCCTAGATCTAAACTGGAAGAGGCAAAAGAGCTCCAGAGTTTGCGCAGGCGACAGACCGGAGTCAGGTAAAGATAAGTTTTGAATGCAGTACGAAATTAATATCACTTAAAAAAAACTTTTCATTAGTGTCACAGCCTTGTTAGTTGGAGAGAAATTACCACCTGAAGCTGATATTGATGTGAGTAAAACTATCAATGTAATAAATATTCATTTATTTATTTGTGGCTGGCCCCTTGAGATGAATCATCTCTTTTTCGAGGGAGTCCGGAAAAGAGATTCATCAAATCATACAGAACGTTGAATTTAAAATTGTTTTATAGAATGATCCATTCAAGATGAAAACTGGAGGGATTGTGGATATGAAGAAAGTCAAAGACAGAAACAGAGACATGTAAGTTTGGATCAAGGCCTTTTATTTCATCAAAGATTAGTGTAAGTAAATGTGAACTTTTGTACCATTGGCAGGACTGAAGACGAGACCGATCTTAGTCTTGGCACTTCATTTTCAGCTGAGACCAACAGAAGAGATGAGGATGCTGACATGTAAGCTGTCTATGAACTATTTATATATCAACAAGTATTCACGATTACTTTTTTACAGGATGAAATACATTGAAACAGAATTAAAAAAGAAGAAAGGTTTAGTGGAGGATGAAGAACTGAAGGTAAAGGTGAAAAACGCAGAGGATCACCTGTATGAGCTGCCAGAGAATATCAGGGTCAATTCTGCCAAGAAAACGGAGGAGATGTTGTCCAACCAGATGCTGAGTGGGATCCCTGAAGTGGACTTGGGTATCGAGTAAGCGTACACTGAACTCTTTTTTTATTATTGTTTGAGAAGAAATTATTTTGTAATATAGAAACATTTTTCCAGTGCAAAAATCAAGAATATTATTCAAACTGAAGAGGCCAAGGCAAAGTTGTTAGCAGAGCAAAGAAATAAGAAAAAAGACCTTGGAACATCCTTTGTGCCCACAAACATCGCCGTCAACTATGTTCAACACAATCGATGTGAGTGGTGACGTACATTTGATTCAACCTTTGCATTTGCACTGTTCTAACGACTGTGTCCGATCCCTCCCAGTCTATCATGAAGATGCAAATGCTCCCCAAAGACATAACAACAGACACAAAGAGGAACCCAAAGCAAGACCGCTGCGTGTGGGAGACACAGAAAAACCAGGGCTGGAAGGTACGGGATCCCTCTCTCCACATTTCTATTCATAATACTGTCACATGTTTACTTAAATCACATGGTTCTTCTTTCATTTCCAGCTGTACCATCCCCTCCCAATGTTCGGAAACGCCCCAACAATGAAAAGGCCACTGACGACTACCATTATGAGAAGTTTAAGAAAATGAATCGTAGATACTGATCAGCTCAAAGTTTCATTAGAACTGAGGCTGCAATAAGTTGACAATGTTAATGTGTAAATAGTATCATTAGCTTTATTACCTGTTATGTTTTAAGTTAGGAGCCAGTAAATTGTGACCTGTAATAATGTTTTAACATGGATAAAAGTCTTTCCTTCTAGCTTGTTCATGTTGTATTTTTTTTTTCTTTATCAGTTTGACAATACAAAGGACACTGAATGCTACAAAGTCAAATAACTCACACTGGTGGTTGAGAGAATATACAATTGTACTCCAAAGGTTTGTCAGGGTTTTTCAGATGCGGTGCTGTGTCCATTGAGTTGGTGTTGCGGGTTTGAGTCTGGAGCTCCGTCCACCTCCTCTCGCTCCTCAGACGGGGAGCTACAGCTACTGTCGGGGGACGTCCAAGTGTCCGGGCGGCGGAAGGCTTCACAAAGGGGCACATCAGAGGTGTCCCACAGACTGTAGCTTTGCACAGCAGAAACCAGCAGGATGCAAAGAGGCAGCAGAGCAAGAAAGAGATGAGCAGACAAGAGCAGCAATCAGAATAAACCAGTCAAATGCAAACAATAAATAAACATGAAAGCGTGTTAAACTAGAGTACTGAATTCATACTAAACTCTTTAAAAAGTTTTAGTTCAGCAGAGAGTAGTAGTAGTTATGGTAAGGAAGCAGAAAGAATGTAAGGAAACCCACACTTGACATTCTCCATAAAAGTAGGTCCTGAAACTCAAAAAACACCAACTACAGTGATTTTGCTTATTTATTTGTTACATTTCAATGGACACAGCAAAATACAGCTTGAGCCATTTATGTTAATTTAACAAAGTCCCAAACAAAACTGTTCTGAAATATCCAGATTGAGTGGAAATGTAATGGATTTCTACTCAAAGGATTATCTTTATAGAATATAACCTGTTTCTGTGTATTAGAGCTTAATTATTGTGATTTACTACCAATACAAAATAAGAACTTAAATTATGCTATATTTCTTTTACCATTTAGAAAGAATATATTTAGAATATACACCTAAACCATTTTTGTTTTTAAATAACAGCAGCTCTGCCTGTCCACAGGTTTCACGCTTCTGTTTAAATCTCTGACATTGTCTTCATTCTTCACCCATGTATACACCCCAAGCTTATAAAGGTTCATGCTTAAGACATTTATAATACTTCATTTAAAATGTGTTAAAATGAACAATGGTATGAAAAGACTTCTCGTGAATGGGTGATAGTTCCTTTGACTTTAGGTGGTGAATGTAAAAACATGACGAAGCAAGAGACAATGGGGCACTAAAGGTGGGATGGGAGTGGCTATGATCCTACTTGTACCTGGAGGAGTAATATTCTTCTTCTAGCTCATAAAGGTCAATGGCGATTTCATCTCGGAGGGCCGTGAGCTTCTTGTCGCACTCGTCCTGCAGCGAGCGAAGCTGTTGGTTCTGGAGGCTGATGGCATCGTTCACGGAGGGAAAGTCGTTCAAAATCAGAAACTGTTTCAAATCAGACACCAGCTTCATCAGCGACTCTCCAGCACGGACCTGAGAAAGAATAACAAACCATACATGGCCATGGTATCCACTAACCAGCTAAGTTATAACTGTCTCAGCAAAAAAAAAAAAAATTTCTCTAGCTTTGACCAAAACATGTATGAAGTCATAATACATTCCCAATTGTAAATTTGTCTTTAAATTATTCCATCATAATTTGGGCAAAGCAACAGTTCAATTCATGTATTATTTCAACTACATCACCAAAAAAGCAAGTACAATTTCACTTAATTGACACATTGTAAAGCCCTAAATGGTTTAGGCTAATTTCAAAACTTAATCGGCCTAAACCTGGTATTATTTTAGTTCGAAAAAACATTTACTATACCTTTGGTCAAGACACTTTAACATTCTACAACATGTATGGACATTTATCAACATGTGTTCTATATTCTTTGTGTTTTAACTGTTGATTTGCTTATTCAATGGTTTTGTTAAGTCCTCTGAGATGACTTCTGTTGTGATTTAGGGCTATACAAGAATAAATTGTATTGTATTGTCAAAACCACACCAAATATGAGAACTTTATTCGGCCAAGACCAAAAGATACCCCTGGCCCGTTCTGTCATGTTTAGTCTGCTGGCATTCTCTTCGAAGCACTTTATGGAGTCAATGTAAAGTGACAGTACTTTACATTAAAAGTAAACTAAGATGTACTTACGATGTTGGCCGCTCTGACGTGCATTTCATAATGATCTTGCTCCGCTTGAGTTGGTCGAGAAACCTGCGTCTCCTCCTCAATCTGACACACATTTGATTTGTGTTATTTCCATGTAATTGTACAATACGTTTATTTGTATAGCACATTTTCATACATACTTTGGCGGTTTTTATGATTTCTGTGAAGTTATCCAGGATGGACTTGATGTCATCTTTAAGGCGTTTGTTGTAATTTTGTAAAAGTGTTTCTTTGCTTTGAGGAAGGACTCGTTGGGAAGCCATTGCACTGACTAATCTTTTGTTACCGAAATAATGCAATAAATGGTTTTCACGGCGCAGTTACAGGAGACGGTGCTCCATTCGGTAAATAACATGAACAGGACGCGGATCAAGACTCACCAAAAGCGTGAAAGCAAATAAAAGATTTGGCTTTTTTCAGACATAAGTACATTCCATTCAAACCCCCGTCTTTAGAGTCATAATAACAATACATTTATATTTATGACTTTTTCACGCTACTCCAAAGCCGCCATTTTTACTTTTCTTACTCTGTAGTTACAACATGAGCGCTGTCATCACTGAGCGCCCTCTAGCGTTTTATTTAATCTATAAATATAAATTAATCAAGCATTACTTTATAATGATATATACAGGCCCGTCCTAAGGGCTGTGCGACCTGTGCCGTCGCACAGGGCCTCGCACCACACAGGGGCCTCGCAATCTTCCTTCCTTTTATTTTATTTTATAAATACACTAGTTCAAGGGTCCCCAAAGGGCAGACTGCACTCCAAATTTGGAACCCTAAACCCCTTTCTCTGGACCTCTTTGATTTCGTTTGATCAAAAGAACATTTTTACAAGTAAAGTCAAATTTTCACCAAAAGCGATTTGTAAACAGGCAGGCGCGCGGGCAGCTATGTATGCAACGGGTCCTCCGAAAAAACTGTCAGATAACTTTAGCAGTGTCTGAGTGAGATACAAAGAAAGTAACGGGAATGATCGCAGTGTAGGAGAGATGGATACTCGCGGAGGAGGAGCAGTGAGACAGGTGTGAGCAGAGGAGCAGACCCCTTTGTGTGAGCAGAGGAGGAGGAGGAGGAGGAGGAGGAGGAGCAGTGATACAGGTGTGAGCAGAGGAGCAGACCCCTTTGTGTGAGCAGAGGAGGAGGAGTTCGGTAAAGTTAGCTTGATATTCACAGATTCGGACTTCCGCGGTGAATATCTTACGAAAGCTACGTTGTTAAACGAAAGTAATTGTGCCAAAATGATCACCTCTACATGGGCTAACTACTACAACATCGATTTTTCTAATCCAATGCGCTGTTTTAATGCAGAGAAATCCATTGAATCCAATGCGCCGCAAGTGCCGAGAAAAGCACTTAGGGAGCGTCAACAAATGCCAATACCAGCTGTGTAAACGAACAATAGTTTTTATTTTAAGCCAAGTACACGCACTAAACTCTCAAATACTATAAATAGCTACCATATCTAACTACTACAACCTTTGTTTTCAGCATTTGTTTCTTTTTTGTATTTTTTATGAATAAATAGGATTTAATATGAATATGAATTTTGAATAACTTTTTTTCAAAGAGGGGCGTGGTCACCAAATTCTCAGGTATGATCAATAACTGCCATATCTAACTACTACAACTTTTGTTTTCAGCAGAAATATCTTTTTTATATTTTTTATGATAAAATATGAATATGAATTTTGAATAACTTTTTTTCAAAGAGGGGCGTGGTCACCAAATTCTCAGGTATCATCAATAACTGCCATATCTAACTACTACAACTTTTGTTTTCAGAAGAAATATCTTTTTTATATTTTTTATGATTAATATGAATATGATTTTTGAATAACTTTTTTTCAAAAAGGGGGCGTGGTCACCAAATTCTCAGGTATCATCAATAACTGCCATATCTAACTACTACAACTTTTGTTTTTCAGAAGAAATATCTTTTTTATATTTTTATGATTAAATATGATGAAATATGACTACAAATCTTGAATAACTTTTTTTCAAAAAGGGGCGTGGTCACCAAATTCTCAGGTATCATCAATAACTGCCATATCTAACTACTACAACTTTTGTTTTCAGCAGAAATATCTTTTTTATATTTTTATGATTAAATATGATGAAATATGACTACAAATCTTGAATAACTTTTTTTCAAAAAGGGGCGTGGTCACCAAATTCTCAGGTATGATCAATAACTGCCATATCTAACTACTACAACTTTTGTTTTCAGAAGAAATATCTTTTTTATATTTTTTATGATTAAATATGAATATGATTTTTGAATAACTTTTTTTCAAAAAGGGGCGTGGTCACCAAATTCTCAGGTATCATCAATAACTGCCATATCTAACTACTACAACTTTTGTTTTCAGAAGAAATATCTTTTTTATATTTTTTATGATTAAATATGAATATGAATTTTGAATAACTTTTTTTCAAAAAGGGGCGTGGTCACCAAATTCTCAAATATAATCAATAACTACCATATCTAACTACTACAACCTTTGTTTTTTGTATTTTTCTCTTTATATTTTTTGTGATGAAATATGACTACAAATCTTGAATAACTTTTTTTCTAAAAGGGGCGTGGTCACCAAATTCTCAGGTATGATCAATAACTACAATATCTAACTACTACAACCTTTGTTTTTAGCAGAAATACCTTTTTTCATATTTTTTATGATTGAATCTTCAATGGCTTTTTATAAATGGAGAAGAGTCCTTTACGAGGGTTAACAGGAGTATGAATTAGACAGACTCTAATGTTTTAAAACATTTATTAAAGATTGATTTGTATGTGAAGGTGCGGACCTGTAAAGGAAAAGAGTGTGAGTTAAGGAAAATGAATAAATGTACAACATTTAAATATACTTATCTTTTACTCCCTTGTCTGCCCTCTTTAGGCGTTCCGGCCAAATAAGTCCTGAGGAGCCGGAGCACCTAAAGAGGATTCCGGGTTCATCCACTCTGCAGAGAGGGTGGAGGGGTTTCCTGGGTTTTATCTTTCCAGTTTAGTATAGTTTTAGAATAAATAAATCATTTGTAAATTTAAATAATAATAATAAAAAGAGTGTAAAAGCACTACTTTAATTATTGCTGTAGGGCTGCAGTTAGTATTGCTTAATTACTGTCATATGCTATAAAAGCAGGCCACCAACTCTGAACAGAGAGAGTGTTGCATGACATGCTGTCCAATGTAAATAAACCTGCACCCTGGGTGTGCACTTTGTTCCTCCAACATCTTCATAAGTGCCATCCTGACATGACAAGTGTCACAATCTTCAATAAATTTTGTTCTAAAAGGGGCGTGGTCACCAAAATCTCAGTTATAATCAATAATTAACATATCTAAGTACTGCAACCTTTGTTTGCAGCATTTATCTCTTTGTTACATTTTTATGATTAATTATCAATCTTCAATAGCTTTTGTTCTAAAAAGGGGGCGTGGTCACCAAATTCTTCAGAATGTGATAAGAGAGCAGTGTTGTGTCCATTGCACAATGGTATGTGATATTTGATAATTGTATATACTATGTGTATTTGCATATTACTCATAAAATAATGAAATGTAATTCCTGTTACAATAGAACATTATTTTATCTCCGTAGCAGTGGAACTGGACCACATCCAGCTTTGTGGAATCAGCTTCAACACCACTGACAAACCCATGAGATATTTTAATTATTGGTTATACCTGAGAATTTGGTGACCACGCCCCTTTTTGAAAAAAAGTTATTCAAGATTTGTAGTCATATTTAATCATAAAAAATATAAAAAAGATATTTCTTCTGAAAACAAAAGTTGTAGTAGTTAGATATGGCAGTTATTGATGATACCTGAGAATTTGGTGACCACGCCCCTTTTTGAAAAAAAGTTATTCAAAAATCATATTCATATTAATCATAAAAAATATAAAAAAGATATTTCTTCTGAAAACAAAAGTTGTAGTAGTTAGATATGGCAGTTATTGATCATACCTGAGAATTTGGTGACCACGCCCCTTTTTGAAAAAAAGTTATTCAAAAATCATATTCATATTTAATCATAAAAAATATAAAAAAGATATTTCTGCTGAAAACAAAAGTTGTAGTAGTTAGATATGGCAGTTATTGATGATACCTGAGAATTTGGTGACCACGCCCCTTTTTGAAAAAAAGTTATTCAAGATTTGTAGTCATATTTCATCATATTTAATCATAAAAATATAAAAAAGATATTTCTGCTGAAAACAAAAGTTGTAGTAGTTAGATATGGCAGTTATTGATGATACCTGAGAATTTGGTGACCACGCCCCTTTTTGAAAAAAAGTTATTCAAAAATCATATTCATATTAATCATAAAAAATATAAAAAAGATATTTCTTCTGAAAACAAAAGTTGTAGTAGTTAGATATGGCAGTTATTGATGATACCTGAGAATTTGGTGACCACGCCCCTTTTTGAAAAAAAGTTATTCAAAAATCATATTCATATTTAATCATAAAAAATATAAAAAAGATATTTCTGCTGAAAACAAAAGTTGTAGTAGTTAGATATGGCAGTTATTGATGATACCTGAGAATTTGGTGACCACGCCCCTTTTTGAAAAAAAGTTATTCAAGATTTGTAGTCATATTTCATCATAAAAAATATAAAAAAGAGGCAAATGCTGAAAACAAAGGTTGTACAAGTTAGAAGTGTTAGTTATTTATTGTGTCCTAGAGTTCTGTGCGTGTACATGGCTTCAAGTAACAGCTATTGTTCGTTTACAAAGCTGGTATTGATACTTGTTGACGCTCCCTATGCGCTTTTCTCGGCACTTGGATTGAATGGATTTCTCCGCATTAAAACAGCGCATTGGATTTGAAAAATCGATGTTGTAGTAGTTAGCCTAAGTAGAGGTGATCATTTTGGCACCATTACTTTCGTTTAACAACGTTGCTTTCGTGAGATATTCATGGCGGAAGTCCGAATCTGTGAATATCAAGCTGACTTTACCGAACTAGGAGGAGGAGGAGGATCAGCGGTGTGACAGGTGTGTGAGCGCTGCTATTGCCAATGTTTAGTCCGAATATCCACATCAAAAACATATTTTTAAAAGCATTAGCAAACACACTGTATGTCTAGCTTTAGCTAGCTGGAGTGTTTTTGTTGTGGTCAGAGTGTGTGGAGGAGGAGGTGAAGAGTATTTTGTTGTTGTCAGTGTGGAGGAGGAGGAGTGTATGTTGTCAGAGTGTGTGGAGGCATGGCAAAAACGTTATTTGATGAGAAAATAATAATATTGACTCCGCCTCATAGCCATTTTGGCGCATTTTGCCCAAATCTAACTATTAGAAGAAAAAGACTCCTTTTGGTTCAATCTTTTGAGTTGCTCTACCATTTTGCCACAGGACGAAAGAGACATGTCAGCTAAAAAGACCGCGACCAATATTGCACGTAGAGTGTGTGTGCGTGTGTACGTGCGCGCGCCAAACGCTGCATAGGAGCGAAGACACTCGGTTACGCGCGTGCTGATCTCGTCAAGCACCGCGCGAGGTGGTGCTGAATTCATGTCAAAGATTATAACAGGAAAAACTTTCCTCAGATCTGGGAAAAAAGTGTCAGGGCAGGGCCTCGCGTTTCGAGTTCGCACAGGGCCTCGCACCCCCCTTGGGACGGGCCTGGATATATAATACGTACATGTATAAGTGTAATATATATAATACACATGTGCATAAGAGTATACAGAGAAACATGTAATATGTACAACAATAAAACAAAAGACGCGAGTAGATGCATGGCTTCAGTATTCACTTTAATACATGATTTTAGGTAGGATGCGCGTCATGAAAAAATATGTTCAACATGTTTTCTCAATAATTTCCTAAAGCATAGGCCAGTGTTTCCTAATTACACCACGAACAACACCCATACTTGTATTGAACCGCTGTTGTGGAGAAAAGGAAGTCCGAGTACTCTTCAGTTCCAAATTGGGTGAGGAATTGGGGAATAAAATATAATCTGGCTACTGACCTAGTCAACTGTATGTGTCCAAATACCTAGAGTAGACGGCCAATAAAGGGGCTCTTTCTCAGTGACAACAATGTGTAGTCTTCATTCTTCATGTCAGGAAGGCATTTTCAGGTTGCATACCTTAACATACATCTACAGGACCTTGCAACAAAAACAAACTTTGGACAAAAAAAAGGATGGATCCTTTTTTTTTAAAATGCTATTTTGCAAAAGATTTGAAGAATAACAGACACATCTTAAGAGAGGCACATTTCTGGTTTAAGCTCTGACCAGTACATTCACAAACATCTCACTCGCCTATCACCCGGGGTGTGACTGCATACAAGATTTGCAGAATGTTTCAGCATACACATATAACAATAAGAGTTTGCATAAGTCATTCAAGCTAAATGTAACTACCATACATAAATGCAGTTGTTCATTGGAAGGAACGAGAAAAAAAAAAAAACGATACAAAATGTGAATATAAATGAAGTTAAATGCATTTCATTGTCCTCCAGTCTTTCGGAAATTACATTAGCATCTGTATCCAGCATATTGTTAAAACACAATCTCTAAAGTGCAACTCCGAAAGATGATAGTTGCAATCAATAGAAATATTTGACATGGATGTACTTGTCATTTCATTACTTGTAGTGATAGCTGATCACTTTAATATTCCATCAGTGTGCCATTGCAAACCCAAAAAAAGAGGTAGAAAAATCTATAACACAACCACCACATGCTCAGCTTGTGAAGTACCATGAAGACAAATCATTATAATTATAATCAGTCAATAACCGATTCTAAAATTACATTGTAGTACTGAGAGATCCATGCAGGCCTGCGTCTACAGTGGCAGTAATGACCACATGCAGGGCTCTGACTTTGCATAACTGATATAGATGCGTCCTTGTCAAATTAGTGCTTATCAAGGCTTTTCCTGTGGCCCCTTGACGTGGAAGGGTGCAGAGACAAAAGGGTCTCCGGAGCTGCTTTCTGAGGTCCATGAGTGTGATGGTGCTACAGGGACAAAGCCTACGGGGGCCGGTCTGCTCACTGGACTTGGAGCTGGCTGTTGTAGAACTGCCTCCTCAAAGTGACGGGAGTATTTGGCCAAAGCTTGTGGACGGAAAGGCTGTGGAGTGACGTTTCCAAGGACATTGGGTTCAGCGGCTGCTTGTGTATATTGATTTACACTGCTCACCGATGTAGACTCTTTTCTTTTCCCAAACGGAGCCTGAGCAAAGACATCAATGGGCAGCTGTGCAGAATAAGGCCGTGGAAATGGAGCATTGGCAAAGACATCACTAGTGTCTTCTTCAAGTGCAGTCCGAAACGGGGCATTTGTGAAAACATCTGCCGGGGCGGGTGGCGCAGGAGGGGCAGAAGTGTGCTGACTGTGGTTGAGGTCTGCTGGAGAAAAAGCCACAGGAGGCAGTGATGACTCTGCAGTGTAAGGAGGAGCGTCTTCCTCCTCAGAGTCCATCAACAGAGGCCTAGAGCCACTGCAGTCGTGGGCAGACTCTCCACTTTGCTCCTGTTTGGGCTCCTGTTGATCCTCATCACTCGAATGGACACAGCCATCATCAGTTTGAAGCTCGGAAGTTTCCACCTCATGCCCTTCAGCGAGTACAGAGTATCCATTACCTTCAGCTTGGAGATCTGCAGGCAGAAGATGTTCAAGACATTAAAACAAAATAAAGTTAAGAATAACTTCAATATATTTGTAATATAGGAACAGCACATTTTCTCCATCGCTAAAACAAAGCACCCGGAATAAAACTACAGCACAGGAACAACATGTAGGTCTCTGTTCTAAATGAACAAACCAGTGCTACAATGACAACATCAAGAACATTGCTTCCACACATTTGTCTTAATCCGCAATTAACGTAATTACATAGTCTTGATTTAAAGCAGTGCTTCTCACAAAGTTCCAATAAAGACAATATTTGTCCTGAGAACAACCAGATCAGACCAGTAAACAGACAGGGTTTGCGTGGAAACAAAGTATTGAGCGGACAGGGAGCAGCAGTGATACAGACTGCACACACATGGTTCTTACCTCAGCAGAGTGAAGCAGGAGTTACAGCCATCTCTTGGAACAAGTTGTGTTTAATACTGCATAAACATCTTCTTTTCACTCAGTACAATAAAAAAGCACTGGTCTTAACGTCAATGATTCAGTCAAACTTAAGTCTATTCATAATTGTGAGCTTTATTCACTTTAAGCTGTGACAAAAATAGAAGTACACACTCAAAAAACGTGACTGGCATCTGCCGCTGTTGATTGATGTGTTTCACTGAGAACACTATTTTAATTCAACCAGCACAACAAAAGGATCACTTGCACCAAAGCAGAATAAAGACTACAGACCTCCCTGTACTTAAAATGAAAACATTGCATAGAAGAGTCATGAAGACACTGCAACGTTACTCAATAAAAAACTGTTTTGAAAGCTATGATACACCATACTCTGTATAGTGAAACACAATATCTTCAGATGGCATTAGTGCAATTACAATGTGACATAAGTACAATTACTAATTTAAAATAAAAGCAAACAAGTTTTATAGCAGCTGCAAGTGCTTAAATAATAAATAAAGCATTCCAAGATAATCTGTGTACCTGAAATATTGATCAAATACTTTTCATACTTTGACCAAGCTCACCCTGACGTCTATGGAAAATGCACAAAGATTACGGTTGCCAAAAAAAAAACTTCATGATATACTTGTCAAACATCCTCCACAGAGTCTGAACAATAGTTCGGCAAAAATGAAAAAGAAATCCACTATATTGAGTAACTTTAAAAGAAAAAAAGATACAAAATAAATAAAAAAATAACACTGCCTATCCTGTCTGTCGTATACCTAAAATTTCTAAAAAACTACATGTTTATTCACACAGAAATCAGCACAAATCTCAACCGTTTCAAAGAAAATATATTCACCCAGATACTAAAATGGATCCACAGGACTCATTCAAAGCTGCTGAGTAAAACATGCTGTCGACATCTCAATTAAGTTGTTAATAATGGGGCCTTTATACTGTGTACACATTTATCAGATTATTATTACCATTATTGTGAACCTGAAAGACACAGCTCCGCATATGTTTGCCACAACACTTACAGCAGCACATGGTTTTGAATGCAAAGCGAGTTCAAGCATCAGGACAAAGTGCATTTTGAATAGGCCCAATGCATTTGACGAAAAATGTCAACATGAATGTGCACGTAAAAGACTTCACAATGGCAGTGCGGCAATGAAAAGGAAAGTATGAGCAAAGAATGATCAGAAGCCAACAAGTCCAGGCTTTGTTTAGTTGTAATGAAGCAGAGATTATGAAGCCATTTTATCATCAGGCAGCAAGAGATGGAGTGGAGTCCCATCTAAAAATAGTCCAGAACAATCTAATTAGTTTCTCTTGGTTTTTAAAGTTGCTACATGGAGTGTTCCTGTTTTCCTAGCCTGGCCCAGCCCTGTTTTAAGCTTTGCATTGGCCCATTCCTCCCACCGCCTCTAGAGGTCGATGAGCTGATCCACCAGCAGGAGGGAGCGGGCCAGGTTGGGGATGCTGGACTCAGATGTGCCACTGTTGCTGCGCGAGTGACCACCTGAAATGTGCCAGAAAGAAAGAGGGGAGACCGAACAAAAGGAGAGATGGAGCCAAAGGGGAGTGTGAAAGCAAAAAGTTAATATTTATAAATAAATTAAGAAATTAATGTGTGATGATTATGGCAGAAGAATGCATGAACGGAGGGGCAGAAAGAGGGAAAAACACAGGCAGAGTGTGAGCCGGGATCAGTTTTATACATATGCATTAATACAGGGAGAGAAAAGGGAGACCATTGTAACTTGAAGATAAACTAGGAGCAAAACACCTGCAGGTAATGGAGCTCTGGACGTACAACGGGAAATAGCGCTAAATAATGGGTTGATGAGATGCGAAGCAAAAAGGTCAGTGACTCCCAAACCTTTTGTGGCCCAGTACTTTCTATATTCTATAGATGTTTCTGTAATCATTATACATCAGTTATCAATCTAGAACATTCCCATCTATGTAGAGCTGCAACAAACAGACCAATTATCTAATAGAATGTATACATTATATTTTAACACATTACAAAACATGTGATTTTTATTTGTAGTTCTATGGATAGTTTTACTCACCAACTAGAGTAGAACATTTCAAATTACTTATACTGTACAACCTTTATCATTAGTTGTTGCCTTATATGACTACTTTCTCCTGCATTTTTCATCATGTAAATGTAGTTACAGAAACATCAACGATGTAAAATTAATAATGTAAAACCCCAACCACTCACGCCCCTGATGGGGAAACACTGGCCTTGTTGACAATATGCATGACATTCGCAGCTTGTTATCTCTAAGCTATATTACTCGTAGGGAGACATTTACAAGGGCAGGTAATGAAAACAGACAATCCGCCCAAGATCCTCAGTTTTGATTGGAGCTTACCTTGACTTGTGTTTTTGGAGACGAGAACAGGAATAGGGTCAAACTCATCATTGTTGCCCCCACACGACAAGAGCAGAGAAGAGTCTGAGGTGATTAAGGAGCAAAGACGTGATAAAGAAAAGAGGGCAATACAGAATGAGAAACCAAGCAGAAAGTATACAACGTGCATTTTTTCAGGCTTTGATCCACATACCAGCAGACGCTTGGTTGGTCAGCTGCTCGTCTGGGCCGGATCTAGAGCCCAGGTGATTATTAAGAGAGGAAACACACTGGTTTTGGTGAGGAGGAGAGTGAGACAAGAGGCCCAGAAGAGAGGCATCCCCAGTGAGAGGGTCTGATGCAGCCAGGAGCAAGCACAGGGACAGATGGAGTTACCGTTAGTTTAGCAAACCACACATTATATCAGGCAAAACATGAGAGGCTTGTGTTAGTCGTCAATGAACACAAACAATGCTGTGTCAATAAGATAGACAGATTCCTTTTGTATTTCTACCTCTTTATTTAAACCAGCATCAGAAGCAGATCGAGCCACCACTAAATACTGGTCTGTTACATATGATGACAGGATCCTAATTGAAGCTAATTTTCAAAACAAATGTGTAACTATGCAATGAAATCCATCTAACTAGTAACACTTTGGTTCCATTTTCACATGTCTTATCTTTAGATCAGCTTTTTGAGACAGAAACATTAAAAATAGAGGATCACCCTCAGTCTGTAAATTTCTCCAGTGTGAGATCAAAATAATAATTACAGTAACAATTATATGTTTGATCAATTGAACGCACAATATCTCAGAAGGGCTGTGCAACTGTATGTGGTGAGCTAATTGCATTTGTGAAAATGTTCAGTGATATGAATTGCTCCTCCTTCTCAAATAAATAAATATATAAATAAATAGCTGGTATAGTATACAGGAGAGGAGTCACTCATGAATTCATTCATTTGTGAAAAAGTACATTGGCTTAGGACAGGTGGATATCTGTGCCTTTACCAACAAACTAAAAGAACAAAAGCAAAGAGGGGGTGTGGCATGAGGAGTGGGATTACTGTAACTTTTCACTTTTAACACCAAGCTTTGTCTACACATTTAACAAGCTACCTTGAACGCCAGAGGAGCACACGCCTGGTCGCTGTTGTGATAGTGGAGCTTCTAAACCAGGAATTAGTGAGTCCACACATACCTCAGTTTTCGCTACACAAGAAAAAAATCAACCCAATTTATTAAAACACATGATGATTATAGTATGAGAGATGGTAACAGCAGGGAGTCAGGAAAAGCAGATACCATTAGAGCAGCTCTCAGAGGAGGTTTTAAAAGGGTCGGCCGGGGTTAAGAGGCCAGGGAGAAGCAGCGAGTTTTCAGGGGACATCAACCCCTCAATCAGTTTCTCTGTGAGGCAGAAATAGAAGAGTGGAGGAAAGCAAAGAGGGGAAGAGAGAGTAAAGTTCAGTTAGCCATGTTCATATTTCCAACTGCAGCTACACACCGGTCAAAGAGAAGTCAGTCGCACAAATGTTTCTGAACATCGATCCGAAGGATTTGTTCCACAAAGCAAAGGCACGACCAGTGGTATCAACTTAAAGCCGGGGTACCTAAATGAACAGGAATAAAACCCATCCGACAAGTTCCTCGCCTTCAAAACGGCTTGGTTCTAATCACTTGCTCGCATGCGAGGCTTGCATGTGCATGTATCATAGGCCTCTGTCTTCTGATTGCCTTTTTCTTAGGGAGAAGTGATCATAACACATTTTCTAATAAGATGAAGCCAGCATGTTGGATTTGTTACACTGCTATTAGTAAAATGAAACGCATTAGATATAAGAATTAGGTACCCTAGCTTTAACAGTGAAAACTCAAGGTAACAACAGCATTAGTATTATTAGTAGGGCTGCCACTAACTTATTTAGCCATTTGATTAATGTACCAATTACATATTTGATTACACAAGAGGTTCGAGAACAGATTTAACCAAATGTGACAGATAATGTGAAGATGAAGCCAAAGTAGCTAGACAGAATGTACCCCTGTCATTTTGATACAAGACTTGCCTTTTCGGAGTCATTAAACAGTTATATTCCCATGAAATCATATTTTATTGGAATAATTTATGTTGTCATTATTACTATATAATTCCATTACAATCGATTATCTCAATCGATTCATTAAAAAACACAGTACGTAGAATACATGGTCTCAATAAGGTCACTACAAATACAACTAAACCATGAGCTGCCAGTGTGTTTATTACAACCAGAACACTCGGCTGCTCAGACTGAACTGACTAAAACAGATATTGAAGTTTAGACTGAGCTGTGGCAAAAATCGAGAGATCAAGACACCAATCATTTATCAATATGTCATAACCTTTGACATTAAATGTTTAAAAATGTAATCTGAAATCAAGATTGTCAGAATGAAGAACTACTTTATTTTATTTTTTCCCCCATATCAACTAATCAAACGGGATTTCACCAAAGATCAAAGAAACTGGCAACCCAAGGAGAGGCTGCTTTTGCTTTTGCAAAAATTTGGCCAGTGTCCATTAAGTTATTGAATAATAATATATTTAAAGATGTAATTTTAAATCTTACATTTCAAAAGGTAACCATATTTCAGGTAAATTATTAAGTCAACAAGTATTAGATTTATACAAACAAACATTCCATCTCCCATGCTGTATTTCACAATCGCTTTTGGATGCATCTCATACTCACAGAAACATTAGAGGAGGAATATGTTGGTCACACAATGGTACAGCAGATGTGACCCTTTGCTCCTTCCAATAAAGATAAGAAGTAAATTTTATACAAGATCCAAAATAGTTAGAAAGCTAATTCAGCCTTGTGAGGGCTAGCGGTAATCTGGTACAGTTAATCCAGGCTTCACAACAGACTTTAAAAGCAGATTACTATGCCCTGGTTATGTAACAAGTCCAGTTTTATCCAGTCGGTTCAGGACTTAAGTGACAACACCAAGTTTTCACAGTGCAGTAGGCTTAAGTGAGCCCTTTTCAGTCTACAGCGGTGTTCTATGCATGTTCCACCAGCAACACAAAAATAAAATTAACAAAGAAGAAGTTGTCCTTCACGTTTCCAAGCAACAGCCAAAATTCTGCTAAAGAGATGAGTCCATGCTCACTATCCAAGTGTCAGCTCTACATTGAACGGACTACTAGATACTGGGAAGTCTCCAAAGGCCTTCAAAGCGCTCTTTAAAGCATTACTTCTTTAAAGCAAACATCATACTATTATCTTTATAAATAAACAACCAAAAATGCATTAACAATATGGCCACCACTTTCAAGGTTTGCTAATGAACAAATATCACTTCATTATTATCAGTTAAAACAAAATAAGCAAAAACGTATTTTATAGCAGTAATTACACTTTTCTATGGTGAAGTAACATTAACAGCAAAAATTTGACAAAATGCAGTTAGAAATAATGATATAAAAATATATGAAAATGCTATACCTGGAAATGCTTGAATCCCAGAGATAATATTTTCACTGGAGCCAGAGAGTTTCTCCCCTGATAGACCAGCTGCACACACAAACAAACCAACAGCAGTTAGATTGATTACACTTTACAATTTAGCATTTATTCTTAAAGGAACACTCTTACTTTCTGCAAGTTTTGCAAAGTCTTTATTTAGAAGTTCTTCTGCTGTAAGCTTTGAGAAGTTATCATCTCCAAAAGGGTTCCAACCGGAGTGACTGTTGCCTGTGGGGTGGACTGCTGCGCTGCTGCTGTCGGGTGCGTGGTACACACTTTGTTGGGATGAGCAGGGAGAGCCAGAGGGAGTAGTGCTAGCAGATCTACACACATAATAACACACATTAATAAAACAACATTAATGTACATCTACGGTTAAGGGAGACCAGCTTAGTCCAGTTAAGTCTCCTTTAACTTAAAAACATACATCTAAAACCCTGGGGAATATTAATTTAAATGCACACCCCTTGGCTGGGCCTTTCTCCTGAATGAGGTTGCTTATGAGTCGGAGATGTGAGGGGTCATTGTACTCACTTGGACTTGATGAGGCTGGCTTCAGCTGCTGCTGCGTGAAGAAGCTGGGTGGAATGGCTAACAGGAACCCCAAAAATAGTGCTGTGAGTGACATCACTCAGGATTCGCCTGTGTCCACTTTTTTGAGCCATCTTTGGTGATGAAGGCGGTGTCAAGGAGCCAGCTTTGTGTACACCTCGGCTCTGAAAAACAAATGTTGACAGTGAGATAGACGAAAAGTCAAACCACAGCAAAAATAAAAAGAACATACAGTACATCTCAGCATGCACCCAATAGAAAGAGTACAGTAACCCGGAAGCCAAAAATCATTATTGGAGAGTGGACAGTAAAAAGCTTCTGATTATTATATTAGGTAGGGCAAAGAAACCATCACAAAGCTCTCTCCCACTTGCTGTCCCAAATAGGAAAGGAATTTGCTTCAGACAAGATATTTCTGATCCCGGCAGAAAGCAGCAGACAGCAGCATGACGTTACCACAACTTCCACATTCGCTCCAGGAGCAACAGCTGCAGACTCTGGAATTGTAGTGAGATGAGGAGGCTCAGGCACCAACTCGTGTGCAGAGCAAATGAAAGCAGCGTGCTGCTTTTGCTGCTGCTGGGACACTTTAGCTCTGGACTGCAGCAAAGTGGACGCCAGAGAGGCACTTTTACGAAGATGGACAGTCTGTGCCACAGAATGCTACATATAAATTTCAAGTCATATAAATGTTTACTGTGACAAAAGGTTCATACGTCTCAATTTCTTAGTGACAAATATAAATAAAAAGTAGACTTTGAGCTCATTACCTGCTGGTTACTTCCGGGGCATAAAAATGAATTGCCGTGCTGTTGCTTCATTAGGAGATGCTGATGTTGTGGTGTAGTCTGTGGCTGCACATTATCTGGCTGCTGAGCTGACTGTGACCCAGGCTGAACAGCTGCAGTGGCTAAAGATGAGACACCACCTAAAACAAACAAATTAATAAAAACAATATGATCAAAGTCCACCATAAATCACTGCATCTTGTACCTGGTCCACCAGTGGACTTTTTGCGCGGTGTGGCTGCAGGCTGAATGGAAAGCATGCCAGAAATTGGTTGAGGTTGAGCCTGGCCGGCTTTTGGTCGCTGCCGTGGAGCAATTGAGGTTTCCAGGGTGGGTACAGGGTCTGTAAGTCTAAAACTGCACGAGTTAATACATCATCTGAGGACTTAATCGTCAAGTACTTGGATGTAATCTCACCGAGCTTTGGTTTGACTCTTTTTGGCCATAGCTTCACTGGCCCTGATGGGTTCAGGAAGTTTTGCAGGAATGAGGGAATTCTACAACAGTGACATTGAATCATAATTAGTTTACACGCTCATGTTTTCTACGATGAAGAGTTGGCTCTAAATGAGGGAAGGGTCTATCATTACTTACATGCATATTTGGGACAGGACATTCTCGCCTGGCCAGTTTAAAGGCAAAGTAGGACACTTGATAGATGTCAGGTCTCTTTTCAGGGTCAGGTTCAAGCATGTATCCTAAAGAAGAAAAACAGTTATCAATAATGAAAAACATCACTACATCAAACAAAATTCACTCACTGATGAGACAGTGCATATCCTGAGAATACCGAGAATAGTCTGGGATGGTGAAACTGCCATCACAGATGGCTACTGAACTCTCTCCAAAGGGGAGTGAGAAGAAGCAGAGCTTATACAGTAAACACCCCATGGCCTGGAACAACAAACAACATTCATTATTGCCAAGTGTTCAATAATGAAATGAGAGAAATGTGTTCTTTGCACTATTTTAGTTTTACCCAAATGTCTGCTTTTGTAGTAATAACAATTCCACCATAGAGGTTAACCATCTCTGGGGCCCGGTAAGACAAAGTAGTGTATCTAAAGACAGAGAAGCAGAGAATTCATGAGTACATTGACATTTCATGGGTCAAAAAGAAAGGATGTTTGAAAGCCCAAACTCACTTTTTGATTTCCTCCTCCACAACAGCCACTCCCTCAGTCTGAGGGTTCTGGAATCGGTTAGTTGCACTTCCAAAGTCACAGAGCACGTAGTGTCCTCGGTCATGTAAGAGTATGTTTTCTACCTGATGGATAGATTCTTTTATTTAATCTGTTTGACCAAGTTATCTTTAATTATAAATTACCTTAAGATCTCGATGGATGACTGGGGTTTTGCACTGATGGAGACGAGAAACAGCTTCACAAGTGTCACAAAAGATCTGCAAGACCTCTGCCTCAGAAAACCCCGTCTGAAGTCTTTGGTTCATTAGATTCACCACCTGTCCTCCTTGAAAATCAACATATGATCCATAAAACATATTTAAATCCTCAGAACCCTATGTGATTTATTAGACACAACATCTACCTCGGCAAAAGTCCATTAGAATTAAAACTTCATAGATATCACCAGAACCAACCGCCGTTAAGCTCGAGTCCAGATAACCTACTATGTTTTTATGGCCAACAAGGTCCCTCTGCAGACACAATAGACAAATATGTATTATTTTGCAGTTATCCAAAAAAGCAAGATTCAGGAATTCACAGTTCCAGATAGAGAATTTAATGATTTTATATAGCGCTTTAACAGACAGTCAGAAAAGATTCACATGGCATAAATAATTCCCCCAATACACAGTGGTGGTAAACTACTGCATGTCCAACAATTCAGGTGCAATCAAAACAAAAAAATAACATGGAAACGAGTACAAATTAAGTATGAAAATATAGTGCAAAAATAGCTTGCACCAGTTACCAACATTAATGACACTCCACTCCCAAAGTTTAAAGAAAAAGATGCACTTCTACATGTACACTCACCATAATTTGTATTTCAAGTTTGCAGATCTGAAGATCATGTTCATTGTTTACATACATTCGCTTGAGTGCACAGCGAGCCCCTTGATGTGTGCGCACCAAAAATACTATTGCAAATCCTCCTAAGAAACAAATCCAAAAAGCACATGAAGACATGAACAGAACCACCATAGATTATACTTGTAACACTACAGTCAATGGTTATAAATGTAATATTATTTAATATTTCAGTGATCTAATTCAATTTGTGTATTCATTTTCTCATTAATATTTGTTTTAATAAAGCATGTTTGGCACAGTTGTGTGGGATCAGTGAGGCAGCAGATGCACGTCAGTCCATGAATTATTATGAAGCAGGAAATGACAACTGTTCACACTGTCACCAACACATATATTTGCAAATGGCTAAAGCACAAGTTACCATTGTATTAAAAGTGACAGGTCACATTGCAACGTAATAAAGGCTTGTGCGATGCAGAGAGTTTCAAAGCAGGACCATTGCTGTCTCATAGTCTAATCTACGATGCACGTTAATTAGTGGGATTAGCCATCTACTTAGGAAACATTTAGCGGCAGTCTACATAGCTCTGGGAGAGTGTGACCAAAGCAGTGACTCTTAAACTAGTCTCTTCTCCTTTACAACAATTGCCATAATGTATGCTAAAAACTTGACCTAACATGCAATGCACATTTGAATGATTATCAGGCACAATGACAAGTGTAAATGTGTAGTTTTTGTGCTGCAGCTCAAGACGTGCCCTGGGGAGGTAGAAGTTTCACACTGTAATTCAATATGTAAACAGATAGTGGTTTGATAGAAAATGAACCATCTCCCTCTGGCGTTTAAGCAGGGGGAACAAAACAGAAATATAACATCAGTTTTAGTAAATTTGAGGATCTTCAAAATGATAGTTTCAGGTATATTAGCAAAAAAACAACTGGGGACGACGCTCAAAGTCGTGAAGACACAACTCACAGAAATAACTTTGACTCATACAACTGAATAAACAGGTGTAGCTGGGCAGGGAGGGTCACAGTCCACACTCTACAGAGTAACACTATTACTAGTAAATGTGAGAATTAGTTTGCGGTGAGTAATTTTCCTTTAAAAGCCATGGTCAAACATTCCAAACAACAAATCCATGGGTCTAATAAATAAATCAGTGTTTTTCGTACATTATTTAACAAAAACGCAGGGCTACTGAATGCAGCAGGCTCTTGATAGTTGACAACTTTGTAATAGCAGGTTGACACTTTATATAGACTATTGAAAAAGGACTTTCACTGATATAAAAATGTAGAAGACACTACAGGATACCTTCAGCAACAATTTCCTCGACCGTGACTTGGTAGCGACCAATGCTGAAAACTCGTCCAATGAAGCTGCTCCCTCCACCGGATCCAGCGCCTCCTCCAGCCGTCCCCAGCCCTGAGCTCCCCAGCTCCCGGCGATTGTCAAAAAACTTCTTCATGACCGCTGCAGTGAGTGGAGGTGGGTCTGTGCAGATTCCCAGTGAGGGGTGGTAAAGATGTGTCAAATATGTGTTGTCGCAGCGGTGACTGATTGAATGGAAGCAGATTCGCAGTTTTCTTTAGCTAAAATGCTAACAATTTAGCTTTTTGCCAAACTGAGGACGAGGCACAATACACGCCCTTAGAATCTTTACTGTCAACACGTAACGATCCTCACAAGTCACCTCTGCTGTAAATGTATGCAGAGAGAAGTCGCTTGTTAGCCTGAGCTGACTTAGCACTGCGGGCTAAGTGGCTCTGCTCCCGGTGACAGCTGTCAGACAGTCCGGCTGCTTCCCAGTGTCCACAGCCGCTCATCACACATGTCCTTATGAAGCCTCATCGACCCTCCGGACATCCAGGTATAAAGAAACTAACTGTCCGTGTTGTGTCCGTACACTTCATCCGGGTTCTTATGGAGAATTCATGTTACAGCAGTCTGCAAACACCTCCAGCTCCGCTCCTACAGCCTGGCTCCAGCTCACGGCGGCTCTGCTTCTCTGCGGAAGAATGATTCACACCAGCGGCGCTTTGCTGCCTCCCTCTGTTCGGAGGAGGAATCACAGTCTTAATTATAATAAATGCTGTCCAACCTATAATATAATGCATCCATGTAGCCGGCAGGATGATTGTTTTCTACAACTGAGCAACTGCGCTCTTCATTATGTCATTGAATGTGTTTCGTAGTTATTTCCCGAATGTGTTGGTCAGTGGCTTCAAGGAGAGAATAATCCCAACCTGTTGGACTGTCTTGCCTTAACATGGGATGAAAAAAGAAAGAAATAAAGTAACCAAATAAATATGATGATATATGTTTTCTTTGAATCATAGATCGCACGCTTTGGATGTAGTGGCTAATATCTACAGTAGGGGGCGCTGTGTATTAGTAAATTGTTGAATACCTATGACAACATACCAACCAACTACGGTTATATTTAAGGTCAGACTTAACAGATTACAAAGTGATTCATTTGTCATGAACGATCATAGTCAATTGTCTCTTTAGGATTCATTTACATGACTGATTCCAGTGATCCGATCTAAAAGCAAAAGGGCAACATACAGGCCACTTTCTTTGTTTTGTTTGTTTATTCCCAGGATATCACAAACATCCTCAAAGTTAAAAGGCAGATAACATAAGCGGAGTAGGTCCTAAGTAGTTCAATCTATGTTATGTAAACCAGCCCCATGTGAGTGCAAAGCATTATGTCAAGTTTGAAATGTTTTTGGCAGTAAGTCTTCATAGTCCTTAGCTTGATTAATATCAAATATACTCATGTTATATAGGCCTATATTAATGGATTAAATAAACTATTGCCAGTAAGTGATTTAATTAGCTGAATAGTTAAGGTAGATTTTAAGAAAAAGCCTGAAATAGTCAAATTCTAAATGATATGGTTTGACCTTTAAGCATACATGTCATTGCTGGCCTTCAAATGGCACTTCCTTAGTTAGCATTTATTCATTATCTATATTTATACAGGAAAGGCTGAATGGGAGAACCAGACTCTCTTTTTCATGAGTGCCTGGTTTCAACAAAACAACAACATAAGCACAATAATAATAGAGAGTTAAATATATATTTTCAGTTGTTCTAATTATTGAAACAAGGGTAGCACCAGGGTGTCTAGTTTTTTAACAGTTCTGTCCAGGTTCAGTTCTTCTATGAACAATGTTTAAGTGATGTGTTTTGAACTTGTGAGAAAATAAAGGTCTGACTGAAAAAGTTGCCATAGTCTATTATTATCAGGTTACTTTAAATTATTACACAATTCTGAAGCACATGCTTTGTGGACATAACATGTGCTTCAAAAACCTGGGTCCTAAACTCCTTTCATCCATACAGCTAGAATAGTACATGTCTGCTCTCATCCATGTTCAAGAAAGTCAGTGACTTGACAAACATCCTTGACTTTGTGAGGATCAAGTGTAAAATAACTGTAATTTGTCAGAGCCGTATACAGTAGTTATTGGCCAAACACTGACACTTTTGTTAACTTCAGAATAAAATACTGATTGTAAAACGGAACTGTGGAATTACCTTGTGACAGAGTGGCTGCTCAGGTACCTCGTTCTGTGCTCAAGCCTCTCCTGAACTCGAGTAGGCTAAAACATTTCCTGTCATGGGCTCCAGATAATAATAATAATGCAATATAGTTACAGCTGCCTTTCAGGCTCTCAAGGTCATGTTTGGGGGTAAAGACAATAAAACCAAAAAGAGAAAAGAAGAAAAAGACAAACCAAGATTATCAATGGATACAGAAATATAACAAATACGTTTTAGTACGAAAAAACAAATATACTAATAATATCTTATGACCAAAACACCCACCATCTGCCATAATATTGATATTGACTGCAGCATGTGGACGTTTGGTGCATTCAGGACCAGATCTTTCTGTCACACAATAATAGAGCAGCAGATTATAGAGGGCTGTGTAGGCAGTAGGTGCATTGACCGGGGCTGCGATGATGACAGCTCTGGGTGATAAAGGGAATGGAAACAAATCAAGATATCTGATGAAACCTGCTGGTATCTTCGAACATTCTACACAAATCAAAACCTTTCTTTGAAGTATTTGAAAGAACTAATAAAAGAACTGTTTTGTGGGAACTTGCTTTTCATTACACAGTTTGCTTGTTTGTTTATTGTTTATTTGGTTGGGACAGTACATGTTAAAGAACACATCACTCCGGATTGTAGCCATGGGCTAATTTGCATCCGTTGTCCCACATTCGCACTCACAAACACACATTCATTCATTCACCCTGAACTATTGCGCATGTTTTTAGTGGTATGGGAAACCTGAGTACCTGGAGGAAACCTACGCGGACACGGGGAGAACATGTAAACTCCACTCAGAAAGGCCCTGTTCCAGTACTGTATGATACAGTACTGCATCATACAGTATATATACTTCATATACTCATGTACAATGAGTGCTTTAAGTTGAAGTGCCTCTTTGAAAAAAACAAAAAAAACAAGGTTCAGTAGTTTTCACACATGTTACTTTTTCTAATCTTTAGATCAGCTTTTTCAGTGAATAAGAGCTTTCCTCTTTCTGCTATAGTGCTATGGGCTGATTCTGTTGGGACAAAGAAAACATGTATTCGTGAAACAAAAAAAGTTAGATAATCCAGCTTTAAATACATAACCTTCTGGAGGTGGACATCCATCGTGACGATTCCATTTTCTGGTAATATGTTCTATATAATAATATAGAATGTGTCTAGATTATATGTTTTTTATATTTTCCACTGGACGGGACATCACATTTTCACACTCTGCTCATGAATGGACCCACCCAGTCACTATCGTCACATCAGCCGGAAGAGTTGCGATGAAGAGATGGGTCTAACTTCCAGTCCCTATGGATGGAGCGCTCCAACATCATAATGTCCTGTCTCCACCAGCCCCAAGCCCTATGAGGGGCATGATTAGAACCAGGGTTTTACAACAGGCCCATGTTTTTCAATTATTATTATTTATTTATTGTATTAATAATGATTATAAATATGTACTTGTATAGCACTTTTTGTAATTCACAAGGCCTATGGGAAGGCCATGTGAATGACAAACCTATTAAGCAGGTATAAAGTATAGTAGGCAAGGCAAGGCAAGTTTATTTGTATAGCACAATTCATACACAAGGCAAGTCAAAGTGCTGAACAAAATAAGAACGCATTAAAATCATAAATTATCACAGTACATTAAAAAGAAAGATAAAAATATAAAATCCCTCAGTTGTATGCACAGTTAAACAGAACTGTTTTTAACTTGGTTTTAAACATAGTCAGAGAGGAGGCCTGTCTCACATCTTCAGGAAGATTGTTCCAGATTTTAGCAGCATGAATCTGAAAAGCAGCCTCCCCATGTTTAGTTCTGACTCTGGGCACTAACAGGAGTCCAGTCCCTGTGCTCCTCAGAGTCCGGGTTGGTTCATGTGGGACTAACATGTCACTAATATATTTTGGTGCGAGGCCATGGAGAGACTTGTACACAAGCAGAGCTGTTTTAAAGTCTATTCTCTGAGCCACAGGAAGCCAGTGCAGAGACCTAGTACCCATTACCCAGCAGATAATCAGAGCACACCACCACTTTTTGATAAACTATCAACATTGTTTTTGCTAATGTAATTCTTTGGACGAGCTGCATGATTTGGTGAATTGTTTGTATGGGTATGTTAATTACACAAAACAATTGTGTTTTCATTCTTTCAAGGAAAAATAAGCTATGACAAAACATATTCTTAAATAAATTGCACATATAAACGGCAACCTTTTACATGTGCCCTCTGGGTGCATATACAATATACTTTGCTTTAAATAAATAAAGACAATAACAAGTCATGCTCGTTTTTTGTACAACACATGAAAGTCCAATAATAAAGGTCCAAAATAACAATCTTAATACCACTGACCATAAAGCAAAAAAAATCTAGCAAACACGCATTAGGAAATGTCGGTCCAACTATAAACAGTATTCTCACAATTTACATCCAATTTGCAGCAGCAGCAAACATAATTTTTTATTTCCATTTGTCTTTGTTCTATACTGATGTTGTGCGCAGTTATCTATATACATTAGCCTTATGTCAAGTTAAATCTTGCTCTTTAAAGCAATACTACTCCATTGCAATTAAGAGCAGAAAAAATGGGAGTCTTGGCATTACAGTAGGTTTATGGCTCCTCAGTTTGCATGTGGCACATCCCTCTGTGTGCTCTCACATTGACACCTTTTTGATCAACTCCAGAAGAGATCACGGCATATGTGTGAAAAGAAAATCCAACTTTAAAACGTATTCATTTGACGCAAGAACTTTTGAGATGTAAAGCATGATCCATTTCAATGTAGCACTACTTCAAATTGATGGACTTGAAGATGCTTTTGGCTTCACTCAGTCTTCAAAGACTATAAACATAAAAGATAAATATATATTTTATCAATCTTGCATCATTT